GAGTCCGCACTGGGTCCTTACCTTAAAGTACGCATGTTATTAAGCATGGATATCATCTACCCCGAAGGAACTCGAGCCATTTCCTGGCCCGGTTTCCGTTACCCACGGATTGATCAGTACACAATATCACCGGCCATTAACAAATGAAGTCGCAGCCGGCAGAGCAGGGTTTGGCAGAAACACTTACCCAACAATATCGTTCAATGTCAACAGGCGGCGGATGAGAGTTCGGACAATACTTCGCACACTACTGCACTCTAATGCACGACTAGATTGGTAAAGACGGCTCACCTGCAACAGTTTCAACGTCCACTGTCCAGGGGCCAATTTGTTTGACTCAACAGACTCCATAGCATGCCACATGACTAGTTAGGGCCACGCTGGTACGCATTTGCTCACTCAGAGAGAGGGGATCACAGTAGCATTTGTGGGGAGTCTTTGCAACTGATAACGCTTGTTTAGAGTGCATCTTGCGAAGCCTGATGGCTGGTGTTACATTGATGCAACGTCGAACAACGGCGTTACAGACTGCCAATCCTCTTCCAACACGCTTACCTTACCCAATTCGGGGGCCTTGTATTCCTAAAAAGAGGGTTGATGATGAGAAAAGGCTGTGCCGCCGCACTATCGTCGTTACAAACAGGGCTGGTCCTCATCACTCAATGGGGACTGTGCCTGAACATGATCATCGCATCCGACAGGGCCAACGCCCCAAGCCAACCTTGCAACTGTGCGACTCAGGTCCTCGACATCTTGGCCAATATGCAGCAGGCCTTTTGGTCACTGTAATCTGCTCCATGTCTCCGCAGTGATGTGCGAGGATGCATGAGACCAAACACCAGGCTTCGACTTGCATGATCGCAGCCGGCTACCGAGCAGCCGATGCATACGCTCCTTCTGACGCAGCACACCTAATGTCACAGCAATAACTCCTACTACAGCCCTAGTCATCGAGATCGGCGCGCCGTCATTCTCATCAACTCTCAGAGGATGGCACTGGTGATAGAGGAAAACCCCCCCTCACAACGTACGGTGGCCGACTTCGTATAGTGGCATATTGACTGTGTGACGCAATCCATATGGGCCGCCCTTGTAGCGATCAAACGTGACCAATTGCGGATACTACTTCGCAGTGTCGAGTGCAAGAGACTGTGACCAACTCTCCTCGAAGAAATACTCCGTAGGTATCGTTGATGACAGTGCTCTACCCTGATCCTTCGACCAATCTCACACCGGATGTCTTCCCCGGCAGGAAGATTGTACGGCTACGGCACGTAATGAATCGCCTCGAGATCCTTCAACAAGGGCCTCCCAATGGATGCTGACAGACAGCTGACCAAAAAGGCCTCGCCCTATCGGCTCTCGCTCGCACTTCTTCTCAATGCGACCCTCAGTCACTTTGCACAAACATGGAGCTGCCCACCTATTACGTCGCCGCCTCCCAGTGCCTACATATCACTATCGAATGAGGATGGTTGACGGTTGTCGTGAGGGGTTCCGGATATTGTCTCTGGCACGCTAATGTAGGCCAAGAAGTCTGTCGACACTGCGCAAGCCTATGTCGTCTCTGTTTTGCGCACACCGCCTTCCTCTCACCTGTAGCGCCACGCGGATGATGAGTGTGCTTTCGACTGTCGGAGAATATATCCACTGTGATGCGATTCAGACTACTACCCAACATGCTTGACTCGACGTTCTGGCGCGATTTCCGAGATTAACTACGAACAAAGTGTGCCCTCCAGCTCTAGCCTCGCATCAGTATGCCGCGTCCGCTTTCTGTTGATCCTGGCTGCCTGCTCAAACACGGAGCGAGATGGCGTTGACATTGTTTTACAATGATGAACAGCCAACACATTGCCCAGTGGCGCACTTTTCGCCTACCCTCTTTGGGTGAAGCTGTTGAGGAGAACGCTGTCCTGAAAGTCCCGGTCGTGGTGATGGCCGGCCTGCATGGCTTGGATGACACCTGCTCCCATCACCGTGCCTTATCTCGGCGAGTGTCGGGATCCGAAAGGAGCTATTGGTCTTCACCTCCTCATTCGACTTCACCGAGATTCTGGATTCTTGAGATGAGACGACATTGTCGTTTCGTCTCCCTTCCCTCGCTGTGTCCCTCAGCCCACAACTCACTCAAAAGTTCGGGTCGTCATGCAGGTCCTAGAGGGTCCAGGGGCGAAGTTGCCACAGGTCAAAACGCAAGCCATCGATCACTAGCAGGAGGACACTGCGCACTTGCATGCAGATGGGCTCCCTCTTCTGATGAAACCTTCAGGTTGAAGCGACGAACTGTTGGCCTCTGCACCTGCGGGCTGGGGACGATCCCTACCCCAGCTTACACGGGAAGCGCCGTGCCACGGGGCGGACGGGCGAACCTCGTGAGGTCCTTGCCATGCCTTCACGATCTTCCTAAAGATCTGCCAATATCTGGAAGACACTAGTGGCGAAGCCCGCAGGTCTCTGACAGTTGTTCCTGCAGGAGAAACGGGACGTTTTTCTTGCCGTTCGACACGAACTGTCTCGGGCAAGTGTCCAGATTAGATGGATCTGGACTGAATCTGGACTCTGAGGGTACTCTGGGCATCTCAAAAACTGGAAGCCAGATGCGCTGCCTATGGATGTCTAGGAGAGGCGCAGAGAAGCGATCTGTGCGCAGAAGCGCAAGGTTGAGAACGGCTATCCCTCTTCAACCTCACTCGAATTATCAGTTGCCGCGACATCTTGGCCTGAATCCGCCAGGCTTACACAGGCTTACAGCTGGAGTTGGGCATTCTTCTTTTTGACTTTGAAAGAGATTCAATATACACACTTGCATTGATTTGCGCATTCATATTGTCTATTTTGATCTCTTCCAAAACCCACAGGAGGTGTTTTAGGGCCTTTTAGTTCTTATCTCGGTGTATGACGAGCTCGATGTCCTCGCCATGCGAGGAGCCTTGTGCTTGAACATAGATGAGTAGACAATGACTAGAAGGAATCTCAATTGCTAGTTTCAGTGCTGCTTGGAAAGACCTAGCTATCTTAAGATGTCGTGGTCTTGAACAGCCCAGTTTCATTATCATCTTCATGTGTCTCTTGCCATGTTTTTAGCCGCATCTAGGCTTACTTTCCAAGGCCATGTCTGTTCGTGAAAGCAACCCTTAAAGCCTGTATAGGGAGCCTTCGGCTGCGGCATGGAAACCAAAGGTCATCAATATGATTCTTTTTCTAGATGCATCAAAGTAAACAGGCCATTGGCCTTCAGTCCTTCAGCAGCCTCGCGAAATGAGAAAGTACTCTACGAGTCTGCGTCGCCCTCTGAGCTCATCCAGCTTCTCATGGCACTGAACTGAATGATTTACCGCTTCTCCTGGCTAGACCCGGCTAGATTTCCGTCCCGTCGCAGTAGTTACATGTCAAGAGGAGGAGTCTCTAGGGATCGCAGTATAAAGACATTCGTGAGTTCACGCAGGCCAATCCGAACGAGAATAGCTCTGAATCTACAGTTACCTCTCCAGTGAGAGTATCGTATTTCTCCCATTAGAAGTTTGATGATCATTTCCACAAAAGATTCCCGTCTTTCCGAATGTCGAGATCAGAGTAAGATATGGTCCACGTATCTGGACCGGAGCAGGGAAAGCCACTGGCGACTGCGTGAGCTTATTCATATTCCCGGGATTCCCAACCCCCAAACCATATCATGGGGTGCGTTGCGAAGGCTACATTGTCTAGAAGGTAAAGATCGCGCTACACATCATGAAGAGTATTTCCTTCTTTGCTCGTCCAGGTCCTTGGGCTTCCAGCGTGATTAGGAGCAGGAGCGGCATCGGAGTGCCTCAGAACCCGCCCAGGACACATGAATCAAGTGCCGTTCTACCGAGGGTCTCTGGTCCAAAGCATCCTCTCACCCCGATGAGCCCAATGAGGCAGTCAATATCTCCTTCGCCACGTGGAACATGTTGCACAGATTTACTAGGTAGTGGGATAACCCTCTGTGGTGTGAATTGGGAACCTGATTGAGAGCCTGGAACAATCCCTGTTCCCGTCGGCAAGGTTTGTCGGATATGTTTATGGAAGTGAAACTGCTTCCACGATCTCGATGGACCCCGATCAGTCGGCCTAGCAGTTGTTCGTTGTGTCCTGATCACAACTCGCGGCCTCAGCCTGTGGTGTTGATACAGTATTGTAGTGAGCATTTCCATCTCATAGCACCAGACGATGTATTTTATTGCCTGATCATTAGCCGACAAGCGGTCCTTCCTCCAATGTATCTTGTCAGGGCGGACCGCTTCCTTGGTCTCATCTCCTTGCACGGAAGGTTATATGAGAGAATGGAAATCTGCTATCATTCCTATCAGTCTATTCCACTCCTAGAGCCACTTTATGCTAATACCTCGGCTCAGATCTCTGTGTCTTGGAGTCACGTCGGCTCGTAGGTTCCACCAATTCTTCCAGGGGGGCAGAACAATGTACGGATCAGACATTCACAACTGGACGCTAAGTGAATAGAACGACTTGGATTGTAGGGACACCGAGGACCCAAGTGAGTCAAACAGGTTGAAGATTGTAGGTGCAATTGAAGGAAGAATATGATGGGCCCCTTTCTGAGATCCAGTTTTCAGCAATGAGCAAGATCAGTGAGAGAACGGAAACAATGTCTGGACGCATTTTGGACGCTCATACTACGCACTTCTTCTAATTACTGTAATAGTCCTTCCCAAGACATAATAGGTACCGTAAGCTCAACTTCTCTCAACCATTCATGAGATACCCGCGCAGTGCTTGTCCATAACCTGTTGTCCACTTTCTAAGCCCAGCCCGAGACGAGTACCTTGAGAAGGAAAGATAACACCTATTGAAGCAATACACAATAGCAATATCAGCATTACTAACTAGTATCACCCTCGAGACGCACCCACCAGAAGTTCTCAGTCCTTTTGATGCGTTACCGTGGCCCCATTCCGGGATCTCCCTGTGAGATAAGGGGCCGTATCCGTAGCAGGTGGATCACGATCTCCTTCATTTTACTCCGTTATCGCACGAGCGGAACCGCCAGCCGATTCGCTCTTCCGAATAGGCGAACGTCCCAAGGCTTCTCTCTTCTCGTCCCCAGACAGCTTGAACAGATCCTCGCAGGACTGCCCTCTGACGCCATGACGCTGCGTATCCCTAATGGGGCTGACTGGGGAAATTGGCGGCGTATTAAACACCGTGTATGGATACAAGTCGTTAGGTGAAGCGGGGGGCGACACCATAGGAGACACCGGTGGGACTGCCTGTATCGCCAATGACGAGGCTGAAGTGGACGCGTCGAAAGGCCACTCAAGGGGTCGGGGTGGACGCTTTGGACTTGGGGCTTTTGTGTGGGCTGATGTCGTGATTGGGCCTGCCCGGTCCCGGTTTCTGGGTTTGTTGATTCCATTTCTCGAGAATGAGCCGAACGGAGCCGAAACAGAGGTGAGTGTACTGCCGAAGCTTGCTGTTTTTGTGGAAGCGTTTGACTGAGTGATGGTTCGTTGCGCTGTATCATCCCTGAATTTGACCGTCTCTTGCCGGGGCGACAGTCTCTCCTTCGACGGAGAACAAATCGGGGAGCGAGGAAAGGAGACTTCAGTTTTCTGTATCGGACTGTGCGGCGGCGAAAGGGAGGTCAGCGGCGGGGAGGGACACCGATTGCCCGGCCTCAACACCGAAGCAAGAAGTTTGCGGTCACGAAGCCTCAAGGGCGGGCTGAGAGGTGCAATGTCATTGCACGCTGACAAAGCTGGCGGTATGAGCGGTGTTGGTGAGCCACCATGAGGGTTTGTGGGACCGTGTGTCGTTCCGAAGAGCTCCTTGAAGCCATGACGGCGACGGCGCGACATCCGGCGTCTGTGTCTCCGGACCACTATCATCAAGCAAATCAGGAATATGATTCCCAAAGCTGAGCCGATCCCAATGGCGGCTCTGGCGCCAGTAGAAAGTGAATGACCTTCCGAATGTGGGTGAGTCTCGGCTGTTCTGATGGCACCGGTTGTTGAAGAGGCTGCTGGGCGCGCAGTATCCGTTACAAGCATGTTCTGCGTAACTGAGGTGGCGATGCCGGCTCTCGCACCCGCTGTTGATGAGATAGAAGAAAATTTGGCGTCATCTATGAATGCCCGGCATAAGCCGGGTTTCCCGGGGTGCTCTTGCTCCTCTCCTGATGTTGACACGCACGAGTAGCCTGAAGGAAGAGGACCCGGGTCGATGATACCCTCGTGGCCGATGCTGAGAAGGTTACATGAGCACCAAGACTTCCTGACGAGCAGAGTGTCGCTTACTTTTTACATCTGGTGATAATCATATCCACGTTTGCTATTGCCTGGGTCAGCATATGGACTTGTTCAAGACTGATTTCGAGTCCAGGTCGACGACTCACGATCCTGACCGCCTGGCACTTGTTGATCAATCGCGACGCCACAATAAGACGAGTCGCACCAATACAACGGCCAAAACTTCATGTTTGGCTTCCCTGTCGTAAGAGCAAGGCAGATATTTTCAAAATACTTGTCGGGCTCTGCTTCGAATGTCCGGAGGAAGGCCTCACCGCAACGAGTGATGCATCTTTGAGCATCATCCCTTCGCGCCCACCCAGCGTTCGGTGGCAGACTACGGCGGTAAGACTTCTGCATCCTGTTTGTTTGAGTAGAATTTAGCAGTCTATGTACCAGACTTGTCGTCTACGAATATTGTTTGTAAGCTTGTCGATACCGTCTTGTAGAAGCGAGTGACTCCAAGGGGAATGACGTAGCATTAACGAGAGACATGAGATTTGACAAGATGGATATCAGAGTTGAATAATTTCCATGATGGCGCACAGAGCCCGCCGGTCCTTGCTCAGTGTTGGCAGATCTGGCCCAAGGATGAAACCTTTCGAAAAACCGAATGTGTAGAAGTCGTCGAGCTGGAAGAAAGACCATTTCTCTTGGAGAATAGAGAAGATCCTGAATCGATATATTGAAGGCTGTCATAGTACACGGCGAAGGGACAGTGTTTGGGTGGAACAAGGGCCAAAGGTGCTTGTCAAACGAGGGCAAACCAACTGGCCATTACACATTATCTGGAGTTACACTTGTCTGTACAGTTCCGTCTTCAGATGATAGCAAGTGGCCAGAAACCAGATCAACGATGTCAACGTTCTGCATGTACCCGTGTTCCACAGGAGTCGCTAGATCTTCCCGACAAACCCGACCTCAGATGGCACAGAGAACTTCCCTGCCATTCAGGTGTTGAATTCCCTAAATTGTTCAACAAGGCCATCTCAATTAACGTGTGATGAAGCCCTTCTGCCCAGTAGATGGCACCAAAAGCCATCGACGCGGGACAGGAGTTGGCAACTCACTCTTTGCTGCTGAGCTGGAACATGGCTAGGGTCTGTGGCGTAGAGATCAATAGGGACAAGGTAGCTGTGTCGAAACGATTGGTGTTGATGCCGGTTTGCCGCGTCTTTTCTGTTCGCCGGAAGACAGCGAAAACTAGATGCAGATGGCCTGCAGGTGGCACGTACACGAGTTGGTAGCATGGCCGGGAGTCTCGCCGAGTGAGCAATGTGAACACCAACACAGTTATCTCCGAGACCAGCCATCAGTAGAATGGCTCTCCGTGGATGCAAAGATGGGACCGGGGGCTGTCCCTTCTAGGAATACCTTGCGAGTGTACGTACGAGATTGAGCAGGAGGTCTGATGGGCACTTGAGAGAACACCAGACGGAGATCCGCTTCTCCAATGTCCAATGGATTGACAACGTAGGCGAACAAGTACGAGCGGTTGCAACATTGATGAGACCTGCATTACTTCTGACCCAGTCCTGTGGTACGGTTTCACCCTCGACTGCGGACAGCGACCTCGAGTCCTCGCATTCGACCAGGGCTCTGTGTTGATTCAGCTTTGGAGTGCCGACTCATCTCACGAGCCATGCACGTGAAGGGTTTTCCTATGTTGCACAGCGAAATCGAGTGCACGAATCAGATTCCAACCTCACGAAATCCCGATAATGACCCTTGCCAGCTGGTTGACCCCTGGCCAGGCTCTTTTCGTATGGTTGACATGGATGAGGTGGAAGTTCTCTGCATCTCTCCGATCCCGAGAATCAGATGAGCTGACAATCCTTGTCAAGAACGTTGTTCTGACATATTACGGCGCCGCTCAAAGCTTCTAGAGTTCAATAGAAGTCCAGGAACGGATGTACAAAGCCTGCAGCGGGCGGCTACTGGGCAATGCACTCTTCAACAAAGCGCCTCCCATTTCTCCGAAGCGTCTTCCTCGGGGACACGAGTCTGTTCGCGAGAGCTTGTTTAAGTTGTGAAAGCTACCGCAATGGCAACACTGTCTCTGTTTACAGATATTAGTACTGAAGGCCCTTGGCAAATGAGAACTTGGACATTGTAATGAGGCTTCCAGCCTACAAAGTTCGCATCCATAGGAAACTGCCCAGTCCGAACGAGACCACAATGAGATCAGTGTGACATCGCCAGTATCCGGGAAAGTGACAGGTTGTGGAATGTAGATAAAATCATCTGGTGTTTTGCTACGCCGAGCAACTCCAGTCTCGTCGCTCATCCAACAGCCCTGCTTTGTACACTCCGATTGTTATGCTAGGGCTGTCAGGGCAAGGATGGGAGACGGCACCGACTCGTGTCCTCCAAAATGTGTGCTATTCCCGGAGAGGAGAAGGAAGAGCCGGATTTCAAATCGACTACCCCACGGCGGCCGGGCAAAGTGGATCTTGGGGTGGGCGGTGGGCGGGGGTTGTGGTGATGGCATTATCGCAAAGCGCTTCCCTTTTGCCCCGAGGTTATTATCGAACGTAACCGATCGAACAGCTTCAGTCTAGAATCTGAGAAAGTCCCCAGCGGCAGCAGTATTCATCATGACCAAGGTGTTGTTGACAGGTACGCACATTCGGTTTCGCTCATCCTCGTGAGAGAGGGATGTCCGTCACCAGAACAGCTCGCTAATCATGTCTGAGTACAGGCGGTTCTGGCTTCATTGCTGGTATGTACGAGAATGTAGTCTTATGCTTGACTGCTGTACTTGGGACTGACATATCCATGTGTAGCTCATATCCTGGACCAGCTGCTCCAGAAGGGGCACAAGGTCATCACCACCGTCAGAAGCGAGGAGAAGGCCGAGAAGATTCGAAAGGCGCACCCTGGAGATGACCTCGAGGTGGTCATTGTTCCGGATATCGCGAAGCCTGATGCTTTCGACGAAGTTGTGAAGTCGCCTGGCATTGAAGTTGTCCTTCACACTGCCTCCCCCTTTCACTTTAACTTCGGTAAGCACACACACCGCATCAGGCCCAGCCCAGACTTTATTCAAGGATAAGCTCGCTGACCTAATTCGGGGAGTCAGACGACCCTCAAACCGGGCTTATTGATCCTGCTTTGATTGGCACGACATCGATCCTCAAGGCCATCGCGCGTTCAGCCCCATCCGTCAAGAGGGTCGTCATTACATCGTCTTTTGCCGCCATCATCCACGAGGACCATCTTGAGGACCCCAATACGGTGTTCTCTGAATCATCCTGGAACCCGGTGACCATCAAGGACATCCACAACAGCAAGGCGACTGCCTACCGTGCGTCCAAAAAGCTTGCCGAGGAGGCAGCTTGGACATTTGTCCAGGATCCGGCCAACAACGTCAAGTTCGAGCTGGCTACTATCAATCCTCCATTGGTCATCGGGCCTGTTGCGCACTATCTCAATAGCTTGGACAGTATCAACACTAGCAACGCCCGGGTTGCGGACTGTGTCACAGGAAAGTGGAAGGAGAGCGGCCCTGCTCCTACAGGCGCTGCGCTCAACTGGATCGATGTCCGCGATTGCGCTCTAGCGCACATCAAAGCAGGCATTGAGCTGCCCGAGGCTGGTGGCAAGCGTCTGTTCACAACAGCCGGATCTTTCTGCAATAGAGGCATCTATGAGGTCATCAGGAGAAACTTCCCTGAGTACGCCGATAAGCTGCCTTCGCCTGACAAGAAGGGTGGGGAGATGCCGCCTGACGACAAGAGATACAGCTACGATGCCTCGGAAACGGATAAGATCCTTGGCATCGACTGGATTCCCTTTGAGAAGTGTATCATTGATACTGTCAAGAGTCTCAAGGAGGTTGGTGCCTAAGCAAAACCAGCGCATTCTGATGTTGCATTCATGCTGCAAGCCTCGTCGGGAGGCCTTCGAAGGAGGAATTAGGTAAATCAAGATGAATCAATGTAACCCATGGTGTGCTTCGTAAAAATCGTTCGTTTCATTCGTGCCAATCGCCCTCGCAGTGAATTACGGATCGATGTCCATAGGTTCCGAAGTAGCCTTTTCAAGCTCCTCAATCCTCCGCATGATTTCTTCTTTCCAGAGCTTGCTCTCATTCCTCCGGGCTTCACTAAGAAAGTCGTACCTGTCCTGGAACATGGTATCGGCTCCTCGAAGCTGCACGGATCCTTCTTCCGGGAACCGGTCTCTGCTCTCATCTCGACGATCCCCGTCCACCTTCCCATGGATGTTTGCGATATCGCGGAACCAATCGCTTTCTAACCATTTGCGGTCAGAGACCATGACTAGAGCTTTTTGGAGCTGCTTCGCCCGTACGTCCGACCACCCTTCCCACGCACTTGGGCCTTCTTCAGTATTTTTGGAGCCCACTAATGCATGTCGCGCCTTATTCAGGGCATCTATGATTGCGTTCTCAGCCGCTTTGTACTGATCCCTGTCATATTCCTCGATATCGTCTGCTTGCTTTGCGACGTAGAAGTATATTGAGCCCAAAAGCTCCGTCAGGTGGGTATGAACCCATTGGTCGTCTGTTCTATGCCCCTGGGGAGCGTAGATCGCCTGCATCCCTGCCATGACAGTAGGCCCGAGGTGCACATGGTCCAACTCCTTACACACGAAACGAGCAGTCGGGCGCACCCATACCGGAAGGGCATTTGGTGAGCCGCCTCCAGACACCCTATGAGACTTGATGCTGGACGGGGTGGCATTCCTGGAGACGGCCGGATTGCGGAATTGCGCTAGGGATTTACCCTTTGAGGGGGTGCCCTTGGATGCAGACGGCCGGGAAAATGGCGAACTTTGTGCTTCTAGAACCTTGGAGCTGGGGGTTCGTACTCGCCCGTTCCTTGAAGTGTTCAGCGATGAGCTGGGGAGAATGTTATCGAGGTGATTGTAGAGTCGCTTGTAGATCCGAGGCTGTATGGGCGGTCGCGGGTCGATTGGAGGTAGGTTCAATGATGTTTTGAGCCTTGGGGTTGAAGTGTCAGCAGCGGTTGTAATGGAGGATGGAACATTGAGACTTTACCTGTCACAGGCGAGATGTGCGCAAGCATACGTCCTCGCTATTTCCTCCTCGGCTTTCAACGTGCTTGCACGGTGACGAGATTGCACGAGCAGTGAACTCGCTAGATCGACCAATGTGGGTGGCAGAACCGCATTTTGAGTAGGGAGCAGAGACAGCAGAGTCTGCTCGATGGTGCGATTCATCCTTGCGATGACTGCAGTGGCCTGTTCTGACTAGCAAAGCCCATGTGAAGTTGTCGAGTTTGAGGTCGAGATCGATAACGCAAATGATGTCCACTGAAAGACGCGCTTGGCCCAAAGAGACGCGACTTGGACAATTAAGCTGTAACTAGCTCCACGCCTCCATCTGTCGTCATACTAAAAGTAAAAAGCACAGGCCTCCATAGTGAGCGCCGGCCCCTGAATTAGCGCTAAAACAAATGCTTATACAAGTACCGTGCACACCTGGCGACTGACCAGGCCGGGCTGATCAGTTGAAAGACGGGACGTAACGCAATATTCAGCCTTCCATTGCCAACCATAGCATCCCATCCTCCCGAAGATCCCAGTCAACACCCATTGACAGAATGCGCGCGGCTTTCTTTCTCGTACCCGGCCTTGTCGGCCTGGCCTGGGCGCATGGCGACCACGGTAGTGGCAGTCAAAAGCCCATTGTCGACGAGAGCGCAAACTGGATCACGAAGCACATGGCTGGTAGGAGAGCGTCCCACGCGAAGCCCACCCCTGGCCTCAACTTTGATTTTGAAAGGGAATCGTAGCTGATCCATCTACCGTTTGATACAGAGGAGCACCACGCCGCAGATTTCGATGCAGCCTCCTTCTTCGCCCTACACGATTACGACACCGACGGCAACTGGGAGCCCGAGGAGATCCTGCGTACTTATGGCCTGATGGACGAGTCTAACAAGCACGTCTCCCAGGAGCGCAAGGATGAGATCACGAAAAAGATCATGAGCCTGATTGATAAGAGTGGTGACGGAAGGATCACCCGCGAGGAATGGGTCGAGTTTCTCGGTTCGGGCGGTACTCTTCCGGACTTCGGCCATGGGCCTGGACACCATGGAGATGACGAGTATGAATACGAGATCCATCATTGGGAGAAGTGAGCATCCACCCCTCGCGGTCTGCGGGCCAGACAGCCGCTGATAAAATCTGTGACTAGGTATCACGACGAGAACACCAAACTTGAGGACCTGACACACCCCGAAGATATCGAGCATTTCAAGAAGCATGAGCAGATGGAAGAGGAGCAAGAACGCATAGAAGCCATGTCGAAACAGTCCATCGTTCTCGCAAATGTACCCATGAAGTTCAGGAGGCAGTAATGGAGTCGTCCAGTGCGGCGAGTGTGGTGACACGATTGAGACGAGTAACGCAGTATATGTATAATATTAATTTATTCTAGACCTTGCAACATATACGTCAAAGACGCAATGCCACACGTCTGGGGCAAATGTTTTGACCAGCTCGACATGTTCAACGTCGACCCAGCGTCTATCGCGCTCATCAGCCCCGGTCCACTGAGTCAACTGCTCGTGGATCGCCTTGCGGCGGTTTTCTATGTCACGAACTCCGACGTTCTCATGCAGGTGAAGCCATCCGTCACCCACGATTTCTAGCGATGGCTGCCATATGGGCTCGCTTGAGGGCAGGAAGCCACAGTTGACATGGAGCGCCTCGAAGTAGGTATGAGTCTCTCTCAGCTCTTGGACTCGACCGAGTGCCCTGGCATTGCTTTCCAAGAAGACCACAATGCGTTCTCCACCGGAAATCAGTTCTGCAGTGGGGAGTTCGAGAGCTTCTCCCGATACGACACGGACGGTCCAACCGTTTTTCAGAGCACCTCTTCTTAAGCCTTCAACGCTGTACGCATTGAGTTCCCAACAAAGAACTCTCATGCCAAGTCTAGCGTATGAAAAGACAAAATATCCGATGCCTGCATAAAGGTCGACAGCCCACTTATCCTTCAGCATGAACTTGGTGCGAGTCCGGCGTGCGGTGATGACTTCTTCTGCGTGTGATTCATCCGGGCTGTGGAAGGAGAGCAGGCGCGCCTTCTCCTTGATATTTCCTCGGCTGAACATGGTCCATCGAGGGGCCCAAGTCTGATATATGCCATTTTGTTTCGTGGACACCCAGAACGCCTCGTCAAGTGGCGCATCTGGTTTGGTAGGCCCAAAATCTCCGTAGAGCATTCGGAGCCCACTGGGACTTCGCAGGATGTTTTCCACTTCCTGGTCCTGAGTCTTTGTGTCGGACTCGACGTGAAGTGGAATGCCTTCGTTGACAGCGAGGTGGGTCACACGTTCTTGGGTCTTGAGCGATACATTGCTCAGGATCTCTCTGTAGAGCGCGGTCCTCTGGACCTCGCCGAGCTTGGCGAATACTGATTTCCACTGTGAGGAAGTGAAGCTGCCGCTGGGCAGCAGCACCATAGGTTCATAGAGAACCCATCTCTTTGGTCCCGAGCTGACCAGTCCAGCTACGTCAAGAGGGTTCAGATCATGATCTAATTCCTCGCTCGCATATCCGCTGAGACGCTGCGCCCAATCTGATATTGCCGTTGAGATTGGGTTGAGCTGTTTCTTCGAGGTCGATCGATGCGACCCGCGGTCAGGCTGCATGATGGATGGCAGGGCAATCTCCGGGAGTGATACTCGATCAACCCTTATTCGCCCGGTCCATTGTGCTGAGCGATCGGTGGTGTCCGTACAACTGGACAGGACAACGCTACAAGCTCACGAAGCTGGTATGGTTAAAAGCCCTTTGGAGAAAATCCCCACTAATGCACGGCAGCCGTCCGTGGTGATCCACTTGGCCTAGATCCAGCTATGGAACATGTAGAATGTATTTGAGCCTGTCTGAGGATTACTCGACGCGGCCATTCGGACAAGAAAAAGAGGTAGAAGGGCCCTGGAATCCAGCTACAATAATTCCACTGGGTATATAATTCTTGGATACCTTTATGAGAACAAGCTTCGTTATTGAGGGAGTCAGCACCACAGGTTGGAGAGCATTAAGTCATCACGCTTACAGTCAAGCTTACTTGCGGGGAAGAGGCCGTCTTACCACTGTCCATGTGGGGAAGCTGACCCAACCTACCTCGGCTCCCATTCCCTATATACAGAGCAGACTTCAAGACTCGAGACTCCAAAGACGATCAATCTCGATCCGTCAGCCTGCGACTGTCTTGTGTTCGACATTTGCTCATTTTCTCTAGTTCCTCGTGCCCCTTGCATTTCGCAAGAAGAACCCAGCAACAAGGGTCGCTCACCCATTTTCGTACAAGCATGGCGGACGCTGCGAAGCGCAGATTGCAAGCCATAGGCCAGCAATTAGCGCCAGCCGCGGGTAACAACGACACTTTTGAAGGTATTGCCAGAATCAAGCATGTCGCAGGGGCCTCCAACGGCCTGAGGGTCGGTGGAAAGGTCGTCATTATCACCGGTACGTGTATCTGGTGTGAGTTGCGCACAGGTCGTCCCTAATTGAAGACTGGACACAGGAGCGAACTCGGTCCTCGGTATTGGCCGTGCTTCTGCGCATCAATTCGCTCAAAACGGTGCAAAAGCTGTGTACCTGTGCGATTTCGATGAGACTCACCTAGAAACCCATAAGAGGGAGATCCAGTCTCTATACCGAGGCGTCGAAGTCCACACCCGCCGCTTCGATGCTGCGGATGAGGAGGCGGTAAAGGGCGTCATCAACGACGCCTTGAGCAGATACGGAAGACTGGATGTCTTTTTTGCCAATGCCGGCATTGTTGGCGCTCATGCCTCGTTCACCGACATTGACGAACAAAATTTCATGCAGACTCTCCGAGTCAACACGCTTGGGTTGGTTCTTCCCCCTACGATACGAACCTATAATAATATGGTTGTGTGGCATGACTGACCCTCTCTAGGCCATTCCTTGCTGCGAAACATGCCGTCCCGGCCATGAAGAAGACCTCTTCGGACAAGCCTGTCAGCTCTGGGAGCATCATCATGACGGCGTCGGTGGCTGGGCTCCGGTCCAATGCTGGCTCCACGCCGTATTCGGCGTCCAAGGCGGCGGTGGTGAGCATGGCACAGACGATGGCATACCAGCTCGCTGGCACGGGCATCAGGGTGAACGCCTTGTGCCCCGGCCTCATCGAGACGGGCATGACGGCAGTTGTCTTTGAGACTGCGCGGGCCCGCGGCACGGAGAAGAAGATCGGCCAGCTGAACCCGCTCAAACGTGGAGGCCATGCCGATGAGATTGCGCGCGTGGCCCTCTTCCTGGGGAGCGACGAAAGCAGCTATGTCAACGGTCAGGCTTGGGCGGTCGATGGCGGGCTGAGCGCCGGCCACCCGTACGTTCAAGGGAAGATGGGTTGAGCCTGGTCGTTACGTAAAAACACCCTCCATATGTGTAATTCATCCTGCATCATCAACCATTTTGGTAATGCCATTGCTACCTACTTGAAGAAGCATGACTCGTTTGCGTTTCCGACTGCGACTGCGAAGGGGCGGGCTTTCACAACGCGAGGGCTTCGAGCTGTCAGTAACCGCAGCTAATCATTACTGGTCCCAAAGAACGAGACATGTTGGTGTGTGCCTGCCCGTCAATAACCGTTTCTGTGTTGATTGCCATGCAGATCAGGGCTGGGATCGCTGAGGTGCATTAGTGCGGGCCGGTTCACATGGGCCTTCATGCGGACGGTAGCAGCGTAGCACACATGCAGACATCGGCATCTCAGGCAGAGCTGTGACGGAAAAGAAAAGTCCTTCCTTGGTTAGCCAAGAATGAGGATTGATACTTTATACGGCATCACAGCAAGTGCTGCATCCGTTGCTTTCGACAATTGATACCAATCTACCGAATTGATCTGCACATGCAGCGGTCCGGCGCATAAATCTCAAAGTCTTGACTGGGCACGTGTGAGGCTTTACGTCAAATCATGTCTGCAGGCTTAGCACTTAGTAATTAGTTGAAGCTGGAGACATCCAGTCACCCGAACTCGTCCAGGTGCAGGCAGGCTAGCTCCACAAGACCGCGCCCCTTCTCCTGCCAGGAGCAGCAATCAGGACCCGAGCTATCGCCTTCAGTGCTGATGCAGATGTGTCTAGTTGGCTTGAACTTACCTAGCAGCTGCCTTAGCCTCTGGGCCGGATGGCGGCGGGGATTCTGCGCCGGATCTCCAGCCTCTCCGTGCTCTCTGTAACTACTGGTGTGCTGGGGTGCGCGCAAAGAAGGGAATGGAGGCTAAGAATACCTCCAAGCTAAGTTACTCGCTCCGCCCAGCTCCAGATCCGCAGTAAAGTTTTGAGCCCCTCGGCTCCAGGTTTGCGATTTGCCAGCCCCTCCCGGTCGCTTCCATACGCCCACTCCCGGGACTTTCCCAAAACCTCGCTCACGCGATTACACCAGACCACCTGCACGTTGTGTCGGCTTGTGTCTCCCTGACAGCATAAGCCTCTACCTTTTCTTGCCAGAGGAGTTGTTGTGCGATCGTCAGCCGCTCCCTCGTACAAGGGTTCGACCTCCCCCGAGCAATTGGCCTCGTATACAACGACCACGGGTCTGCCGCCGCCTGCCGTGATCACCCCGGCTACACTTCCCACCAGACCGGCCGTCCCTGGATGCGCAGTTTATGCGATCGCAACTACCCATTGAGAGAGGGCTGGCACTGAGGGTCTCGGAATACCTGCGGTCGAATCCCAGTCGCGTCTGCACCAAGCCGCAGAACATCCTCTAATGGGCCACAACCTCGACGCCCAACTGCGTAACCACCAGATCCAATGGAACCGGTGTGCTTCCAGTGACCGAAGATAGAGAGAGCCATGGAGAAGAAGAATGGAAATGAGCACAAGTCCGACGCCGACTCTAAACCCAAGGACCATGCGACGGCTTCGGACGACCATAACAAGACGCCCAAGAAGCGGCGCAAGGTCAATCATGGTGTGTCTCTTTCTCTGCCCGGGCCCCGGCCGTCGAGGCCAGACCGACCCTGCTGCCCCTTCGGAACCCTTGTTTCTAGGCTAACGCTGCGTTCGCGTTCCTACAGCATGCGTATATTGTCGTCGATCTGTAAGTCATCCGACGCCTCCAATTCAGCGATTAATTGGTTCCTTTCCGCGGCCTGGCGCAATACTATTGCCTCCCTTTGAGGATCGTTGCAGGCCGTATTCGACCAAGAACCTATATGGGATATCGTTGGTCTGACTCTGGGCTAACGTATCTCCCAACTTTGCCTTGGCGCAGCATATGACATGCGATCTTGTACGTTCCACCACCCATCCTTTGCCAGCTTGGCCGTCCCCTCTGCCTCCTTGGCGGACCGGCTCAGCTGGGGCAAATCAGTGCTAAGAATCCACACGCAACAGGAGCGGCCATGCACACGATGCATCAAAAGAAATATTGGACACCTATGCCATGATGAGCCGCGCGATTCAGAGTCCAAGAAGACCAAGAGTGTGCTCGAGGGCTCGACTGTGGACGAATCGGCGTCCCAGTCCGACATTCGCAGTTCCATAGACCAGTCCGCCAACGCCATGGGCCCGCCTTCTTTTGACGCTGGTGCGGGACAGGCGTCCAAGTCTGCCTTCAATGCAGGTGCGCTGGGCAGAAGTAATCCGCTGCAGCTTGTGCAACCAACGCCTGTCACTGGGATCCAGCCCAACGCCATTAACACCGGTAATGCAAACCAATGTAGGCCTCTTCCCTGTTGCCCCCTTTCCCACCATCCCTGAAATGCAGACAAGTGGCTGAGGGCGTGATACCTGTGGATCAATAGTTGCCGGCTTCTCTGATGCGTGGTTGACGGCGCAAAATCATTTTCATGACATGCACAATTTCCACCCCAACTACATGATTGCTCCCGAGGTGAGCAATGAGTTCAACCTCCTGAACGACTTTCTTCACAGCAGTCTTCTCGATGACGGCGCGCTTCTGTCCGAGGACCAAACGCAACTCGCGCGGAACAGCCAGTCGGCAGACATGGTGACAGGGTTTCTTCCGGGCGCCAACACCAACAACAATAGTAGCATGCTCCCGCCGGGCGCTCTGGCTGCCGGTGCAATGGGCCCTCCCAACTCTGAACACGCCAGGGCGATCTCGCGGCCGGGCAGCGTTGTCCCAATAGACAAAGCCAGGGAGTACTACCTGCAAGCGGCTGATCCCGACGGAAACGACACCCCGGAGAACCGAATGGATCGCGTCCTCAAAGCAAAATACGAGGCTGGTCTCTTGAAGCCCTTCAACTATGTCAAGGGCTATGCGCGTCTTCATGCCTATCTCGACAGTCACATGGTCGCGGCCGCCTCGAAGCAGAGGATTAAGCGCCAACTCGACAGGTTTCGACCGAAATTCCGTGAGAAGATGCAAGCGCTCACCGACATGGAGCTTGTGTACGTCGAAATGTGGTTCGAGAAGACGCTGATGGAATATGACCGCGTCTTCGCCAGCATGGCAGTCCCTGCTTGTTGCTGGAGGAGAACAGGCGAGATTTTCCGAGGCAACAAGGAGATGGCCGAGTTGATCCACGTCCCCGTTGAGCAATTGCGAGATGTGAGTTGTTCACACCTTGTCCAAGCGACGTCCACAACCGCTAGCCGCAGCAACAAAGCTAACAAGCGCCCAGGGCAAGATAGCGCTCCATGAGATCCTGACAGAAGAATCGATGGTTAGGTACTGGGAAGAGTTTGGCACGATCGCCTTTGATTCGGCGCACGATACGCTCCTGACAGCATGCTCGCTGAAAAACCCAGACGACAAGTCCAACGATCCCATCGTGAAGTGCTGCTTCTCGCTCAAAATCCGACGAGACGATCACAAAATGTAAGCATATTACTTCGTTCTCTATTTATTTTATGGAGTCCTGCTCTAACCAGCCTTTCCCGTTCTCGTAGTCCCAGTCTGATCGTCGGCAACTTCCTACCTCATGACCCAGCTTGAGCTGTTCTTGATCATTATAAATCAGTACATACGTATATATATACCCGTCCCGGACACCGTCGCTTGGTCACATTGGTCTTTGTTTGTTGGGGTTTATTGGGGAAATGTCATGTTCGACATTGTAAAAAGCTTGCTGCATTTTCGGACCGGCTTCTGGGATGGATTCCGGCTCCCTCAGATCCAGTCATCGACAGGTCATCTGGGGAAACCACGTCTGCCACGCTGCTTATAGGCTCTGACGTTTGTGTTCACCAAAGGAAGGAACGAGAGAGAGGGGTTGGGTTGTTGCAGAAAGTAGGAGGGACAACAGCGCCATTTTGGTTCCTTCCTGGACGTGTCTCTCCCCATTCAGTCCCACTCTAATAGCGAATCATTCCCACCTCGTCCCAGTTCACGTTTGGAATAACTATGTTGATTTGATCACGGCACAACCTCCGAAGCTCTCGGTATTGCAACAAACCTTCAGCATTGAGAGCCAATCCCAGGAGCACCACCTTCTCATTCCATTCCAGCAAGTCTCGAGATGCCCGTTGGGGATGGCCGCAGCCATCGGCCAGGCACGAGCGCCACCGGACACGAGCAGCGTCTCAAGGCACTGCTTGGTACGTGATAATCATGACACAATATTATCTGAGGGAATGACCCTGACGACACCTCTAGCATTTGCAAAGGACATTCAGCGGCGCTTGAATGCCCGTCAGAATGATCTACTCGATGACGATGCCCTGCGGAAGAATATCCAGGACAACATACAAGATCTTCGAACAGCACGCCTCGAAGCATATGGCCATAGAGAACTCGATAACCTGGGAACAGAGCTTTGGAATACGTGTACACGACTGAAACGCGAGAATAATGATCACTATGAGGAAGCAACTGCTCACAAGGCTTTGCTTCTGAGCATGCGGGTTTTTGCCTTTCAGCTGCTCGATGCCGCACGATGGTCCAAGAATGAAACCACTGCGACCCAGCTTTTTCAGCTACTGAAACCAGCGTTGAAAGTAGGGAGATCATGCATAAGTAAGAAAGAGACAGAGACACCCTAAAGCTGACTTGTAGGAGCTAACCTCGGCATAGATGAGGGAGCGTTTGAGCACGCCCTGTTGATCTTGCAAAGAGCAACGGATCATCAAAAACGTCTGTCTGAGATCGTGCAATCGTCAGAGCAGGAAGACACTGTGGAATGCAAGCGTCTCGAGGCAGAGTGTCTGGTACTCCGAGTCGCTCTGGTATGACCGGCCAATCCCGCGATTCTGCTCACCCAATCTGACTAGGTCCAGGCGTGGCGAGAGAATCGACACGATATCGCAGAGCACGTGTACCAGAAGGCCGAAACCCTGAAAGACTCTCTAGATCCTCAATCTGCCGAATACCTTGCAGATGTCTTGTTTGAGATAGGCAAGGCCGCTTCCGAGAGGGAGGACTACGAGATGGCTGTCAAATGGCTCGAGAGGTCTTACGATATCATTGACCGGCAGAACTTGCAGGACTTGTCCAGAGATGCACTCGAGTTGCGCCTCTCTGTCTCCCAGGCTACCGTCACTGCGCTGCTCGGTCTCGATACACCACTTGCATTCGACAAGGCTCAGCGTGTTGTTGAGTATCTGGAGACTGAAATGGGGAATCACTCACTGGTTCTCTTACTTAGACTGGAGCTGCTCAACAAATCACCAGAAGGAAGTTTTGACGGCGAAGCATTTTGCGGCATCCTCCGACGAATGGTAAAGAGCTTTGGTTTTGTGGAACCACAGTACGAGCTGCTCAGACACCACATCCAGAAGCTACACGATAAGTGTCCCAGATTGGGATGTCAAATCCTGGATGAGTTCCTTGTCAAATTGATGGGCTATGAGAATCGTTCTTGGGTTGAGAAGCTGGTAATTATGCGGATGTGGATGACTACAAGTCAACGTGACTCCCTTGATTCAATTGAGGAAGCGCAGCAGATCTTCCAGAGCATGACCGAGCCATTGAGTGCGGAGGCCACGACGGCGGCACAGACAGTGAGTCTCCTGGGATCATACAGCCTTCACAAGCTAATGTCCTCAAGTTGGCGTGGAAGAAGATTGAATCACATTACAGCACTGGCGAATTTGACCTGGCCTTAAAGTGGTGTAAACTCTCGCTGTGCCGGGCGTTCGACAGTGCAGAACCTCTCAATAGGGCGAAAATTGAAAGGTAAACAGTGATATCTGGGCAGATGCTGGACAATATTGACCTCCACAGAAAGCTCTTGCTCTGTACTCTCAGCCAGAATGATTTGGACAGCGCACGAGCAGTCTTCTACTCGATGCCCGAGACCACGCAACAAGAGCCGGCGTCCAGATTCTTGTTGTTCAAGGTGGCAATTCGAAGTGGTGACCAGGAATTGGCCTCTGAGTGTCTCGATCGTATCAGCGTGCCGACGACTAATCCCGAATATCTATACGCTTGTGTTTTAGAGGCACAGCAGGCCAATAACACTCCTTGTACCATCGCTGCTCTGAAAAGGCTTGCAGATGGGTGCGAATTTCGAAGGCCAGGTTCAGTACATTTGCCTGCTTTGCTTCGATGCATGATTCGAGTCTCAAGTCCTCTCCTCACCAAATCCGCCGAAGGTAATTATGGCCTGGTCATGGACAGTATGTGTGAGGCTTTTGAAAGGGGTAGGTGCAAAGGATTATTCAAATTGACAGCAAAAAGGAATGCCAAGGCTCACAAGAAACCAGTTGTTGAGGGAATCTCGAGACAAGTAATCGACTCCCAAGGAAACCGACTTTTCGATATCCACGAACTTGAATGGTTCTCGAGGAATGCCTACAACATCGCTGTCAGACAATTGTCTGATTGGGACGCTCGTCATATAGTTCGAATACTGAATGCGTGCATCGGAATCATAGAACATTTTCCTTCGGATCTTCCTTCAGAGACTGCTGGGGATCTGGCCCTTAAAGCTCTGTTCTGTCATTTCCTGGCCGCCTCGGCTTTAGTTACCTTGGCGAGGTCCCAAGATAACCGAGAGAAACAAGTTGATGACTACTTGAAGATGCGACATCATGTGGCAGCTTTCGACAGTCAGATGCAAGCGCACGGAGAAGAACTTGATAGCATGGTTGTCAAGGACCTCTCGAGTAAGCAGTCGCTCCTTTTCATGTTCGACTTTGAGGGTGCTATACAGCTCAATGAATGGACCGAGCTCGTCGAAATTATACGAAAGGCGACTGCCTGTAAGAGTCTGGTGACCTTCCAGGGCATGGCCGACTGTCTACTTCGATCACATGCTCCTCTAAAAGGTGAGCTCAAACCCTGAACCACTCCACTGCTGGTGACTGACCAGTATGAAGAGCTCAATTCCGCAATGCGAGCTCTGATCGACGAGATATGGAGTCTTGAAGGATTCACAGCGGCGAAACTCGCCAAGTATGTCCGATGCCTCTTCCAGGCCATTTTACCTCGTGGAGATGACCTGGCTTTCGAGTTGCTCGGCAAAGCAGTCGCAATGGCCGGTGAAGCGTTCGAGGTATGAAACCGAACAAACCATCAACTACATGTGCTAACAGGCACCGGCAATCATAGGCTGGTCACCCCATGGCAAGGGAGGACACCGAATGGATCGCAGCGTCCGCGTACAACCATGCCATTGAGTGGTATCACGGGGGCGACAACACGAGCTGCACCCGATGGGCCGAACGAGCTATGATGTTGGCTCGATACTGCGACGATGATGGGCAATTCGAAGCGATGTTGCACAAGAAGTACACATCACTCAAGCTTGATGCTTGATTCTCCCCTTGGACAATGACGACGGAGTGATCGCGACTAGCATGCAGAAGATCGTTCGTTGCTCATTACTACCTCAAAATGCAAAATAAATGACGCGCCTGGCAGACCCATACGTGGAAAAGATCGAGACATAGTCTTAAATAGCGATGAAGAAGCTCTTCTCCCCCTCCTTGGGTACAACCCGTGCCCGCTCCATGATCGGGTCTACGCAGGCAAGCCTGATCCTTTCCGGTGTCGCCGGGCTTTCCAAGCGCAACAGTCCGTCCTCGTTGCCCTCCTCCGCACCGTCTGAACCGACCTTGGCCACGACTCCGTACTGAGCCCTCGCCGCTTTGAGCGCGTCGCGGATGGCAAAGAAGACGGCGCTGCCCATGAAGAGCGGCGGCTCGCCCACGCCTCTGCTCCGCTGAATCGTGCGCAAGTCCTTCCACTCGACGTCCTTGAGCAGGCTGATGTTGAACACCTGCGGTATGTCGCGGAAGCCCGGGATCTTGTACGCGCCGGGGCCCCGCGTGAACAGGTTGCCGGCGCCGGCGCCGTTGCGCAGCCACAGGCTCTCCTCCATGGTGAAGAGGCCCATGCCCTGGACGAAGGCGCCCTGGATCTGGCCGTAGTCGATCGAGGGGTTGATGCTGCGGCCGACGTCCATCTTGACGTCGGCGCGCAGGCAGGTCCAGGTGCCCGTCAGCGTGTCGATCTCGACCTCGGCGGCGGTGACGCCCTGAGTGAAGTAGAAGAACATCTGGCCCTTGTTCTCGCCCCAGGTGTACCCGATGTCGGGCGTCTTGTAGAAGCCCTGGGCCGAGAGGTTGACGCGGTCAAAGTAGGCCGCCTCGGCGAGCTCCTTCATGGGCGCGGCGGGGCCGAGCTTCTCCCGGTAGGGGGCGAGCCGCTCGTTGAGCTGGGTGCAGGCGTTGTGGATGGCGTAGCCGTTGAGGTCGGACGAGGCCGAGGCCGCCGTGGCCGAGGCGTTGGCGACGGTGTTGGTCGCCGTCTCCGAGATGAAGACGCTGTTGAGGGGCACGCCGAGGGCCTGGGCCGCGATCATGGTCATCTTGGTGTGCAGGCCCTGGCCCATCTCGGTGCCGCCGTGCGCGACGAGGACGGAGCCGTCGTGGTAGATGTGGACGAGCGCGCCCGCCTGGTTGAACCAGAGCGCCGTGAAGGAGATGCCAAACTTGGTGGGGACGATGGCGAGGCCGCGCTTGCGCCACTTGTGCTCGTCGTTGAACTTGGCGATGGCCTCGCGCCGCTCGTCGTACCGCGACTCCTGGAGGACCTGCTTGTACATCAGGGGGACGTGCCAGTCGGTGAGGGCCTGGTTGAAGTGCGTGAGCTCCTCGTCCTTGTAAAAGTTGATCTCTCGGAACTTCTCGACCGGCATGCCCAGCCGGTCGGCCACCTCGGACATGTAGCTCTCCGCTATGAACATTCCTTGAGGGCCGCCGAACCCGCGAAATGCGGTATTGGACATGGTGTTTGTCTTGCAGATGCGCCCCTTCACGTGGATGTTGGGTATCAGGTAGCACCCGTCGCTGTGCGTCATGGAGCGCTCGCATACCGCTGCCGAGAGGTCCCACGACCATCCGCCGTTGTTGAAGATGTCGAGGTCGAGCGCTTGTATCTTGCCGTCCTTGTTCACGCCCACTTTCCACTTGCCGAGGAATGGATGTCGCTGACCCGAGGTTACCATGTCTTCTTCGCGAGTGAGCATGCAGCGGACCGGCTTCTTGGTCTTTTGCGCGGCCAGGGCGAGGATTGTGCTGAGCTGCACAGATCTGGTTTCCTTTCCTCCGAAGCCTCCTCCCAGCCGCTTGACCTTCACCACGACCTTGTTGGCCTGGACCTCCAGCATTCGAGCAGCGTACGTTTGTCTACAAGACATGGTCAGAAACTCGGCTAGCTTGTGGCAGGGGGCGTGGTCAGTCAGCAAACTTACGCTTCGTTACAGTTCTGCGTGCTGGACCAGATCTCCATCTCACCATCCTCAGGTTTCGGGATTGCGAGTGCCGCGTTCGTCTCGAGGTAGAAGTGCTCTTGCCCACCCATCCTAGTCACGCCCGTGAAGACGTGATCGCAGTTCTCAAACGCCTCTTCAACATCGCCCTTCTTGATTTCCCGGAAAAACTTGAAAAAGCTCTCCTGCTCGATGGCTTCCTCCATGGTGAAGACTGCTGGCAATTCCTCGTACTCGATCTTGACGGCTCTCGCGCCTTCGGCAGCCTTGAGCGCGGATGTTGCCAACACCATGGCAATGGGCTGCCCCGTGGTGAAAACCCTGTCCTCGGCGAAGAATAGCTCCTCAAAATGGGGTGCACCCCAGCGATTCAGTTCTGGGCTCGGCACGTCGTTCTTGTCGACAATGTCGACCACCCCGGGAAGATCCAAAGCCGGGGCATAATCGATCGACAGAATCTTGGCGTGCGGTTTGGTGGATAGCACGAAACAGCCGTGAAGTTCGTTGGCGAGAGGGGGGATGTCGTCCGTGTATTGAGCTTCACCCGTGGTCTGTTTGAGTGCAGCAAGATGCGGATTCGCCTTGCCCACAATTTCTTGCTGGTATGCCTCTGTAGATCTCTCGTCGACGGTTCCGGTGGCAAGCTCTCTTTCCAGCTCCTCAACGGCTTGTGTGTCAACGTCACTCGCATCCTTCATATCCAGCATGCAATCATGATAGAACCTGTAGAAGAACCCCAAAGCAAGCGACTTCCTGTACGATGCCATGCCACCAGGAACGCCAAATTGCAGATCAAAATCCCTCCCCAATGCGTTCATAGTTCCCTCTAGAGTTTCCTTGTCAGCAAGCTTTTTCCCCTTGAGGAATTCATTGGCGGATTTTGCGGCTACTGTCATGGGAGCCATGCCGCCATAGACTAGATTGCAGTCCTCGACAATGCCTGCAGCGTCCAGGCGAATTCTCAGAGCTCCCGTCACGATGGCAATGTCGTCGTCTTTCCTCTTAGCCTGTTTGTAGGCCCTGAAAATCTCCCCCTTCGAATGTGTAAGGGGGATACGGATGGCCGCAATGATACCGTCCGGCGGCAGTGCCGTCCTTCTGTAGCCCTTGAAGAAACCCGACATGGGTATATCGACCGTGTCAGTTTTCGACTTTGCGATGAGAACAGCATCCGCGGCCATGAATACCGGGTTGAGGTCAGAGATGGGCGACGCGGTAGCAAGGTTTCCAGCTGGGGTGCCGACGTTTCTTATTTGTCGACCGGCAAAGTATTTCAGTTGCTTATGGATAGCAGAAAAGACCTGGCCCCTCCTCTTGCCATAGTGTTCGACAGCTTCAAGGCAAATGTGTTCAAGATCTGTCAGCACGACATTGCCTCCAATCACAAGATGGTCGTCCTCGAAAGAGTATTGCCTCAACTCGGGAATATCTCCCACAAAGACCGAGACGGGGTATTTCTGAGCCTTGAACTTGACTTCGATCTGAGTTTCGGTGCTGCCGCCGATGATCTTGGCATCCGGATAAGCGCTCTTGATATCTAGCAGTTGGTCGACAGTCACTGGCCGATACCACCTCTTCCTTTTGTTTCCAAAGGCCAAGGGCTTGAAGTCATGCTTTTTAAGTGAGGGAGGGAAGATGAGTTCTGTGTCGGGGTTGTACTCGATGAAGCCTGGCGGTGTGAATCTCTTGATAGGCTGGCCATCTTCAAGGCTTTTGGCCTTGCAACAACCGCCGGCGCCGTTTGCGCCATTGCCATTCTCCATACAACAGCCTGTGCCGCCGTTGGTGGTAGCCTTCCCACACGACTTGCCGGTGCTGAATGTCTGAGCTGCATCGAGAATCGAGCGGTAGCCGGTACAGCGGCACAGATTACCATCGAACGCCTCCTCGATATCATGATCACCAGGGCTGTCGTTGTTTCGGAGCAGCGCGTACAGGCTCATGACAATGCCAGGGGTGCAGAAGCCACATTGGCTACCGTTGCTCTTGGCGACGCGCTCCTGCGCGGGATGGGGCTTCTTGACGTTGCCGATCCCTTCTATCGTGATGACGTGCTTGCCATCAACGCTGGCGAGGGGAGCCAGACAGGCATTTACACTGGCGTGGTAGATCTTCTTGGTAGTTGGGTTATACTGGCTGACGACAACCGTGCAGGCGCCGCACCCGCCTTCGCCACAGCCGCTGAAGGTCTCTTGTCAGCATATATGGCGATGAGATTGAGACAAGAGGTTTCGCGCGTATTGGAGGCTTACAGCTTGGTCCCGGTCAGACCGATCCCCCTCAGATACTCCAATAGAGTCACCTCGGGGTCGATCTCGTCGAGCACAACGCGCGTGCCATTGAGGTAGAAACGGAGAGTGTCGTTATAAGTCGTGGTCAGGGACGCGATGGAACCAGCGGGATCCGGCGCTGGCGAGACGGCACTGGGGGCCATGGTTTCGAGCAGGGCCGTCAAGGGGGGGTGTTCCCGGGAGACAGAGAGAAGCAAACGGAATTGCAACCCATTCACCTAGATCCTCCAGGAAACTAATATACAGACACTTATTAACGTTTCGGTGTCCTGGAGGTGGCGATGGGACGTCAGTTAGGTAACCCAAGTTATGGTAGGGCGCGGGCCAGGGAGAGTGCTCACCCGCCTTATCTTTTTGACGGGCAGGCGTTACGTCAACTGCTGCCAGCCACAGAATAGTTAAACCGTGGGTAGAAGAAGTGTATGGGTTTGAATGAGTGAGATTGACAACTCGCCCCCCCGCGTCAAGCCGTCCATACGCGTGAAGAAGACAGCGTTACTACTTGATCCATTCATTGCATCATCAGCCACTCTGGCCGTGTTTGCTATCTCTCGAGCTGCTGGTTGGCTTATCACAGATGTCAAGCGGGCTGTTTTCCCCCACCATCTTGGCAACCTTGGAAGCTTATCGCCTCGGATTGGGGTAACGACAAGGGTTGTTTCAGGTGGGGTTGGCGCTGGTGTCGAGGGTCAGGTGGGCTCGACTCCACCATCCATCACTGTATGGAGTACCTAAGCAGAGAGCGACCAGCGCGGATTGGGTGGCCACACTCGGCCTAGAACTCGGGTTAGTAAGGCCTAGGCAGTGGATTCCATTGTGAGCGACACAGGGCAGGTAATTAGTAAAATACAGGGAGCTTGTCGTTCTTCATCCATCAGTCTTGCCGATTATCGCCAGTCTCCTTTGTCGCGGCGTCAAGTACAAAAAGACTGTTCAGAGCTGGTTCAATATGAGAACCAAACCACTGGCCCAAGGTTGGCTTTTCTTGCAGGTGGGTTCGCATAAACGCCAGGGGCATCGTGTCGGCAGTTTGAGTCTTTTGTTCAAACATTCTTCCGTACCCCTCTTTCCTCCCCCCTATTCCAGACACATCAACTGCACCGACAGTACCGATGCATCCCCGGCTGTGGGTTCTTGGTGTTGGCGACGAACCTCGCATCCTTGTTCTGTCTCCGACAGCCTGAACTATGAAGCGGACGCTTAGCTCTTCCTGCCATGTGAACCTTGCTCTATAACCCGGGAGCCGCCCGCTTCAGGGGCCTCGCTCTGGGTGCCGTTCGCAGGAGATAAATGCAATTCGGAGCCGATGCACGCAGTCCTCTCCAGGGAGAAAATAAACAGACTGTTCTCTTCCACGTTGTTGTTTGAAAAGACCCCAACTATTTGCCAGTCAGAGTATTATCCCTTTGAGTTTTGCAGTTGACACAATGGGGAGCCTTGATCAAAGGGAGTTCTTCAACATCGTCAACGATGAGCGCAGAGGTAGCTCTGTCACTCATCGAGTGACCGACCCTCGGACCGAAGAAGACCTGTGGGAGTGTCCGGTCGCATCTACCCAGGACCTTGAGGATGCTATTGATGCCGCAAACAAAGCATTTCCGGCGTGGTCCAAGACGACCCTTGCCGAGAGGCAGGCACTACTCGTCAAGATTGCCGATCGCATCAAGGAACACGCTGCCGAACTCACGGAGCTGGTTATGAGAGAGACTGGAAAATCAGTTGAGTCTCCACGACACGGGCTTTGAAGATAACCAAGATCTGACTCCGTGCAACTCATCCGATAGGCACTCATGGGGGCCATCGAGATCAACAACACGGTGGAACAAACGCTATACTATTGTATGTGCGCCCTTTGCGCTCCTACTGTTTTGCATCTCGCATACATGGGAGAGGCCTTTCCCTTGCTGACCCGTGACACTCGATAGCCAAGGTTGGTCTTGAGGACGAGGTGCAGTTCGAGGACGAATCGATCAAGATCATAGCCACACACATGCCTCTTGGCGTCGTCGGTGCCATCTGCCCCTGGAATTTCCCCATCATCCTCAGCAATATCAAAATTGCCTCCTCCATTGTGACCGGAAATTGCGTCATCATCAAGCCCTCGCCTTTCACCCCCTACTCTGTGCTCCGCTCGGTGGAGGTCTGCCTCGGCGTGCTGCCCAAGGGCGTCTTGCAGGTCGTCAATGGCGGCGCCGACCTCGGCGCCCTCATGACGCAGCACCCAGGCATCCACAAGATCAGCTTCACGGGCACCATCGCCACGGGCAAGCGCGTGATGGCCGCGTGCGCCCAGACACTCAAGAAGGTGACGCTGGAACTCGCGGGGAACAACGCCGCCATCGTCTGCCCGGACGTCGACATTCCCCACGCCGTGGCGCAGACCGCCGCCGGCAGCTTCTTCAACGCGGGCCAGATGTGTGTCGCCACGAAGCGCATCTATGTCCATCGTGACATATACGAGCCCTTTGTCAAGACATTCTGCGAAGAGGCGTCCAATGCCTACGTGATCAAGGATGACCCGCAGGAGATGAGCCTCTTTGGGCCGGTGGCCAACAAGATGCAATTCGATATCGTCAAAGACATACTCGAAGATGCCAAGAAGGCGGGCGGCAAAGTTCTCGCTGGCGGAAAGGTCCGAGACGGCAAGGGCTTCTGGATCGAGCCGACTGTGGTTGCTGAGCCCCCCGAGGACTCTTTGCTTGTTCAGGAAGAACAGTTTGGTGCGTTTTCTTCTCATCACATGTCGGAAAAGAGTAGACATCAAGACAAGAGTTCGCTAACCAACTTCTCCAATCTAGGCCCGATCGTGCCAATACTGTCTTGGTCCGAGGAAGATGATGTGATTTCCCGGGCCAATCTGGACAATTCTGGACTTGGAGCTACCGTGTACTCCCAGGATCTCTCTCGGGCCGAGCGCATTGCGAGACGGCTTGAGGCCGGGACTGTTTGGATCAATATGTCTGAGAAGCCCAACCCGGGTGCATGGTTTAGCGGTCAGAAGAACAGTGGATTTGGTGGTGAGATGGGCAAGCAGGGATTGCTCTCCTATTCCTACACAAAGAGCATTCACTACCCCAAGGGGAAATAAGAGGAGAAAGCCTACGGGCACTTCTTATGGGATCATGGTTGTTCTATTCACACTGTCTACTTTTTCTACAAAAAAACAAAAGAAAAGAGCACGTATCATCCAAAATGCACACTGTCATTCCTCCCTACTACTTTCCAGAGAATCACTTCTCCCCAGCCGCAACAGCCCTCTCCCGGAACGCCACGAGCTGCCGGCCCATGTCGGCGATCGTCTCCTCGGGCGCCCGGAACGTCAGCCCGAGGACCTCCCTCGCCAGCGCGCCGCTGCCGTCGTACGAGCCCTCCTCGGGCTGCGCCTGGTCCGGCTCGCCGCGCGGCACCGTGGCCGCGAGCTCGGGCACGCGCTCGCGCAGGATGTTGGCCGCCCGCTGGTACGTCATGTTGCCCTGCTCGGCCGTCAGCAGGAACCGCCTGCCGCCCGCGGCGGGCACCTCGGCCGCCAGCAGGTGCGCGCGCGCCAGGTCGCGCACGTCGACGTAGAGGTGCACGCGGCCCGGGACGATGGGGTCCGCGGGGCCGAGCCCGGGCCGCGCGAGGCTGGCGTAGATGCCGAAGACGGACTCGGGCAGGTCGGCCGCGCGGGCGACGGCGGAGGGGTCGTACAGCGGGCCCAGGACCAGGGGCGGGTTGAGGGCGACGAGGTCGAAGTTGGGCCGCTCGTCGCGGACAAAGTCCCAGGCGGCCTTCTCGGCGTACTTCTTGGAGGCCTGGTAGACGAGGCCCATGTTCTCCGACACCAGGGCCTGCTCCCAGGTCACCGGGTTCCAGTCGGACTCGTCGTAGACCTTGGGCGGGTTGGTCTTGCCCGCCCCGCCGTTGACGATGGCGGCGAAGGACGAGGTGAGGACGACGCGCCTGACGGTCGGGGCGTGGGCCTTGATGGACTTGAGGATGCCCGTGGTGCCCTTGACGGCAGGGTCCAGGAACTCCAGGTTGCTGCTGTTCTTGCGGAAGTTGAAAGGGCTGGCAGAGTGCACGACGGTGTCGAAGGGCGGAGACGACTTGAGGACTTCGTCGAAAGCGCCCGGGGTCGTAATGTCGGGCACCACGCCAAAGTCCAGCTGTGAGGCCGGGTACTTGCTGAAGATGGAGGCGAGCTGGTCGGCCTTGGCCTGGGAGCGGACAACGCCGCGGACAGAGTGGCCATCCTCTAGGTAGGCGGCCAGGATGTGCTGCGCAATGAAGCCATTGGCTCCAGTGAGAAGAACCCTACGAACCATTGTGATATCTAAACAAGCGGTACTGTATTTTCTGGACTGGAGAGTAACTGAAAGGAGAAGACAGACTTGGTCTCCTGTGTAGCAGAGGGTGTAAGTGATGTTATATTGATCTGGCAAGACAAGTACCTCCCGAGACTCGACGAGATCAAGAGAGGACGGGACGCATTTATAGATCTCCTACATTGCTGCGGCGAGACTCCGCCAAAGGCAGTTACCTAACCATTACAGAGCAAGCCATCGAACGGGTCCGGCTCTATACAGCCGCATGATGTCGGGAGTGGAGACAGGAGCTCTGATGGCAAACGCCGGAAGCAATATGGCGGAATCCACAGGAGACTTAACGCCGAACAGTCTCAAAGAGTCGCACCAATTTTGTTAGCTGCGCCCACCGGCAGCCATACTTCTCGCTAACGAGTAAACCGTGAACAATCGCCGAAAAGTGACCTCGACGAGTTCTCTTGTCTTCGACTTCATCTTCAGAATGGCTGGATATTAGACTATATCCGGGAGAAACCCACACCTCATGAGATCTCTGACGCAATAGCCGTCGGTCAGGGAGGGTATTATTCATCATATTTCCAAGTTTGCAAGCGATGATCAGGTCGGGTCCCATGCTGTTCACAGAAGTACTTGACTTCCCATCAAGCCTTGGTTGTAATATCAGAGTTAGGTGCGAGATGAGAAACCTCTATTTCCGTCTAATTTGAGCTTGGAAATCTAGCAGTCATCTACTCTTGGATGTACTTCTTCAGTCCCCTCAGTCTCTCCTTAGCCGATTCCAAAACCTCGTCCGGCTTGCAAACCGCGAATCTCAGATAATCCTCGGCGATTGATGCGTTGGCGTCGGTGTAAAACTCTGTCGGCGGGATAGCTGCCACTCCAAACTCCTGGATCAGGAACCACGCCAGCTTGAAATCCCGAGGCCGGCTTGCTACGTGAGGCGGAAAGGGGTAGCCCTCGGGCACCTTCACTTTGCTCATGTTGACCAGCACGAAGTAGCCTCCTTCCGGGTCAGAGTAGGGCAGGCCGAGCTCGTCCCAGATGGCATTGAACCGTGCTATCTTGCTCTTCATGTCCTTGATGCACTCGTCCCAGAAGCCCTCGGCCTCGGCTTGTTCGAAGCCTGCAGTCAAAGTATGTTAGGCCTCGTTCCAGGAAGAAGGGTCGGTCACCGCCTCGAGGGCGGATGGGCCGTCACTCACCAATGGCACATGCTTCTTGCAGTGGAGAGACAGATGAGTAGCAGATCCTTGTGTGTGCAGCCGCGACATACTTGATGAGATGTGCAGGCCCCATGAGCCAGCCGACTCGCCAACCAGTCGCGTAGAAGTTCTTGCCAGCCGAGCCCACAGTGAGGGTAAGACGCTCCACCTCGGGAGACAGGGTGGCTACGCGAGTGAAAGGAGCATAATAGAGCCTGTCATATACCTCGTCCGATACGATAATGATCTCGTTCTCCACGCAAAGGTCTGCAATCTTCTGCAGTTCATCTTTGGAAAAGACCTTGCCGACAGGGTTATCTAAGACATGTGTTAGCGCAACATCGAGCACGGGGAAAAGGGTTGTTGCAAGACGTACGAGGTGTGTTGATGACCAACATCTTAGTCTTGGGACTGATTGCTCTCTCAAGCTCGGCAAAGTCGATGACCCACTCGCCCGCCGAGGAAGTCCGGCTTCCGCCGTCTTTAGGAGGGTGCAAGGGCACATAGACGATCTTGCCACCAGCCATCTCGATGTTGGGGATGTACCTGGATGTATGTTTGTCAACACACGTACGGCCAGATTGGGTGCGACACTGCCTGATAGAAGCTGCTTACTGGTCGAAGAATGGCTCGAAAATGATGACCTCGTCACCAGGCTCGATGAAGCCCATGAAAGCACTCAGCATACCTAGGAGATGGCAGTGAGCAGGACGGTGTTGCTGCATCAGAGCATAATCTCTCGTTGGCACTCACCTTCATTGGCACCAGTAGTGATGACGATCTCGGTCTCGGGGTCAAGCTTTCGACCCCAGTAGGGGGCGTAAGCATCCGAAATGGCCTTCCTGAGACGCGGACGGCCCTTGGTCGGACTGTACTGGTTGGCATCCACGCGGTCGAGCGCCTGCTTTGCGGCATTGATGATGAAGTCGGGCGGGTTGTAGCCGAAGAAACCCTGGCCCATGTTTACAACTGGCTGCGTTGGGGTGGCCGCGGCAGCCTCGTTGATGATTGACCTATGCAGGCATTGTCAGTCATGGACTCTGATATGATATCTGGCAATATGCCCCATCCGTCTGTCTGCTTTGGTTTGGACAGTGACAGTGACAGTGACAGTGACTCACCATACATCTTGCCGGTTGTTGGCGACACGAGCGGCGGGCTTGAGTTTTTCGGAATTGAAAGCCATGGCAGTATGAAAAGTTCTGTGACTCTGACGGGCACTTGCGCCAGCAGCCACGATAGAACGCCTAAGGAGGGGCTGGATGAGAGAAGAGGTGTACATGAGCCTCGACGTTAGCAGCGGCAGCGAAAACGAGAACTGTAGCGACCGCACACTCAAGAAATCAAAGCCGTCGGCAGGGAGTGGTCAAATCGGCAAAGAGACCCGCGACCGGGCCTCGACCGGAGGCGCGCAATCTGCCGTAGCGTTCTAGTAGGTACCTAATTAGGCAAGGTGGAGCCTAGCTCCAGCAAACACTCCGCGCATGACTGGAGTCATTCACAGGTACTGAGATGCTGAGTAAAGACGTCACAGCAGCCTGCAAAGACGTGCTTTAGCGCTTACTCCACCAGTCTCCCAACTTTAAATCTCCCGCCTCCAATGCTGTGGTTGTACCCATAACTCACTAAACTTACCCAATCAGGACAACTACAAAGACCTCACTCAATTGATGTAATCGTTTACATGCAGCTTGAAGCTATAATTTGGCTGAGCAAGAATTGATTGAGCTTCTAGTTCTGATACCTGGAGGACTTATGCATCAGATAGCTGAAGCCATCCTAGTGACTAGCCGACTCAAGTTGTTCATTGTAAACAACATACCTAATATATGGGTGCTCTACCTAGACATCATAAGGCTGCATATATGCTGGTTGACACTCAGCAACTTGACTTGAATGACCAGGAAAACTCTCTATATATTCCCAAGGATAACAAAGCAAGGACGGGGAAACTGTGTGCTTTCTTCTCATCTATTTGACAAGTCTCACTCCTTGATGTCATTGCTTGTGTATGTGAGTTCCCCAGATGTCTAAACATCAAAGAACCAGATATTGGGTAGGAAGCATACTACAAGACGAGGTTGACTAAACACAAAGAGTATGAGCTCCCATAAACGTCTTGATGGCTCTCAAGGCTTAGACAGTTGTGGTTTCTAGCCGCACTGTAAGCCCAGACTCATATCCAGCTCAGACGTGAAAGTGAGCTCAGGCTGAGTGCACTCGTTCAGACCTTTCTCACCTTGTCGTCAGTTCCTATTCCAAAACAACAAAAAATAATCCTGAATCACTAAGTGGCGATTTTTTTTCGCGTTCTACCGCAGCTTGCCTCTCCCACCTCTTCCACTCCTCCCACTTCTCCCACCTCCCAAGTCGTTGGGCGGCATCTCTCGCATCCTCCAACCACCACCACCACAAGGCGCTTCTCTCGTTGCAGGACCGTTGCTTGTCTTCCCAGCTCCTCCTTTTCACAAGACTCTAGAATTTCGACTTCCATCTTCGAATTCGGCATCTTGTAAAACCATGGCTGAGAATCCAGCTGGTCCGCCTGAGGACATGCCTGCTCCTCCTGCTGCGAGCCAGCCTGAGCACGGCCTTGATCCATCCAGATACCATTTGTACACCAATCTCAGAGGAGACACTCTTTACGTTCACGACCGCTTCACTGACTGGCTGGATGATCTTCCCCAGACCCTGACCCCTGCCGAGCGCTACCTGCTGGGCATCGATCCCCTTGCCGATCACCCATTGCACCCGCTTCCTGCTCTGTCGCCCCGGGAGAGATTCATGACGCATTTCCCCATCGACACACCTCTGAGAGTAGCTTCTGCCCCCGTCGCTCTTCCATCCTCCCAGAATGTCGCGCATTTTAACAATGGACCGTCCACAGATGTGCCGGTCGATGGAGGACCTCAGCTCACTCTCACTCAACCAGAGACTGCAAATAGCTTGGCTAGCAGAAAACGTCCCACCGACGAGGTGAGATACTCACTACCACATTTTCAAAACAGCCATGTTGCCAAAATTGAGTCCATGCTGACCTGTATTTGACTCTCCCTAGGACCTCCAAGACGCAGAGCCCCCTCGCAAACGGAGCCGCCTCCAGGAAGTCAAGGCTAAGGTCTCTCTCAGATTCTCAACAGCCTTTTCTACGGCTAATGGAAACGCCAATTCCAAGGCTCGTGCCGCGAAGAATGACAGCTCTCTGCCTTGCTTGGCTGTTACCGCCGCAGCGACCGGCGTGGCTTCCCCAGGCGAGACCCCGGCGGCGTCCCAAGGTGTGCAAGGCATGCAAGGAGGTCAAGGAGTGCCAGGCATGCAAGGAGCGCAAGAATTGCAAGGCATGCAAGGCTTCCAAAGCGTGCAAGGCATGTCAGGAGTGCAAGTCTTGCCAGGCTTGCCAGGCGTGCCTCAAGAGGAAGACAAGTTCATGAAGCGCATGAGCCGCATCCTCTCGGCGGCCACCCCTAGCGTCATGCCGTCTCTCCGATCGCCAGTTTCCGTGGCTCTTCCAGACTGTCTTGTTCGAATCATCTTTATGGGAGATGCCAGCGTTGGCAAAACTACGTTGATCAAGTCAGTCATTTTTCCCGGGATACTTTACCTTGTAGAGCATCGTGCACTCCTAACACTGATTGTTTGGCAGGCGATTCAGCAACAGCCGCTTTGATCAGGTAAACACCGAACTGTCATGTCTCCCATAAAGGATCTATTTAGTGACCTCTCAATTCTCTCTTAGACTTATACACCGACACACCTCGAGACTGCATTCACCACCATTACCCGAGATAATGAGACCGTTGGACTTGAGCTCTGGGAGGCCGGTGGCACTGTTGAGCCGACTCGAACCTCGGCCATGAACTTTGCCTGGTTCGATGTTGTCGTGATCTGTTTTTCTGTTGGAGACTCTGGCACGATTCAGAATCTCAAGGAGGTAAGGGGGCGGCACTCTCAGAGACGGGGATACAAAGTTAACAATTCCCAAGTACTATAACCATGCGATGCTGCGTACAGAAGGAGCCTGCATTGTCCTTGCCGGCCTCAAGAAGGACCTTCGCCGAGAGTACGGCACTCTCCGCCTGAGCTTCCTGGAGGAGCCCGACGCTGTCTCATACCACGAGGTACGATCTCTGCCTGATTGTGAAACGCCCCAACCTGCTGGCTGTGCCCTCCAGTCTAACCAATTTTTGTTCAGGGCCAGCGCAAGGCACAAGAGGTTCATGCACAGGATTTTGTAGAGTGTTCTGCGGCCACCGGCGAGAACGTTAATGAGCTGTTTGAGAAGGTGATCGCCCTGGGTGTGCAGCGAAAGAAGGCTATTGAGAAGGAGGCGGCTCGCCTCCATCGCGAGGCAAAGATGGAGCAGCGGGTCTCACAGGTCGGCAAGCTTGCTGGACGTCTCTTCTGTTTCGGCAAGAGCTGAGAATCGACTGTTTGCGGATTGTGTCTTTCCTTGATCATATCTTAGAGGGGTGTCGGTGGTCGTGGGTCTAATATCTGTGGTGTATGAGTAGCCCGGCATGACGGGCACTTCGTCGAAAAGTTCTATGAATTGACTACATTTGTTTCTGAATTCCATGTACAAGAGATGTGAATGACAGCACTGTACCAGCCAGCCTGCTTTTGACAGCGGTCATTCTGGCTTTCGCCCCCACATGGCGAAGAAGTTGGTATAAACGTGCATATTGCCCGTCAGAAGCCCTTCATATGTCTCCTTCACCTTCGCTTGTGCTTCTTCCTCGGTCCATCCCAGTCCCTTCGTCAGCGGCACCAGAAAGAGCATGGGGTGCACATATTGAGCTACTGCAAACAGACGTCCATCCTCCTTGTCCTTGTCCGTGTCTCCCCATGTACCCGCGCGCAGCATAACTTTGATCTTGTCGACGTCGAGGAATCCGCCATTCTTGAGCAGATCCGGCAGCTTCGGGGTGACAAACCAGTCGAGTCCCAATTTCTTTATGCCCTGGTCCCACGACACGTAGAAATCTTTCATCCCGTTTGTCTCCCAGGAGTTATCGTCGCACTGGATGGGAAACTGAACTTCTTTCATCTCGACATAGCCGCCCGGTTTCAGGTGGTCGAAGATCTTGGCGACCAGTTTTCGCCAGTCCATCTGCACGGTACACAGCAGCCGAGAGTGAATCACGTCAAACTTCTCTGTGAAGCCCCAATCATCGCTGGTGATATCCAGAGTTCTAAACTCAAAGTTTGGAGGGGGGCTACAAGAGAAACGATCAGCACAAAACATGCCTGCAACGAGGATGCTGACACTACTCACTTCTCGCCAATGGCGTCGACAATGTCAACACCAATGACCCTGCAGTCGGGGTGTACTCGTGCTGGATTCCGTCAGCATCTCGAAAGACTTGGATAGCTTGGTTGGGATCCTCTACCATATTCAATCGCCCAGACGCCTTTGAGACTTTTGGTAAGCATCAGGGTATTCTGATCGGACGACCGGTACTATACCTGTTCCCGTGCCCAGCTCAAGCAAGATCTTCGGTGGCGACTTCAACGGTGCTACAAGATACCTGTTGTCGAGGATACTCTGCAGAACCATATGCTGGGCATCTGTTGTGTAAGGCCGTCAGTTGCCTGAGGGAGAAGCCACAATACAGGACGTCCCGCCTTACTCAGTCTCTCTTGCCCAGCCTGTAAATATACCATGTAAGCTACCGTATGTTGAAGACCAAGGGAATAGTGACTTACCTTTGCAGCGGTATCCAGTACGTAAGCTACGATACATGTCAATGTCCCTCCATAGGAGTCAATGGGCGTCAAGAGGTCATGTTCTCACCATTCTCGGGAGCACTTGTCGCCATAATGGTGTCACACTTGAGTGAAAGAAAAGATAGGAGGAAAGGATGCTCAAAGCCGGTAATGTAGATATGAGAATCAGCAATGTAAGTCTGCTCTGGAGACAATGCAGGGTAGGTGTAGCTCAACCCAATAAAGAGTAGTTTGGAAGCTAGATCCGTTGCTCAAAGAACATGTCAATGTCTACGGGAGCCCGACTTATAAGTGTCAAAGGCTGCAATGAAGATATTGAGTTGCTTGGCGGAAACTCTGAGCCACCTGCCTACTACGACAACTCACGTCTAGTGCTGACGAAGGAATCGAACGGATCACCAGATACTTCTTACATTTAGCGTAGACTTCATCATCTTCCTGCCATGAGAGTTTCTACAAGCTCTGTAGATCTGACAGCCTTTGATGGCTCTAGGTCCACAAACCGGACCATTCGAACCGAACCAGGAGCTCGTCAGGACGCATACGATCGGCGACGAACGCTTCAACCCTTTTGGGGTCGGGAAAAGAGCAGCAGCCAAGTTTGGGAAGCAAATCCTTGTAGATACCGAGATACCCTGGTCTAGGATATTATCATTGGATGCTTGAAAGCAGAGCATTGATTCTGGCCCCCAAGTGAATAGACACAGAGACCTTGAAGTTCTCTTGGTAGTTGACTGTCGTGATCGAACATGAACAATGCGAGCAATACGAAGTAATATTATGTGTCATGATGAGAATGATTTTGCGGGACCGCCCTACAAAAGCACAACTTAAGAAGGGACCAAGGAACGGGCGGCCGACGGTTGTTCCAAACGATACAGGGTTCTGACGAGTTTCCAGCGAGCGAGGAAGCACTTCGGCATACAGCATTTGACGGAGACAGTGTTGTGGTAATATTTTGGTGTGACATTTAAGTTACGTGTTGACGGCACTGGGGAGCTCCGCTGCTTATCTTATCAGCTCAACGTCAATCATCAGTTCGCCCGCTAAGAGCTCTGGGATCCAGCACCTTTTCTTCCCAAATCCAGATCTGACGTTGGATCATCAATCAAGCGCGGCCGCCCAGCCCATTCTCGTGTCCCATACCGCACGCAGAGCCATGACCACGCGGCACACCGCACCCACATCCCACAAGTCGGCACGATGAGCGGCGGAAGCAGCGGCGGGCCCGGCGCCTCCTCGCCCACCAAGCCGCGCCCTTCCACGCGGTCCCCGACCCTCCATCCCACACCCCGCGCCGCCGCCGCCGCCCAGGACCGGCGGCGCTCGCCCCGGGCGCCCTCGCCCCTCCCGCCCCCGCTCCTCCTGACCGTCCGCTTCTCCAGCTCCCTGCCGGACCTGCTCCTCGACATCCCCTACCCGAAGCGCACCACCGTCGCCGCCCTCAAGCACCTCATCCGCGGCCGCCTCGCCGAGCCCAACTCCCAGCGCCGCCTGCGCTTCATCCACGGCGGCCGCATCCTGCCCGACGCCTCCGTCCTGTCCGCCGTCCTTCGCGCGCCGCCGCCTCCCCCGCCCTCGTCCCCGCTGCCCGGCGGCGGCGGCGGCGGCAGGGGCGACCGCGATGCGGCGGCAGCCGACCCCAGCGGCAAGGGCAAGCTCGTCGAGGGCAAGGAGCTCGCGCAGCGCGTCTACGTCAACTGCAGCATAGGAGACTCCCTGACGGACGAGGAGCTGCGCGCCGAGGCCGAGGCCGCCGAGACCCCCGTCCCCGCCGACGAGCCGTCGCCGGCGGCCGCTGGCGGTGGTGGACCCGCGGGACTACGACGGGACAACGGCGGGCGGCCGCGCGCGACGGGCCTGCAGGTCGACACCGGCGTTGCGGGTGGCGGGAGCGGCCTCCAGGCCCGCCGGGCGGCCAACACGACGCAGGCCCCGCGCGGCTTCGACAGGCTGCTCTCGACGGGCTTCACGACCGCCGAGGTGAACCAGCTGCGCCTGCAGTTCCGCTCCATCCAGGCGTCGAGGCACACGCCCGATACCATGCCGTCGCCCGACACGCTGCGGAGCATGGAGGACGCCTGGATCGACAATAACAATAGTGGCATGGGCGTGACCCCCGGGGAGGGAGGCGAGGGCGTGGCAGGTGCCGACGGAAATGTAGACGAGTTCGGCATCAACGGCCTGCTCGACGTCCTGTTGCGTGGTATGTTGATCGGGTTTATCTGGCCGCTTGGCAGTGTCGGGTGGCTCGTTCGAGAAGAAGGCTTGTGGAGTCGGAAATGGTCTGTTTTCGTAACCTTTGGCTTTGTCCTGAGCCTTGTCATCGGCATGATACGTGCCATATCTGGTGATGTGTAGAGATAGAGATGTGTACCTGATAGCTTTGAGATACCCACCCCAATACAAGTCGGCTGTTGGCAAACAAAACATACTTGTTGTGTCTACGTAGTGCGTCACTCACTCCCGGCTAGCATAAGATAACGCCTTCAAGGCTGATCAAGACAATTTCTTTTCTTTGAGTCTATTGACATGGGAATCATCACCAAGATAAATCGCTGATTAGTGGATTGTCCTTTTCCGTACGCCGATGCATGCCGTGGCCATGCGAATCTGGAACCACCGCCAGAACAAATAATACAAAGCGACCGCCTGCTAACTTAGAGGTAGAGAGACTGTGCAGCCACGATATCCCTCTTGATTTTCTCCAGACTCTGCTCGAACTTCTGGGTGAGCTCATCGCTGCCCATGACCTTTGCTGCCTGTGCCATCTGCCGAAGAAGTTCCTCCAACCGACGGAACAGACGAATCAGCGAGCCTTCGTAGGCATTTGTCATTTTGCTTTACCAATGGTCAGCCTGTACACTTCAACATGGGGGAAGTGGCTTGAGAATACATACCAGATTTCCGCAAAGGAACGTCCATTTGCCCACGTGAACACCGTCTCCATCAGTTGCCACTTGAGGCTCTCAACGTACTCATCCTCGTTGACGTCAAGCTTGCTCTCCCTGCTGACCTTGGCAATGATCCTGGCCTGGGCCTGCACCTCGCGGTAAGGCTTCGCAAGCTGCTCTTTCAGGGGTGTTGCCTCGACCCGCTCGTCAAAGATGAAGCAACTGAGTACCGAGGCGCAGACCTCCGGAGTTAATTCGTTGAAGAATCGGTTGAAGAGCAGCTCGGATAGAAGCAACTCGTGGCCCTCAGTCGAGGAAATCTCGCAAGCAACGCGCGCCTTCATTTGCACAACCTCGGCATCGTTGATGAAACCAAGTCGTCGCAGCACTCGTTTCCTGGACTTGAGCTCGTCAAGTTGAGCAATGCTGTGAGCCTTTGCAATGGCCTTCTTCTTCTCCTTGATCTTGTCGCCCAACTCGACCTTCTCCTTGTACTTCTCCCAGAGCTCTGGCAAATTGGGCGAGCCGTGCAGAGGGTTGGAGAGAAGTCGCGACTCGAGCACCTCGATCTTCCTCATCAATTTCTTAAACGAATCATCGGTGATCCGCATGCTTTCGATAGGATCGAGGATGGGAATACCGTCAGGAAAGCGTTTCTTAACCTCCCGGATGACCTTCCCAAGGCCAGCCTTGCCCTGGTTTGTCCGTACTTCATCGGGCATGAATACGCGAATCTGAGCGAAGGATGCAACACAATTAAGAAGGCATGGAACAATTTCCAGTTTCTTGTAAACACCATCGTCCGGGGGGATGAGGCCTTGCGGCATAAAATTGCCATTCGGCACAGCCGGCGAGAAGTTCTCACTGTCCTCCGCAAGGAAGAGAGCAACATCAACGAAATAAGATTCTTGAGGCGGGAACTCCGGCTCACCAGCCTTGGGCTCGCTGCGAGGGGTAAAGGAAACAACCACTCCCCAATCAAAGTCGACGCCATCCGGAGTTTTGATACGAACTAGACGGCCTGGTTGGAGGAATTCAAGACAGTAGCTCGGATGGTGGATGACCGAGACCATATCTTTGGTGTACGCCTCGATCTGCCGTCGGATGTTGTAGTACTCCTTCACAGTGTTCTCGTCCGGAATAACCATGTTGTCCCGCTCTTGCTGAAGGCTCATGAGCTCCTTCTCCAGGGCCGGAACACTAGCCGCATTCTGGAATTGGAAAAAACATCTCTCCAGCATATACTCCGGTGACACAGTCTCAATACGTTGAAGATTGAGCACCATGTTGTAGCCGAGGTAGAAGGCGGAGTTCAGGCGGTCCTGCTGGCCGGCAACGATAGCTTTCGCAGTCTCAGGCTCAAGTTTGTCGTCAACCATCATGATGACAATACCACGGTCATCAAGACCTCTTCGCCCAGCTCGGCCGGACATCTGGATATACTCAGACGAGGTCAAGGGTCGCCTCGATACACCATCGAATTTGGTCACTTGCGTGAACACGACAGTTCTTGCCGGCATGTTCAGACCGATGGAAAAGGTCTCGGTGGCGAAAAGCACCTTGATCAAGCCTTCTTGGAAGAGAATCTCGATCGTTTCCTTCAGGATGGGGAGCAGCCCGGAGTGATGGACACCGATGCCCTTTCGGAGCAGTGGAAGAATGTGCGTGATCTGGGGTAGCTCTCGGTCTTCCTCAGATAGCATCTCAATAGCGTTCTCAAACACCTTGTTGACCATTGTCTGCTCAGAGTCGTTGTTGAAGTTCATGGCAGAGATCTTGAGTGCCAAGGTCTCGCACTCTCTCTTGCTGAAGTTGAAAACAATCACAGGATGGAAGTTCTTCTTCATGATCATCCTGATGATCTTGGAGATATCGGAATTGGCATCAGCTGATTGGCCCTTAGCAATCTTCTTGTTTTTGCCTTTGCCTTTCTGGCGAGCATTCGGGTCGGCAGAATCGGCGCCCTTGTTGAGCTCGACTTGAGCCATCGCCGTGTTGAAGTTCTTCTCCTTGAAGACACCTCGCTCATCCACGACGAGGAAAATGCCACTGCCACCTGCTGGGAAGCAGTAATTTTGCAGAGGGGTAGGACGGAAGTCTGTGTAGACAACATGGCAGGCCTGCCTGTGGATCTTGGCGATCCACTCAGCGAACTGGAACGCATTGGGAATCGTGGCCGAGAGGAAGACGTAGCGGACTTTGTCAGGCAGCAGAATGATCGTCTCTTCCCAGACAACACCGCGAGACTTATCTCGTAGGTAGTGAATCTCATCAAAGACGACCCACGCCACTTCGCGCATGATCTCCGAGCCTCTGTACAACATGGATCGCAGAATCTCGGTGGTCATGACGAGACAGCTTGCGGTGGGGTTGATCGTGACATCGCCAGTCATCAGACCGACATCACCGAACTCTGCTTGAAAGTCTCGATATTTTTGGTTGCTCAGGGCCTTGATGGGGGAGGTATAGATGATCCTCTGGTTACGCTTGAGACATTGCGCGATGGCGTACTCAGCAACGACCGTCTTTCCAGCACTGGTGTGCGCAGACACCAACACACTCTCCTCTCGTTCGATAGATGCGACAGAGAGACTCTGGAAAGGATCCAGTTTGAAGGAGTAGACACGTGCTGGCTCGTCAGGAGCCTTGTGCTCGGAAAGCGGGACGTATTCGTAGTCCAGATCGGGCGGCAGAGCGACCTGATGCTGGATGTTATGGGACAGAACCAAAGCCTCAGTCTCCTTGACCGCTGTGAAACCAGAAGCAGCTGCAACTTGTCTCGACTCGGCGGTTTGGAAAGAGTCGGTCAGGACCGGCTCAGCTTCGTCCACCCTCTTCTGTCGCTTCGACTGTGTGTCTGAAGGCTCTTCCGGCTCCTCCACTGGAGGTTCCTCGTCGTTTGATGTCCCATCCACACCGTCCATATCCACGTCTCCATCTGGGCCCGCTTCCTTCACGACTCCATCGGCCTTGCGCTTCTTGCTCTTGTCCAAGTTCTTCTTCTTCGAATTCTCGGGCTTTTGAGGCCTCTGCGAGGGCGGCTCGGCACTGCGCTTGGAACCGGGCTGCTCGTCGAAAACGTCGAACAGCTCATCCATGCTGGCGGAATGCGAGTGGAAGCGCCCACCCTGCGATGCCGTGGTCCTGCAAAGCTGACGAGGTTATGATGGAGTTGTAGATAAAGAAGGGTGAATGCACCTGATAGAGATGCAGGCAAGTAGGTCGCAACCTCAGTGATAGGTGAGCACGAGAGGTGAGCCAGCCGTGTTTATCAGAGGGTTGGCGTGGCTTTGTCGAGCAGAGCAAGGACCTAGTCGGCAGCGGTCGCGATCGCACCTACAGCTAAAGATCGAACAAGAAAAAAAATGCTGGTCGTGCGAAGTGGGGATTGGGCGGCAGAAACCAGACGTCACTAGCTTAATAGAGAAAAGCGTAGATTGGGCGGTCAGTGGATGGAAAGGCACAGCTGGCGTGCACAGGCCATCAGTCCAGTCTTGACTCCGAGCGAGCTGGAGTCGCATTTCTCCGTGCCGAGTCTTTGCCGAATCAGGCTCACCCCATTGGACGAGGTCTACCAAAGTCAGACCACCAGCTGGGCCGACCTCAAAGCAAATCTTCCAAACGTCAGAGCTTCAAAGCACAGCTTCCCAACTTCAACAAACCACGACACTCCGCTCCCTGCGCCTCTCACACATCAGCAAAGGTCCGCCGCCGTCTGGCCCGTCTCCCACCTGCTCAATTGGCCCCTGGCTAACCGTCGATTGGACTCGACTACAGATGCTTTCTCGCGCAGCCGTCCGCGCCGTGCCGCGCACCTCGACCGCCCTGGTTGCCCGCCGCGGCTTCCACGCCACCCGCTCCCAGCTCTCGTCGCCCTACCACTACGCCGAGGGCCCCTACACCAACATCCCCTTCAACCCCAGGACGAAGTGGTTCGGTCTGCGATTCACTCTGTTCTGCGTCACGGGCTTCTTCGCCCCCTTCGGCATCGTTGGTACGTGAAAACTGTCCACCTCCCGCCAATGCACCAATCGACCGATCTGATCTAGATTGCGGAATTCCGAGGATGGAGAGAGTATGGTTGCTGACCGTCAATTTTAGCCTGGCAAACCTACAAGCCCCGCAACTAGAGGGTTCGTCGTGATGGGATCAGTGGGATGGATAGCGTCTCGAGGATTGTTTGATGGAAGCCCGCTGGGCGAGGTGTATGTTTAGCCATCATAGAGTCAAATCAGACAAGTCTTCTTTGTCCACACGCCACGCATCTGTCCTCTGTGCGACCCAACAGATCAACTCCGGGCTGCGCCGCGACACAGGTTCTCTCGAGTACAGTGTACCAAGCGATGGGCAGACGAGGTTGAGAATGCGAATGCTCTTGTTAAAATTATAGTTATATGTACAGGTGGTGGTATCATGCATTGTCTATCCCGCCCCATTCTTTTGCCGCAGTAGTCTTGCCCCGACCCGAACTCCTTATGTCCAATGAGTCCTCCAATAGTGTTACACCTCCTTGCCTCTTCTTCAGAAGATTATGCAAGAATCCCATCAAGAATTCGATATCAGCCGGCTCGAGCTCCCATCTCGAACTTAGAGCATCATACGCCTCCAGAACGGCCTCGGGCGAACTGCATCTGTCAAAGGCCCTGAGGGCCCATATGACCAGCCAGGTGTCAATGTAGAGGCCCGAGGTCTGGTTGTCAAGAGCCTGTAGAAGGGCGGTCCAGACACTCTGCAGCCTCTGCTCGCTCCAAGCTGAGCCGTCATAGCCGCCGTGAGCATTGAAGCCCTTGAATAAAGATAGGAATACAGCGCCGTGCAACGGCACCTCGAAAAACTTCATCTCGTCCAGATATTTGGCGACGCTTTCAAGATCCCCCAACTTGACGGCGTAATGGTAGATCAGGATGCGAAATGTCGATAGGTTGGGCGTCATCGGCGTGAGCGCTTGGAAGCTGTTTCGCATCTCGGGATGCTCTTTGCCGACCTTGGCAAACATCATGAGAACTCTCGTAACAACCTTTTGGGTGGCGTAATTGCGCTCCGGCATTTCTGGCGCCTTCTTGTGGCTGGCTTTCATTCGCTCGTAGACGCGGGCAGCGGCGTCCTCCTCGCCTGACCGCAGCAAGCCTGCGATCACGCAGTTCAAGACCAGCGAGTCGATCATCTCGCCCGATTCAACCATTTCCTTGTAAGCTGCCCGGACACCATCGCCGTCCATTTTGAGGCCAAAGAAGTGTATCAGGCTGACATGGTGATAACGGTTGAAGCGGTGACCTCGATTCTCCATCTCCTTGTAGATCATCTCGGCGAGTGTAAAGTTACCGGCTTTCGAGGCAACATCGAACATAATGTTGAAGGTAACGTCATTGCCCTTGATACCAGCGTCTTGCTCCATTTCTCTCCAGAGGCTCAGAGCAGATTCTGTCTCAGAGTCGGTAGAGACGCCCACATATCGGCTTGCATAAGACATAGCCGTATTCCACTCGGCTCGGAGGAGAGGAAAGCCACTGTTCTTGACATCTGCGATGACCGCAAAGTAGCGCAGCATGGACTTGGAGTCCTTCTTTTCAGTGACGCCGATGGCCCTCAAAAGCTGATGTCGAAGTGCTCCGGACAAGTACGGCATGCGAGGTTCCGGTAGTTGTCGGTATAGATTGTAGACCTCATCTGCACTGGCCCGCAAGGGATTCCTAAGCCGTTTCAATACAGCGGATCGCAACTCGCGGAGAATTTTGTGTTCACGCTCATCAGCGGGCTTGGTTTCGTCGCGGGAGGGGAACCGTACGTCCTCTTCCCTGTTTGAGACCGTAACCTCAGGCCCATTGTCGGGTGCATAGCCTCGCCGGTATGGATCCCGGAAGAACTCCAGGTGCTCATCCACCGAGTCTTGGTCGTCGTACTGATCCACATATGACAATAGTTCTTTCTTGCTCGGACTTGGCCTCGCCTGCTGCCAGAAAGTGTCACTGGCTACCGGCGTGGCCACGGCATGGCCGAATCGGCGCTGGTTCTTTTGGTGTGCCGCCGGTGACTCCGGAGTCGTCCTTGAGACGGACAGCAAAGATCTTGGTGGCAGCTGAGGGATGAGGTTATTCGATGGGGGTGTAGATGCGGTTCTCGGTACGGTATTAGATTCATAATGCCGTCTCTGAGAGCGTGCCTCGATTGAGCATCGGCCGCAGAGCCGTCGATTCTGAAAGAAACCCGGGGCCGGCCAGCGCGATGACGGTCGACTCGAGAGGATCGCGCCGCATATCGACCCGTCAATTCGACTAGAAGATTTCATGGGTCGTCCCTCATGGTGGTTCCCATGTCACCGCCGCGCTCTTGTCCCTGTTGTATTTGGAGCAGACGGAAAGGTGGCAAGAGTTCGTTCCCCAAGATACACACACGAGGCGTAAAACACAGATTGCCCAGATGTTGCTGTATCGCCTCTAGGTAATAACCGAAATTTTGGTCTTATCAGTTGTTCAATCAATGGGCGGGCCCGGTCGATAGGGGTGCGGGTCTGTGCTGTCGCCCGCGTTGGCGCCAGTCAAATGCGACGCCTACGGTTGGGGAACAAAAATTGACCCGGCATATCATGGATCCGTGCCTTGAATTTCAATGCTCCAGAACGAAGCTTCATTGTCACGCCAGGAGCCTCGAGATCTACGAACACCACCCAAATCGGCTGCAGAGGCTTCGGTAGAAGTCCTTGAACCCTGTAATATTCTGGGAGACAAGGGCGGCTTGCTCCTTCAAGCCAATTGACATGGCAAGGCACTTCAAAGCAGCGCGAGTCTTCCGGACTGCGCAAAAGAATCTCGCAGTCCGGACAGTCGCAAGCGTCGAGGAAGTACCACCACCATGGCTGAAGGTTGTCGAATCCATACCGCCGTCAGAGATCCTCACGAGGCCGTATCCTGTACAGCACCAGCCTCTGAACCCGCGTGCGCGAAAACCGAAGAACATCTTCAAGCCGCAACAGATCACCTTCGAAGAGGACGAATACCGCCGAACCTTTTTCAGAGACCACCCGTGGGAGCTTGCCCGGCCCAGGATGGTTATCGAGATGGATGGAAAAGATGCAAGGAGGTGTGATTGGAGCAAGGGACTTCGGCAGCCTGGAATTCCGCTGACCGGAGAGAGGTCAGTTCAACACAACGTGTCAAACTGTTTGGCGCTCTGCTTTACTGACAAAACCGCAGTGTTGTGCAACGACAACTCTGGCTGATGCACAATGTCCCCGATATCACGAAAGAACAGGCCTACGATGCAGTTCGGCGAGAATTCTACGCCTTGAGGCAAGAGGAAGAAGTGGAGAGGAGAATCGCCCAGGAAGAGGCTCGCATGGTGGGCGCCTACTTCGGCAAATCAGCTATGCAAGTAGGCATGGAGCTTGAGGACGCGCAATTCGAGAAGTGGAAATCATGGGCGGCAACTCAGACAGAGAAGATCGAGGCCGAACGTACCGCAGCCTACACATCCTTTGGTGACCAGGCTGAGACGCCAGATGTGGTTGCTGAGGAGCAGGTTGTGTAGTGGGCTGGCTTCGATAACGAGATCTCTTGATCGTGTACAAAGCCATGTACTATACTGCATAAAAAATGTACCATACACTGTACCATTTGGCCATCTTGAACTCATTAGGTGTACTAGCAAATTGCTTTACAATGAACGTCACATTCTGTTTTCGCAACAGTACATGGAGTACCAATGTATTTTGTTGCTTTCTAAGCGGGTCCTTTCTCTGCATCCTTCAGAGGTTGCTCCTTGATTCCAAGAAGATTGCCTTGCTTGCTGATGTCACCCACACAAGGCCGGCCAATCTTCTCAGCCAGAGTGTCATGTTGCACAAGAAACATGTCGGCGATATCTGTTGCATAGAACAGCTTGCCGGTCAGGCTCAAAGTCTTGGGATGTGCCCACGTCTCGATATACATGATCTTGGCACGATTTTCAGGCACAAGGAAGCAGAACTTCAGCATGTAAGCTACCAGGCAAACAATGAAGCCTGTTCCTGGCCCATTGGTGACAATAACATGAGGGTATCGAAAGTTCTTGACCTCGGCCGGCCCTGATCGATCCTGAGGAGGCAGCATGATAGTGTTGAGAATGGATATCGTGCTGAGAATCGAGGTGTACCACGCAGTCCATAGCGGCTGGTAAATATCTCGGGCTCGACGAACTCTGACAACATCCCAGGTCCCACCGAGGCCGCGAGGGTAAGCCTTCTTGATTTTGTTCTCCAGCTTGAGAACCTCGCTGAGAGAATAATTGTCGCCCGAGCTGATGATGTAGCGGCGGTGGAGGTTTGCATGGCCCCTGAATTGGTACCTGATCATGTTGCACAATTCAGAGGTGTGTCCTCCCGACCCGAGCACATACGTGAAGGACACAGCAGGAAGATTCCTGATGGCAGGCGCCGGAGCTTGTTGATGCTTAGCTGCGTTCCATGCTTGGGAAGAGAGCTGTGCCCTGGCTCTTCTGAGATATATGAAGCGACTCTGACTCTGTGTGTTGGTTGACTGCTCATGTCGTTGGAGTGGGTTGACTTACCGTCACAAATGTTCCAGCAAGGAGTGCTAGAGCCGTCAAAACTGGCAGTCTGATGAAAAATAGACTGAGTGCAATAGCAAGCCCCAGGATCAGGGAGACTGCTACAATTTTCAACGTGAATGAGGTAACGGCAGGCGCCTCAATAATGTGAATGTCGTCCCTGGTGAGATCTGTCTGGGCTTGATCTGTGTTGTCTTAGCAAGGCGATATGCCAATGAACCGGGACGACAGACTGACCCTTGCGTCCATTATCATCCTCGGGTGAGTGAGATACCTGGTGTTGAGATAATGCAGACATTTTTAAGGTGCCAAATGACCATCCCTCGTATCGTGCCTCTTCTTGTCAATGGTGCTTTTCTTTTCTTAGGTACATCAAGGCCTTAAGTTGCACGCCTTCTTTGTTGGAATAGGCAAGTCTTGACAAACTAAGCCTTGTGCGGTTTGCATACCGAAAACGGTGCTGAACAACAATTATATGGCGGTCCAAGCTGCTTTTTGTATTGTCTCAGGCTGACTCTTGTCTATAAAGTCATGTTGTGGTTCTTTTCGTGTTGAGAGTGAAGGATAATGGAAGTGACAGCTGTGAGCTCCAGGGCTGCTCAGTGAAGGAAGGCCACATTAACTGCAGCGGGTGAAGTAACTGAACTTGAGCACGTTGGGACTAAATTCCAGGTACCTGAGGTGCTAACTGCATTGTGGGTTCAAGGCTGCTCCACAAAAGTGCCCGTCACCGCCCTCACAACTTTGCGACAAACAGCTACTTTAACCACACATCCACCGCCCGGCAGTATTCCCCAAAGCTCCTTGAATCAACAGAAAATCGAGCAGAGGCCGTCACGCAGTCTTGGAAGTGTTTCCTCACTTCACTGATGATGCGATGGCTGGGTTCGGGCGGAAGAAGCGTTTCCTCACATGTTTCTACTGTGGGCGACGCACATCCACCCAATACGACGGTGGCATCCGTCGATTTGACTGCCCAAACTGCGATGCGACGAACTATCTCGACGAGGTTTGTACATACAACGAGCTCTTTCAAAGCATGGCCGTTTACTGACCTGGCAACTAGAATGGTGACATCACCGATCCACCGGTAGCGACCACGTCTATCGAGCCCAAAGCCACGCAGTATGCTACCTCTCGGCCTAACCCGTCACGGGCCAAAGACAACGCAGACAGCATTTTCTGCGATACTTGCCTGAAGAACCAACATCTCTTCACTGCTTCCTTGGCCCAGTACCTCCCCGAAGACCCGGATCATCCCGAATACGAAGAACTTGAACGGAAGTATTACAAGTTTCGCAAAGGCCTGGAACGCAGATATCCCCAGGTTTGCGCCGACTGTGAGCCCAAAGTCCTCGGTCGAATCACACAGGCAGGATACACTGCGAAGACAGATCATCTGCGACGTATGATAGATCGGAGTCGGGAAAATCGCACAAAAGCAAGCCTCTCTGCGGTCAATGTTGTGAGCTCAGCAGGCAGGTGGTTATGGCTCGCAGGCCTCTGGCTGCAACTCCTATGGCACCTGTCTCTTTGCTTAGAGCTAGTCGAGGACCCCGCCAACCTTCAGTCATCACCGCTACCCTCGGTGCTCGAGAGTCACAAATTCATTCTGTCGCTCCTGCATCTGCTCCCATCTCCGGAAGACCTGCTCAGATACTGCCTCTATGCCAGCATTCTGAGCTTCGCATGGAACCCACAACTGTCCCAGACACTTCGGGGCTTCAGCAAGCATATCAAGGGTCTGTCGACTTGGTACATTTACCAACTCATGATCACGGTTACTCGAATCGCTTTCTCAAAAGCAGCGGCGCTGTTGATGCGACAACAAATATCTGCCATGGCCCAAATCACAGCCCATTGTGTCATGGCAATGTTCACCATATATGTAGGTGCTGACCCTCTGTAATACTTTTGCGCGTCACTCTAACGTTCCCAGATTTACGTTGTCGCTGGTCGCTCAGTCAAGATCGACACGACGCCCCTTTTTGGAACAAGTCCCAAGAGACCCTCTTCCCCGCCACCGCCGCCCCGATCTAAGTCCTTGCACACCTCTGCTCGCGAGGAGAGAAGCATGTCAGACCTTCTCGACGAGATCCTAGAAGCACCATCCAAACCTGCAGATTCTATTGGAGATATGGCTCATGCAAAGGGTGCCATGAACGGTTATTCCACTTTGAATGTCATCCAGAATGCGCCGGGAAATCCACAGGCAGCGTCCGACTTTCACCTTGGCTCTTTGAACATCTCCGGACAAAGCTTTTCCTCGGGCAGATCAGACCCTGTGCAATATTCCGAGGAAATGGATTGGACACCGACACAATCCCGCCACCGAGCTTTTAACACATCCGGTAGCAGTCAGTCCCCCTTGAAAAGCTTTGGCGACGCACCTGTTGAGTCAGATCGTGCGCAGTTCTGGTACAAGATACCTCCCGCACCAACTAGTATGGCCCAGCGGATCCTCAACCCTCCAAATCAGCCACGATTGCATAGTCCGGTCAATAAACAGGACCTCAATTTTCGAGGCACATCGGGGATGTTCAAGCCATCAGCCAAGACCGACAACACAGGCGTCGAGTCAGTGGAATTCGCCCAACCCTCGTTGTTTCTCCCAGCGGCGACCGACGACCCTCGTGACCCGCTGTCCGACATGTTCACGCAAAGCTTCTCGCTGAGCCAGAGCCAAGCAGATGGAGCACACTTGAAGCGCGGGAAGCGATCCACCCCTAAGAACACGGCTGTCTCGAGACATATTTCTTTCTGCGTGGCTGAGCTGGCAATCCTTTCAGTGTGTTTACTCGGATGGCTGTACATCGGAGCGGCCGGACACCAGATTTCCACCAGGGCTGCTCTGCTCATTTTTGGCCTCTGCATCGCGATTTCGATGGACGCAACGAAAGACTCGTTCTACGCCCTTAGGGCTACTAAATCCTCAATTTGGATACCAGCTCTGGGTGTGATTTTTGGGGCAGCAGAGCTGCTATTGACCAGCCTGGTTGTGTTCCAGCTCTGGAGCACTGACTCCACTGCTGGCCACATGAATATGGGTGGTTGGCTCATTGGTGCGACAATTGTACACCAATTGTGGAATCTTATGTTTCATTAAATAACTATGCATGGGCTGGACAAAGAAGAGTGTACATAATATATGGCATTGGTTGAAGGACTAGGGATTGGCATTGACGATGCGGAGTTTTGCATGCGCATAGCACAGGTGTTTGGGAATTGTTGATGAATAGACTCCCCCAAGGAGACCAATCCGTCGAGGGCTTTGTCGATTTACGGCGTCAACTATGAGATACACGAATATATCTGTCCCTCAGTGAGACATCTTGTCTCTGAAATTAGCTAATAGTAGCTGGATAGCGATCCCGTGCATAAGAAGGTCTCGAGAACCGTCCCGACGGTCGATCCAACAGCATTCAAATCAAGCCGAGGCAACCTCGCTAATTGTTTGCAGCAGGCGTACCGGATCATGCCCAAACCGTCCCAGGAAAAGTCCGTCAGCACCGTCCTTGAGCTCCTCAAATAGGCCTGGACCTGCACTGCCGCCATAGATGATCCGCGTCAATCCTCTGCGAGATGCTATGCAGGGGGAGCCCCTGAGGGCTCCGATCACGCCAAGGACATGCCCGGCGTCAGCGGGTTCTGCCGCACCGATGGCCCAGACCGGTTCGTATGCCAGAAGCACTTCGGCGTCCTCCGGCAAGGCTTTCAGAACGGCCTCTACTTGAACGGCGCACTCGCCGACAGCAACGGACACATCGCCCCGCGTCCGCTCGCCAATGCAAACAAGTGGTATCATGCCATTCCTCACCACCGCGGCCGCTTTCCGAGCAGTATCAGCATCGGTCTCGCCAAAGAGCCGGCGGCGTTCGGCGTGACCCAGCTCAACGATACGACATCCGACTTCGGCCAGGACAGCGGGCGAGACTTCTCCTGTGAAGGCGCCTTGATCTTCAAGGTGGGCATCTTGGGCACCGACGAGGACTTTTGTCCCTGCAGTCTTGTCAACGACGGAACAGAGCGTGATGAAGTCCGGGATGATGAAGATGTCGAGTTTGTCCTGCAGCGAGGGCGACTTGGAGAGGAGGGCGAGGATTTCGTCTACATATTGCCGCGTCCTCGCTGCTGAGAAATACATCTTGGTCGAGACGCCGACTATGCGACGTCGTGGGGCCGCCATTGCTCGACGATATTAGAGTGGTGCAATGGTGCAAAACACCAGGATGATCACAGGTGATGCAGGGAATTGTAAAGTAGCTGAGGCGTTGAGGAAGGATAGGGGGAAACGTGCTAGGAATTCAACATCTATTAGGCCGAAGAATCGTGGTTTAGTTACAGAGGGGAGTCAATCCTCCCCTCTTACAGAATCATATCCCGGAGGCACAGGCCGGGGATTTTAAGTGAGGAGGCGGTCCCCACCTCCGAACCGGCTTCGGGGGCCAGGATCAAGCACAGACGACAGGAGTGGAGACAGCCCGCATGCCCCTGAGCCCGTCCATCTGATTGATCTGACCCACATCTCCATGCCCCACAATTCGAAAACCCTACCGGTCAAATCACCAAAATCGAAAAAACGACTAAAAATTGAAGTCACTTTTTTTCCTTTCCCAACCAACAACGTCAATCACCACCCGTTATCACTTTGCCGCAACGCAGCCTACCGAAAGGTCCTCGTTCGAGTCGTAACGGAAATCATCAACCCCTGAACAAAATGTCTTACCAGAAGGGCGACAAGGATGTCGGCGAGCAGCCCGTACGTTTGCGCCCGCATTTGCCCCGCCATTGGGGAATGGGATTCGGATAGACCGCTGACAATGGATTTTCCTCCGCGCAACAGAAGGCTCACCGTATCCGCATTACCCTGACCAGCTGCAAGGTCCAGTCCCTCGAGAAGGTCTCGACTGAGCTCCTCGACCGCGCCCGCTCCAAGGGTCTGACCGTCAAGGGCCCCGTCCGCCTGCCCACCAAGACCCTCAAGGTCACCACCCGCAAGACCCCTTGCGGTGAGGGTTCCAAGACCTGGGACACCTACGAGATGCGCATCCACAAGCGCCTCATTGAGTACGTTCAGATGATTGAGCTCCAAGTAGCCCCCGGCCGGACACGCGCTGACCTGGATCGTTCTATAGCCTTCACGCCCCCACCGAGGTTGTCAAGTCCGTCATTGTCAACAGTAAGAGCCCGCGCCCGATCTACTTGGCCGAATGTTCGCTAACAAACCGCAGTCGAGGCTGGTGTCGAGGTCGAGGTCACCATTGCTGCTTAAATGTAAGCAATGCGGAACGAGGTGTCCAGTGCCGCGCATACTTGTTGTGCGAGACAAATGGGAGGAAGGAGAAGCCGAGCGGTTGGCTCTTTGCTCTTCTCTGGATAGCGTCTCTCGGCCCTGGACGATATGAAGGGGCAAAAAGGCAGCTTAGACAATCAATATACCGATTGACGAGAACTTGTGTGCCCAAACTCGTGATGGTGAATGTCGGCCCCGCCATGACAACCATGCGACTTGCGTATATATATTCAATCGAAACAACGGCCCAATTTGGATTGTTCGGTACTGACGGTGCTCTTAAGCAGGAATGTATTCACTCCGGAACGAAATCCCCGGCCGCTAGCCAGGTGGCACATAATTTGTAACCGCCAGATTGCCGCTGTGCATATTGAACATTGCTTTTGATTCAACTAGGACCTCATCGAATTCAACCTTATTCTTTTGACGAAGAGACTCGTGAAATCTATATCCCATTACACTAACATCAGTTCGACACCTATATGCCCTTCTCGAGATGCCGTCGAACATGTTGCACGCATGCATCGGATGACTCGTTGTCCATGTGTCGGGCGTCCGACCTGCTACAGGGTCATGACGAGGCCGGAACCTCGTGAAAGTCGTTCTCATACTGCATGATGGCCTCTACCTTCGCAGCACTGGCGCTGTTTGGGTCGAACTGGTAGCTCAGCCACTCCTTGGCCAGTCTCCGAGCCAGCTCGATCCCGACGACACGCTCTCCCATGCACAGCACCTGGGCGTTGTTGCTCATGACGGCGCGTTCCACGGAGAAGCTGTCGTGCGCCGTGACGGCCCTGATCCCCTTGATCTTGTTGGCCGAGATGGCCACGCCCATGCCCGTCCCGCAGATGAGCAGCGCCCGGTCGCATTTGCCCTCGGCGACGAGCCTGGCCGCCTGGATCGCGCGGTGCGGGTAGGCGGTCTTGTCGTGCGTGCCGTCGCTGCCGACGTCCGTGACGGACTCGACCCGGGGGTCCTTTTCAAAGTCGGCCTTGATGGCGTTCTTGTAGCTCACGCCTGCGTCCTGGTATGAGAGAGAAAGAGAGCTTGGTTAGCGGTTCGCCCTTTCGCGCTTCACTCTAGCTCAAGGTTCTCACGGAGGGGTCTGGACTACTGACATCGCATCCTATAGCAATTCTATACTTTGGCTCTGACATGATGGGCTGGTTTATGGATATATGTTTGATAAAAGAAGTTTGGAATTGGGCTTGTTGACCAGGCACAATGGTAGCATTCAGTCCTTGGGGAAGTTTGGGGGGTCGAGAAATCACCACCGCCACCAACTTGCCTTCCAGCCATTCACACGGCCCTCCTCTCACTTCATCCGGGATTCAGGTTTCCAAGCACACCCACTTCGGGAGCGCAGCATTCATGGCCGAAGCCGGGCGAGCTCGATGGACTCCCCCACGCAGTGATGCGACCCGATCGTCATGTGTGCGGAGGATGCGGAGGCCCAAGAGATCAGCATACCCCGCGTTGTCAACAAAACAGCCTGAACGACCTTAGTGTGTTGCCACAACCACTTACCGAACACCCAGAGGAGAAGGCATTCGCTGTGTTGGGGCGAGTCCTTCGGATTACCCGATTAGGCAATGCGGCGACTTACACCAGCATTGGTACAATCCTCCGAGGGTCGGATCACACACACACAGTCTAGGCGTCGCCGAAGTGTCGTGCGGAGGTAAAATCCGGAAAAATAGAGGGATGATGCAATGCCCCGTCCAGGGCATTCGCATTGGAGAATATAGGGATCTGCGTCGTGTTGTGACAGTGTTGTTTTGCTTCGATTGTGTGCCGGTCTCAACCACTGCCTCATCATGTCTCGAGCTCACCTCTTCAATTCCTCGGAAGGCTTGGTCAACAAGGCCCTTAAAGGGCTGATCAGCTACAATCCCTCACTGCGCTTCGATGAGACCAACAGAGTCGTTTACAACTCGAGCTATGACAAGACCAAGGTCAGCATCATCAGCGGCGGCGGTTCCGGCCACGAGCCCGCGTGGGCGGGATACGTGGGCGAGAACATGCTGGCCGCCTCTGCCTGCGGAGATATCTTTGCCAGCCCGAGCACAAAGCAAATAGTCGCTGCCATCGAAGCCGTGCCGTCTGACAAAGGCACTATCCTCGTCATTACCAACTACACGGGCGATTGTCTTCACTTTGGCCTGGCCAACGAGAAAGCGAATGCGAGCGGCCACAACTGCCGGATGATCATCTGCGGCGACGATGTGTCTGTCGGCAAGAAGGGCAGCCTGGTCGGCCGCAGAGGTCTTGCCGGACAGATTGGGGTCTTGAAGGTGATGGGAGCGGCTGCCGGGGCTGGCGGCTCCCTCGACAACGTCTACAACCTCGGAGTCGCCGTATCGCAACAAATCGTTTCCATCGCGGCCACACTCGATCATTGCCACGTCCCTGGGCGAACCGAGCATGCTACCCTGGGTGAAAACGAGGTTGAAATCGGCACAGGACCTCATAATGAACCAGGCTACAAGAAGCTGTCCCCCGCACCTTCAGCCGAAGAGCTCGTGAAGATGATCCTCACGTACTGCCTTGACGAAAGCGACCAGGAGCGAGCTTATGTCCATTTCGAATCCGGGCATGAAGTTGCGCTCTTGGTCAGCAACTTTGGCGGCGTCTCCCATCTTGAGTTGACCGCCTTGGTTGACGAACTGCTTGTTCAACTTGCCAGCGACTGGAAGATCGAGCCCGTGAGGGTATACTTTGGAACACTGGAAACCTCTCTCAATGCTCCGGCGTTCTCGGTATCGGTGGTGAACTTGACCGCTGCGGCTGAGAACTGCTCATATTCTGTTGAGCAGATCAAAGACTTCTTTGACATGCGAACGGATACGCAGTGGGAATCTATGGCGGGATCACAGTCCGTCCGAGGGCCACGCCAGGAACAACTCGTGCAATCAACTCCGAGGGCCAAGAGCCCCGTCCCAGAGGACAGGGATTTGCATATAGACGCACAGCTCTTGGCGAACATGCTCAAATCGGCATGCGAAAGCCTCGTGGCTGCTGAGCCTGACCTCACGAAGTGGGATACAGAGATGGGCGACGGTGACTGCGGCGAAACATTAAAAATCGGTGCAACGGCGCTTATCAACGCCATAGATGCCGATGGGATCGCGTCAAAGGGCTCGGTCGTCACAGTGATGCAGGAGCTCGAGAACATCGTGGAGACAAAGATGGGTGGCACGCTCGGGGGCATCCTCGGCATCTTCTTCGTCTCGCTCACATCCGCGGTGCAGCACAACGTCGACTTGGCCAAGTCGGGGCTAGACACCACAAGCCTTTGGGGCAAGGCCGTATCCATTGCGCTGGAGAGCCTGGAGCGGTACACGCCTGCAAAGGTGGGCGACCGTACGGTTATGGACACTCTAATACCCTTTGCTCAGGCTTTGAAGGACTCTGGCGAGTTTGATAAGGGCGTTGAGGCAGCTGTTCAGGGAGCAGAAGCTACCAGGGGCATGACTCCCAGACTTGGACGTGCCACGTATGTTGCGGCTGGTGGCAGTTTGGGCAAGGAATTGCCTCCTGACCCTGGTGCATGGGGAGCCATGGTGGCGATCAAGGGCTTGAGAGAAGGGATGGAAAAGGTCTTGTCGTGAATAATATTTTGGAGGTAATAAACGTCATGAAGATGCTGTCCATCATTGCAAGTAAAGACAGGATTCTCCGTGAAGAATGCTACTCACGAAGTGTCACTCCTCATCAATTGTTGAACGCCGGAGCAGTTTGAGTTTCTTTTATTATGATGATGCATTTTGCTGTCTTCCTGCATTCTAGATAGCCTTTCAGGCCTTTCCTGCACTCCCAAACCAGCGCATGTACCGCTCGATAGCTTCTTGCATCCTATCCGTTCCAGCCTCGATGACGCTGGTCAGAGGCTTCCCGCGCATTTCCTGCTGCACTGCCGCGTAGTGGTTGTTCATGCCCTTGTTGATGTTGATCTTGACAACGCCGGCGTCGATGCATTTCCTGAAGATCTCCTCGTCAAACGGATCCGCGCCGTGGAGCACCAGGCGCACGCGATCACCGACAGCCTTGTTCACCGACTGGAGGCGGTCGTATTCCAGCTGAATGCCCCTGGGTCCATATTCCCCATGCACGTTGCCAAAGGCCGGCGCAAGCATTTCGATGCCGGTGGCCACAAACTCCTCGGCCTGCTCGGGCGTCGTGAGCACGCCCTCCAGATCTACCGTCTCCGCCACGCCGTCCTCGCCGCCCTCGATGCGGCCGGGCTCGGCTTCAGTGGCGATGCCTCGCTCGTGGCAGTAGTTGACCAGCTCGGTCGTCAGCCTGAGGTTCTCCTCCTTCTCATAGTGGCTCATGTCGCACATGATGCTGTCGAACCCCTGGGGGATGTCCGCCGCCCGCCGCACGAGCTCCGGCGTCTGGGCATGGTCGAGGTGCAAAGAGACTGGCACGGAGGCGGCACGGCAGGCCTCCGCGGCGGCCAGCACGAGGGCATTGCCGGCGTACTGGATGGCCCAGGGGAAGAGCAGGACCATGGCGGGCGACCGAGCCGCCTCGGCGGCGCGGACCGTGGCTATGACACCTTCCATGTTGTAGCAGCACATCCCCGGGACGGCATAGCCGCCTTTGAGAGCCGCATTGAGAATGTGCATGGACTTGTTCTGGGATAGGTCCGGAGGCGCCATTGTATAAGGTCTGCTGTCTTGTGTAGCTTCTCGGAATTGTTGTCGATTCCTTCAGGGGATGTAGCTTTAGTCGAGCTTCTTGAAGGAGGCTCGGGGAAGAAGACCAAGGTATCTCTCGAATTGACCAATACTGGGGATCTCCCTTTCCGATATTGGACTGGACCTAATGAACATCGAACTAATAGAAATCGGCAGTCATAGGAAGCGAGACCGCAGAGGCGCGCCAATCAACCTCTCCATACAGCCTATATTGAATTGCTAAATCGAAAGGATTATGGGTACTCGCCTCCATGGGGCGTGGGGGTGCACACCACCACTTGTCATCAATATGACGATGCGGAGTCTCCAACGTGCGGGACCGCCGGTTTCGGTGTGGATTCAGCCGGTGGAGTGGATATCAGGATGGGCCTCCGCGAATTCCTCGGTCCGGGGGGGGGCTGATATTCGGAATTGTTGAAACATTCTGTAACTCGTTCAGGTTTGTAATAGTATCATCAGATCTTGATAGCGAAGGTTGATCCTTGACTTCGATCTGCCACCCCGAGGCATCCAAGAACCTCAATTGCTTTCTTGGTACGCCCGGACTGACTTACACGGGAGACCGAGTGCACGCCAGCCTCAAGAAAGACGAAAACGGCATTTCCGACAACAAAATGGCACAAAATACGAAGCCAGAGATTGCCTTCATTGGCCTCGGAGCCATGGGCTTCGGAATGGCCACGAACTTGGTTAAGCAGGGTTACCCAGTGACAGGCTTCGACATCTGGGGGCCGACATTGGACAAGTTCAGAGTAGCGGGCGGTGCCACAGCGACGACACCGGCAGCAGCCGTCAAGGACAAAGATCATTGCGTGTGCATGGTTGCAACAGCTCAACAGGCACAAGCCGTGCTCCTGGACGGCCCCGACCCTGCCGTTCCCGCCATGCCTCAGAACTCGACGCTTCTCCTCTGCTCCACTGTGCCGTGCGCCTACGTCCAGTCCCTAGAGAAGCAGCTCGCAGAGCGAGGCCGAGGCGACATCCTTCTGATCGACTGTCCAGTCTCTGGCGGAGCCGGCCGGGCCGCGGACGGCACGCTTTCCATCATGGTCGGCGGGTCGGACGCCGCGGTCGCGAAGGGCCGCTTCCTGCTGCAAGAGATGTCCGACGCGAGCAAGCTCTACATTGTGGCTGGCGGCATCGGAGCGGGCAGCAACATGAAGATGTGCCACCAGGTGCTGGCCGCGGTGCAGATCTTGGGAGCTAGCGAAGGGATGGGCTTCGCCAGCCGGCTCGGCCTCGACCCGCGCGCGGCAGGCGAGCGGTGCCTGCAGTCGAAGGCGCGGAGCTGGTTCCTCGAGCACAGGCTGCCGAGGATGCTCCACCCGGAGTTCCAGCCCGTAGCCAGCGCGCTCACCATCATCCTGAAGGACACGAGCATCATCACGTCCGAGGCGCGGCGGTACGGCTTCCCCACGCCCTTGACGAGCACGGCGGAGCAGGCATATTTCTCCGCAGTGGGCCGAGGCTGGGGCGCCGACGACGACGCAAGCCTCATTCGTCTCTACACCGAAGGAGCCGGCAAGGTCGGCCAGGTTGCTGGCCTGGCCGAGACCGAAGAGGCCAAGACCTCTCTGGTCGTCAACCTTCTCAGGGGTATCAACCTCTGCTCCGCGACGGAGGCGCTATCCTTCGCGAAGCGCGTCGGTCTCGATCTCGACCAAGTCTTGGATCTTTGTGTCAATGCCGCGGGCGGGAGCACCATGCTGCAGGAGCTCGGCCCGGATCTGGTCAAAGCTCTTCAGGGAGACGCCGGAGCACCCAATGGAGGCTTGAAGCTCCAGGAAATCGCAACAGGGCTACAAGAGGCCGTAGAGGAGGCGCAGCGGCTCAAAATACCGGTGTATCTTGGGAGTGCCGCATTGAACTTGATAAGTATTGGTGTCTTGCATAATCCGGCGAAGGCAGATGATATCACCGCGACTTCCATAGCAAGACTTTGGACGCCATGATAGACGTGGCCGAAGAAGAAAAAAATGTGCAAAAGGGAGGGCAACTGTTGTTCAGGGCTGTCATTCATGGGATACAGAGTATTGTTTGAAAACAGTATATTCATATCGTTAATGGATAACGCACCCCTTTTCAGTCAGGAGAAATTGGCTGATATCGGTGATCAAACCTGAAGTACAGGTAATTCAGATATAAACAGATCGAACTGAGATCTTCTTTGATGGGCTCTGATCTTCTCCAAGTTATAGGAGCCCCGAAGCAAGCTCAATAGTCAAACTGACCATGCTTCGAGCAGGTACCGACAGACCACCAACCGTTCCGTCAGGATTGACTGTGACTTCCACAGCGTCCATATCGCGCGTGTTGTCAGTCACCCAAGCTTGAGCTGATCTCGCGGGAATCAATGTATTTGATATCACAACGGGGGTCGCGGATGCGCCTGTGTTGATAATGTTGACGGCCATCGTCAGGTCTTTGTTCTGGAACGCTGTTGTCTTGAGGTTGCTTGCATCATTCAACATATCCAGGCGCCAGGCTCCGGGTCTGACTGTGCGGCTGTACTGGGCGAAAGCCCAGAGGCGCTTCGAGACGGTGTATGTGTCCTTATCGACCAACACCAGCTTCTCGTTGTTGTTGTTATTCGTAGCCGGATCTTGCGTCCCCACCCACCATAGGTAGGCACTCACATTACCTGTAGTCAGACCTGTATAGATGTTCATAGCCCAAGTGAGTCCATCCCCAGCTCCGCCGTCGGAGTCCCATGCGGTTGACCAGTGACCTTTGAGGTCGCTGCATTCTGTCTCCCAGACTCTGAGACTCGTTGGCTGGGTGCCGCTGATTCCGGAGGAGTAGGTGTGGCCTGTAACAACACCAAGCAAAGGCTCGGCTCCTGCGGCCACCATATCCCGTGTAATTTGTTGCTGGGCCTTCCATCCTGTCGCATCACAACAGGCAATCTGCACATCTGAGAGGTTGTTCTTCTCGAGGGTCGGATGCAGAATCTTGATGAAGTCGGCAGCTTGGTTTCCATCCATCAACATTGAGGCATAGCTCGTGCTACAGAGAGGCGATGGGTTAGCAGAGCTACTGGTATGTGACTCCTTTCCCTCTCATCACTGACCTCATGTCTGGCTCATTGAGAAACCCGAGATGGGTTATGTTGACACCACTATCCTAAGGCAGGGGTGAGCTTCTCAGGGCCTTTACCAGTTGGTGCGGCGACTTAGCCCAGACTGACCGCATATAATTGAACAAGCTTGACGAGGTAGTTGGCGTACGCCTGTCGCCAATCCCCGCTGCTGCACTTCTGACCTGGGCTCCCGCAGAGGTAACCCCCGCCGGAATCCTTGCCGTTGGTCTTCATGAACCCCGGGGCCGACCACGCATCGGCGTAGAAGGTCTCGACGCCATACTTGACTGCTTGCTGGGCCACCCAGAGCTGCCCGGAATCATTCCCATCCCATACATAAGCCGGCTCGGCGTCGGGACTTCCAGGGCTCTGGGGTAGAATTGTGTTCATCCAATCCAGAGAGCTGTCCGGGCTGCTGCCAATGCCGTTTCGCAGTATGGTGAAGCCAGCACCTGAAGTTTTGTTGAACAGTAGATCGACTAGGGCTGCTCGTTTCTCCTCGGGTAGGTTGACGATATTGTTGGCACGTTGAAAGGCCTCGCTGAAACCAAACCCATCAATCCGCTGATTCAGTTTCCTGATGTCCATGTCCACCTTCAGCATAGTCTCGCTCTGACGAGGAGATACCTCGGCCGGAGACGCCTGTGCGAGACCGGCTAGCAAGGTGCCAGCCAAGTAAGGGAGGTGCATTTTGTCTGATGCCAACTGTCTACGAAATACCAGGACCACGACTTCAACACTGAGATCATGGCCAGCCTAGAGGGGCCGGAGGAAGCTTTCTTCCTGGACGTCCTTTTGTACTTATCCCTGATAATTCTTGGGGCTGACCCAATGAGCACGGGAGCAACGGGATAAAGACCAACTTGCTCGGTAGGCAGATACCAGCGGCTATTAGCAACAGAGATCTATCCATTAGATTGACGGCTTGCGGAAACGCCTCCGGCCGCATGGGAGACGCGCGATGGCAGGGACGGAGGTCCTGGCGTGATTTAGCCTGCGCCGAACCACGGGGTAGCACATCTTGGGAAGCTGGAATAGATGGCACGCATTCCATATACCTTTGCCGTGCAATTCTCGGCGAAATGGGGAACTCTTGGCCCATGGGAGGAGAAAGTTCAAGTTCACATGACGATGGCAAGTTGGGGTTCACAAAGGATCCAAAGTCGGACAAAGCAGGATTGGACGAATAGGACAACACTGAATAAGTCCATGGGCAGCTTGGGCTAGCATGGAACGTGATTCGGCCCCAAACAAGATGTTTCGGAGAGAAGTCAGATGTCCTGCTTCTGGTGTTTTAGCGTTGGGGATGCCGGAGTGACTTGAATTTAGCGCGTCCCACAACCTCGGCTGGAGGTACCTTGGACAGCCAACGTACAAGTAGTAGCCGCTTATCGGGGGCGCGGCACTCAATCCCACCTGTGATTCCGTGGCGACTCATACCTAACCCAGCCATTCATTCCTCGACACATCATCCTTCCTGTTCGCTATCAACAACGAGAGCTCACTTGAACCATCTGGTCTTCTTTCTTCTCGGCCTGGCACTACCGTCCTGCGACACCTCATCATCATCATCTGCAGCCCCTCTCGGCGCGCTCGCGACGGCGGCTTGACAACCCCAGCGTCTTCCCCGCGCCCCGGACTCGACACGCCAAAACGACCTGATGCCTTGAATTCTCCCACCATCCCCTACACGCACAGTCTTGTTCTGGCGAAGGCATTTCTCCCTCGCCATGCCACCGCCAAATACACCAGAAGACATGGAACAGGAGTTCCAGAGGCGGCGGGCTGACGCTCAAGCTGCCCGTCGACAGATTCGCGACGACTCTCCTGACAACAGCAGCGGCATTCTCCTGCCGGGTAACCTACCAGCAGAGGGAGTTGAGCAATACCTGGAGGACACGATAGAGGTCGATGGCCAACTTTATCAGTGGCCTTCGAGCGGAAGCCCGACCAACATGGCTGTGGATGAGCCTCTTCGAATCAACTTACCCCAGCGACGACCTTCAAACCGCGGGGCCAGCAGATCTCGTTCGCGATCGTTAACCCCAACACGGCCACGCCGGAACCGTACCAGTGATACCCAGCCATTAGCTGGCCCCGGATCCCGGAAGACGCACACCGATCCCGCCAAGAGTCCTGGGTTTGAGCTGGCAGCCCTGGAATATGTCGGCGAGCATGACGACAATCTGGACTGTCCAATTTGCCAATCACCCTTTGTGGAGCCGCATGTCATCAAGTGCGGGCACGTCTTTTGTGCCGATTGCCTCGACAAGACGCTGGAGAACAGCCAGGCCTGTCCCATAGATCGCAGCAGGATCGAATATTGTTTCAGAGTTCCGGGTGGCAAGGACTGCGCGCTGCCCGCGCCCTTGATCATTCGGAATCAGTTGGACGATCTTCGCGTGAAGTGTCCAAACAAGCTCTGCAACCATGTCTGTGCGCGGGCTTTTGTCAAGCATCACTACAAGAGGGACTGCCCTTATACGAAAGGTTCTTGCCCAGATCCAGAATGCGACAAGCTGGTCACTCGACTCGAGGCTGGAGATGGGGTCTGTCTCCATCAAGAAGTCAAATGCTCCCAGTGCGATAAGGTTGTCGAGCTGGCTTCGCTAGAGGAGCACTATGAGACGGAGTGCAAGCAGAGGTCCGAGAACTGCGAGTTCTGCAATGCCGAAATCCGGGTTCACCAGCGTGTATCTCACAAAAAAGTCTGTCCCGACATGGACGTGGCTTGTCGACACGCATCAGCAGGTTGCGGATACAAGGAGAAGCGCAAAGACTATGATCCTCAACATGAACGTCAGTGCCTCTACGGCATGATTCTCAACATGCAGCAGCGGCACAATGCCGAAATGGACAACATGCGGTCCAAGCTGGCCAGTAGCGAGGACCAGTTGCGCAAGCTCCTGCTCGATCGAGCTGCTACTCTGTCTTCACCTCCAAGCTTGACTGGCAGCCCATTAGGTACCATCAACCTTGGCAGTCCCAGTCAGGCGGGAGAGCGTACGCCAAGGCGTCGGCGACGGTCATCACGGCGTCGCCTGTCAGGGACAGATCTTTCTGTTCAAGAGAGTGATGACGGCAGTGATCAGCCGATCGATGCCGAGGCACGTCACCACCAGATACTGACAACGCTTGACGTGTTCGACTCCAAGGTCGAGAACCTGCGCCAGTGCATGGCCGAGCTAGATGCTCGCCAGAACGCATTGTTGATGACCGAGGTCATCCCTGTCAAGGACCAGCTTAACGCTCTACGCAGCGATGTTGGGCATATCGGCATGCATGTGCGGTGGCTCTTGGAGCTACATCAGAAGAAGCAGCGGGCTGGCTCTGCAGCCGCAGCTACGCTGAACGGAGCTGCCAACGCCAATAGCGGAAGGTCGCCGGCCGACAACGGAGGCTCCAGCGGCGGTGGGAATACCAACTCTGGAGGGCAACAGGAAGGTCAACTGCGGTATACACCGCGGCGACAGATGAGCGGAGAGAACCCACCACGTCTGTGAAGAATGCTTTTTGCTTTTGCTTGTGCTTTTACACCGATGTGATAGCTCGCTATCTCCAACAGAGTGGTGGTTGACTTACCAGAGATGATACAGTCCAGCAGAAGTCCGCTCCAAAGAGACGAATGGCGGTGATCAAGTTGGTTCAATGAGAGGGAGGGGAGGTTTCTCTCCGTTACTGAGTTACAATTTTGTTGATTATGGCGTTGAATGGGAGGGCATAGCTGCTTTAGCATAGCGTTTTGAGGTTTTAAGGTCAAGGGGCATGGGAATGGGAATGGCTGGAGATACCCCTTCTTACCAAGTTAGGTATACTGAATCAAGAGAGGTTTTGATATTTCAATTACAATTGGTTTGTGTCTTTTGTAAAGTCTAAGTCTGTGATCAATTTGATTGCTGCTGCCTGGCGACAAGGCTGCCTGCAGCGAGAGAGGTACTCGCAGACGACTCGTGTCTGGGGGCGAAGATGACGTGGTTACAGCTAGTAGCCCAGCTAATCCGGGGTAGTCTCTAGGTACCAGCTGGCCTTCACGCCACCCGTAGACCCCTGCTAGCGCCGGTGCGAGCCCGTATGGATGTGCTGTAAGGCCCGCCAGTGAGACAGAGCGCTCAAAAAGTACCCAACCATTCATGTAGGTACTCGGAGAATGCGCATTTGTGATGCTCCTCGGGGTCGAGATCGAGAGGAGATCTGCCACTGATGCCTCTTCTTCTTGCAAATTGTATCATTTCCATATCTGTGCGCAGCCAATAGCAACTGGGCTGTTTCCAGGCCGGATGGTTGTACTCTGCATCGCTTTTCTTTTGATCAGCCAAGGAATCCATCAGGTACCAAGCACGGTTACGTATCTTATCTTTTTTGGCGTGGGACAGGTGGTGTGTTGCTGGTGCTGGCCCTTGTCCGACCCGCTGACGCAACTTTCGCGAAACCCTGGAGCTCTCGACTGTCAGGTAGTCCCATCCACACACACACATCCAAGCCTCCATGCCGGCTCAGCTTCACATCCTTGACGCATTCGTCCTTCTTTTTTATCGCCAGCCGTAGCTGACCCGCCACTTGACGTGGCCTACAAGCAATACACTTTGCTCATAAGCATAGCAAGCCCATCCTCGAGACCACCTAGTGCAAAACTCACTCATAGAACCCTTTCTGCCGTACTGAGCGACCTTTCCGACCTCGCGACAGTGCGGGGTTGAGAGACCACGATGGTTACACGCAAACCTATCACCCAGGATGAAGCCGCGAGCACAGCTGCTCCGCCGGAACTTCGTGTCGAGGGCATGAGGCAAGAGCTGTGGTCACCCTCCGAATCCGAGCAAGCCAGCGAGAACGCCTGGGCCAACGAGAGCCACCAGAACAGGCCCGCCACGCAACAGCAACCGGGCCCGGGCTCCAGCACGGCACAGTCGATTCCCGCAGCCCTTCGGCCTGGAAACCCCGGCAATTATTCCGACTTCGAGCAGGAAGAGGAGGTCATCTGGGGGACGCCATCGCAGAAGACCGATGACCCTCCCGCGGAGAACAGCAAGCAGAGTCTATCTCATGTCCCGACCGTTCTCCGTCCCGGCGGCGGGGTGAAACACGAGACCAACCCTTTCAAGAGAAAGCCCGCTCCGGGAAGTGTGCAAGAGGCTGTCAACGTGCCGCCGATGCCCAGTGCCAGCCCACCACCTCCGCCCCCGCTGCCGACTGGTGCGTTCTCCGACCTTTCTATAAACGAATCGAGCAGAAACCCTTGGCAGCCTGCCTTGGATGATAAGGGCCCATCGCCTGTTCCTCTGCCAGATACATCGGACCAGGCGTCGGGGAAGAATGCGTGGTCCTCCGAACAACCGTCGAGAGAGCCATCTCGGAAGCCATCGCAGACGGGCCTCTCTGGCTCGCCCGCGCTGTTGTCATTGGCATCCGACGAAGAAGGTTCAGCGGCATGGGATGAGGTTCCACCGCATAATGCTCCCCCACCTCCCCGGCCACCACTTCCCAGTGGGCCTTCGGATGAAGAAGCGTTTGCGGACCAGCATGCCTGGGATGATGTTGGGCTTCTTGACAAGGGCAAGGCCCCGGCCACGCAGACCATGCCCGACTTGACAGCTCCGGGGCCGAGCGACGGCTGGAATCTGGTGGATACAGGGCCTGCTCCGGGCCAGCTGTCGAGACAGAGCACGTGGGAGAACTTCGAAGATGACGATGACGACGATGGACGAGGCGTGAAGAAGAAGGCTCCAGCCGAGCCAGCCACTCAACCGGCTGCGGACGAGCCCGAGCTGCCTCCAGCCCTGCCTCCCAGGAGATCTTCAGACGCGGCTCCGCCTCCGCCACCACGCCGCGTGGATACAGATAGGACGGAGACATATGCGATCAAGAATATTACGTGGCACGACGCCAAATCAACCAAAAACCCGCGGACTTCGCCAATCTTGGTACAAAACGCGAACGGTCCATGTCCCTTGGTGGCGCTGGTCAATGCGCTCACTTTGACCACGCCGGCAGATGTCAACACCGCGCTCGTAGAGACACTTCGGACCAGGGAGCAAGTCAGCCTGGAGCTTCTGCTCAATGCCGTCTTTGACGAACTCATGTCGTCGAGGCGGACGACCAAAGACAGTGAGCTTCCGGATGTCACCGAACTGTATGACTTCTTGAAAGGACTCGACACGGGCATGAACGTCAACCCTCGGTTCATTCCTACACCGGAAACCGTCAAGGCGTTCAAGAGAACCTCATTGACGCATCTCCATCCCACCGAGCGTAGCGACCTGATCCCCGGGACGTTCGAGGACACGAAAGAAATGAAGTTGTACGCTACCTTTGCCATTCCTCTCATTCATGGGTGGATACCCCCGCGCGACGATGCGGTCTACGAGGCGCTCGAGAGGCGTGCTGCCTCGTATGAAGACGTTCAAAACATCCTCTTCCGGGAAGAAGAGCTCGAGGAAAAGTTGAGTAGTCCTACGCAGCAGGGACTTACTGAGGAAGAGCAAGAGCTCTATCAAGACATACTCACGATCAAGTCGTTCCTGAGTATATCGGCTACTCAGCTCACGGCTTGGGGCCTAGAGGTGCTTACGAAAGCCATACAGCCCGGCACGATTGCAATTCTCTTCCGCAACGACCATTTCTCTACATTGTATCGCCACCCCCAGACCCTTGAGCTGTTCACACTCGTGACAGATGCTGGATATGCCGGTCATGCTGAGGTTGTCTGGGAGACGCTGTCTGATGTCAATGGCGAACAGTCGGAATTCTTCTCTGGCGACTTCCGCCTAGTCGGTGGTGCCAACCAACACCAACAGGCGGAGGGGAGGGGAGGCCAGGTTCCGGGGGCTTTCCCGGGTTCATCCAGTGGTGGGCAGGATTGGACAGCGGTCCAGGGCGGTAGGGGACAGGAACGGCAGTCCATGCAGCAAGAGCCGCCTCTATCGCCCGCGCACGAGCAGGAGGACCGGGATCTTGCGCTTGCGCTTCAACTTCAGGAAGAAGAAGATGAGCGGCACCGCCAGGAGCAAGCTCGCAGGCAGCGAGAAAGCCAGCTCTCGGAGCAGTTTATCGAGCAGCAGGCGACCCAGCCCACTCCAGCTATTCGGGGTGGACGCGGCGGGTCGACAGTGCCGGGCCGTGGAGGCCGAGACGCTTCAAACGGGCAACGCCGGCGCAGCTCGGCTGGCGTGACGATACCTGTGACCTCGACGAGCAACAACAGCAGCACCGCGAGCGTCTCCACTAGCGCGACCAGGGGCCGTGGTGGGCGGACGGGGCAAGTCGTGCGGCCGCTGGTACCGCCCCCCGGATCGACGCGGTTGACAGTGCGGCCACCTGAGGACGGGCTCGACGACGCTCCGCCATCGTATGAGCAGGCGGCCTCTCAGACCGCCTATGAGCCTCCAGCGGGCCACCCTAGCCATCCTTCCAGCAGCCCGGACAGGCGCTCTGCCAGTATCTCGAGCCCCAGCGCGTCGACGTCGCGGATCAGGCCGGTGCCCAGCAACAACAGCAGCAGGCTCGGTGCGGGACCACCGCCGGCGATGCGGCCGAGTGCGTCTCCTGTGATGAACACGCCGACAGGCGGGAGGGACAAGGACTGCATTGTCATGTAGCACGCAACAATTGATGAAGGACTGGAACTGGGGGTTGGAGAAGAGAGGGAGCAGGAGTATGGTTCTAAGGGCAAGGGGATACGCCTCTTTTGGGTGCATTTACATGGCGTTTCAAGGGAAGATAAGGGCAAGCGAAGGATTCAGCAAAGCGATACGTAGCACGTGAAGCAACACAATGGAACATCTCATCCTCTCACACATACTTCACAGAGTTAGAGTTCAGTTTGGACGTCCACAAGATGCCAGCAAAATGGGTACGGACCCAGAAAGGCTAAGCGCGCCTGTCAACACAGCCTGGAGCAGAGTCTCATAAGCACTGGCCCCCCTTTTTCCACCCACTAGAACGCCTCCAGCTGCAGGTACCTGGGCCTGCGCGACAATCCGTAATCCCTATTTGACGTGAGTTTCCCCGGATCTAAAATTTGGGCCAACCACGCCACAAAACAGACTCCCATCCTTGACATCATCGACAAGTAATGCAAGGAACACGGTCATTTTTTGTTCTGCTTTTGTCTGGGTTTTGGTACATATTTTCCTCATTTCCTACCTAGTTCAAGGAAGGACCTTCGTTTCTCGTGCGCTATTTCATACAGAACTCTGATCTGTCACTGAAAATGGCCATCATCGAGGGGTGGTTTCCTCCCAGCAGGGAGAATTATGAGACGATTCTCTTTTGCTGGCAGTTGTTTCCGATTGTAAGTCATCTTGGTCTCCCTTTTTGATGCCCTTTCAAGAATATCGTGGCGCCATGCCTTGTGCAATACACTCCTCTGGTCTCTTTTCATACCCGCGCGCACACACACACACACACACACACACACACACCACATACTCCTTGTATCGACCAAGAAGAGACCCGGCTAACCCCGGACCAACCATCCTGCTCCCGCAGTTCGCCTCAGTCCAGTGGCTGACCTCGTGGTACGGCATGGGCAAGACCTCGGTCAAGTCGCCCCTCAACATCCCGGGCCGCATCGCCTGGATCACGATGGAGTGCCCGGGCTTCCTGACGCTGCTCTACACGCTGCGCTCGGTCGCGGCGCGCGAGGGCGTCGCCGACCTGCCCTGGCAGAACCAGGTCCTCGCCGCGCTCTTCGTCATCCACTACTCGTACCGCGCGGTCCTCTACCCGCTCCTAGCGCCCTCCATGTCGCCCGTGCACGCCCTGGTCTGGGCCTTCGCCCTCGCCTTCCAGCTCGCCAACGGCGTCTGCCTCGGCGGCTGGCTCGCCGGCTACGGCGGCGGGCCCACGACGCCCGCCGCCTGGGCCCGCCAGCTCGCGCCCTGGCCCGCGGCGCAGTTCGCCGCCGGCCTCGCCGTCTTCTACGCCGGGCTCGCGGCCAACTACTACCACGACGACGAGCTGCGCGAGATCCGCCGCCGCGAGGAGGACCGCCTGCGCCGCGTCGCGCGCGAGCAGGGGAAGCCCCTGGGCAGCGTCGAGAAGCACTACTCCCTGCCCCAGGCGGGCCTGTTCCGGTACGTCCTGTACCCGCACTACCTCGTCGAGTGGATCGAGTGGACCGGCTTCTACATGGCCGCCGGCTGGACCTGCGCGCCCGCCCGCGCGTTCGTCGTCAACGAGGTCTTTGCCATGCTGCCGCGCACCGTCAGCGGCAAGAAGTGGTACATCGAGAGGTTCGGCGAGGACAAGGTCGGGCGCAGGTGGGCCGTCATTCCGGGCGTCATCTGAACGAACGTTTGCTTTCTCACACACGCATCATCGTCATCGCCGCAGCGAGCCGCCGGGGAATGTGTTTGTGTTTTTTTCTTCTTCCCTTGGATATGCCGAGGCTCCGACTTCTATAGAAGGAATAGGTAGATATTAGAGCATCAGCGGGGTTGGCCAGAAGATATTTCCAAGGTGTCTAGACAAACAAGACTAGAATAGAAAGGGATGGCTTTCCTTGCCAGAGACTTCTCAACAAACGAATGCCGCCCCGAAGAGCACTCGGATACGTTATGACAAACCCACCGTGTTACACAAGATGAATCAATACTCAACAACTTTCTTTTCCATTCGCTTCATTCTTCTCTAATGCGAGATATGCGTCCGCCTGTAGCAGAAGCGGTCGTTACTATGGATGCCATTTTCATACCTACAACCAATGCCAAGACGGCTCTTTCGTGAGGATGGCCGTACCATCCATCCATCCATCCATCCATCTCCTCTATCCACCAGGCCAAATAACAGATACACATCGCAGAATGCATGTAATACGCAATGCTCGTCTCTCAGGTGGTGTGCGTTGAGCCTTTCCGCCGCACAGACACATTACAACCACACCTCTCTCCCACTCACACCCACACTCACACTCATCTCTTCTTCTTGGCCCTCTTGCCCGCCTTGCCCGGAGGGACCACTATCTAATCTTCAGTCGTGTCCATGGCGTCCGCAAGCTTGGCCTTTGCGGCCGCAAGCTTCTCCTTCTTCCACGCGTTGATCCGCTCCCGGAGGTCGTCGGCCGGGATGGCATCCTCGATGGTCATCGCCTGCCGCGTGAACGGGTCCTTGGGGTCCGACAGCAAGTGCTGGATGATCGTGGAGCGGTCCACGATGTGGTGCGAGGGCAGGATGACCGGGTCCTTCATGAGGTCGCCCATGATCGGGTCCTCGAACTCGGAAGGAATCTCTCCAAAGTCTTGCTCGACCTGGTCCGCGATCTCCTTGGCCTTGGCGAACTTGTCCTTCAGCGCATTCCAAGCCGCCAGCTTCGAGGGGTCACTAAGACCCTTGGTTGCCAGGATTCTGGACGCGTTGTTAAACGTATCCGTCTTGTACGAGCGTCCATCGTTGGCAACAGCCTCGACGAAGCTGACCTTTCCACTAAGGTTGAGGTATATGTCGATCAATTCGGGAAGCAGCGTTCTCGGGCTAAAGTGGTATTTCTCTGGGTTCTCGACCCTGAGCTGTCGGGACTTTTGGCCAGCGAGGATATCGAGATTGTAGTCCAGCATACCTGCCAGGCGCTGGACAATCTCGGGCATCGTGAACGCATCACTCAGCGCATTCGTGAACAGCTTCATCATGGCTACAGTCTCATTGGCGAGCTGCATGTACGAGGATGCCTGATCCTCAGCCTGCTGGAGTTCGGTCTCCTTCTGCTGGCGTGTGTCCTGTGGCATGTCAGGGGTCTCCCTGAGCTCCTTCTGGAGGTCGTGGATCTTGGGGAACTTTGATAGTGCTTCGTCAAGCACGTAAGTTGCATCGTTGAGCAACAGGTTCACGAAGCGTACAAAGAAAGACCGGTTGGTCCTACATAGATAGAGTTAGTGGGTGCTGAACATTCGTCTTGGCTAGGATTTCATGGTGGGAAGATGCTTACTCGCTCTGCTCCGTCAACTGCCTCTTGTAGACGTCGTTAGGCCATACACACTTGATGACCTGGAAGATCTCGTAACGGATGTTGAACTTGTCGTAGAATTGACTACTCATTCCCGTCGACTCGCACTCGATGTAGAACTTCATCAGAGAGTGGAGGAGATACGTGTTGGCAAACTTAGTGCTAGTCAAAGCATCGCCTAACGCGCCATTCCGGAGATGATAGATGGGCCAAGTGCCCGAGAATAGGAGCGTCACCAAGGACGACTTAAGGTACGGGTTGCGGATGTACTCGGACGACTCCAGGAAGGTGACTGCCAGCACGATCATCTCGTCGCCAATGGCCGACAGAATTATCTGCGGCACATATCGGAAGACGAACTTGAAGTTGTCGACCACATTCTGCAAGGCGTATTCAGGCAGGCAGCTGAACGCCTCGGGCTGGTCATCCGGGAGAGGAAGCTTGAGCCCCTTGCTAGGGACATAGTTCGACTGACTGGCAACGCGGATCAACCAGACCGAGACATATCTCATGAAAAGTAGAGACTTGGCCTGCGTCTTCTCATCCGAGAGAACGCCCTCCACGGCGTACTGATACGATATGGCCCTCTCGAGGGCCGCAGTAAAGTTCTTCAGATGTCCCTCCACCAGCGTCAAGGTCATCTGGTTTCCAGCCGCGCGATGTCGTTGGGACTCGAGAAGTGCGAGCTGTTGCTCCATTCTCTTAATATCCTTCCCGAGGTCTTTCAACTTCTGCTTGGTGGAACCGCTTCCGTAATGGTGGGCGGCAAGATTGAGAAAGAAGAGTTCGGAGACAAAGTTGGACGATCCGGTGGCCTTCTTTGCATAGAACTCATCAGATTGGGTCTGGTCTGCGTTGAGTTTGGTCTCGTCTGAGATGTCGATTCGGGGCTGGCGCTTGAGGTAATTGATATCTATCCTCTCCATCCTGTCGAATGAGGCGTCCATGAATGGCTCGCACATGCGGTCCAGAACGGCATTGACATTCATCATGAACCCGTCCGAGGCAACCTCTTTGGGGTTAACCTGCATCGCGCGCCGCTTGTGGTTGACGTTCATGATGTAGGCAAACCAGTCCAAGAGCCTGCTCTTGGGCTTGTCGCCGGCTCGAGCGAACGCCATAGCGACGGTGTGGAGATCGGTCTGATAGGCGGCAAGACCTATCTGTAGTGCATCTTGTGCATTCTTGATTCTCCCCTTATCAAGAGTGCGTGGGCCGCTGAAGTAGACCTTCGCAACTTCTGGTTGCAAGGGAGAGATGCGGAAGAAGGGCCCGAGAAGAGTGAACTTTTCTATGTTAGGAGCAGACTGGGCCATTTGGAAGATCGGGTGCTCTGCAAGCGCCTCTACCAGCGGCTTGAACCTGGCGTACGTCAGCAAGACGTCCATGTACGACTGATACCCATCGTTCATGGTCATCCTGGAGAGTTGGTTGCTGATCTGCACCATAGCATTGGTGAAGATGGGGGTGATAGTATCATCGTCAGGGATGCGCGCAACAGCCTCCTGAATGAAGTCAAGGCAGATACCATCATCGTGGGATAGACCACGCAGCAGATAAGGGGCGAGCGTGTCGTGTTCAGGGTTTGCCTCGCGGCTGAAGGTGAGACTGTTAGCGAGGCACCTGCCAAGTAAGAGCTCTGGCGGGCTTACCCAAAAAGCTCCGGTACAGTCAGAGCGAAGATGCAGTTGCTCATGCAAAGCCTCTTCGCCTCTTGGAGCACGGACAGCTTGTCGGCTGGGGGCTCCCGCAGAGGCTTCAGAGCCCTCATCACATTCTTCCAACAGGGTAGGAGATACTGGAGTAGAGGTCGCTTGTGGGGGACTGCTGTCGCAGCCTCGAGGATGGCAGCGTCGAGATCATCGGCGGTGAGCTTCAGGGGCTGACCCCGATCTTGAAGTTCTTGGCTCAGATTCGGGAGGAATGTAAGATGGTGGCCGTGTCGGTCAGTGGTGCGAGTGGAATCGACGGTGAGGCGAAATAGATGTGACAGGGTGCTGTCTGTCCAGTCCTCAATGGACTCGGCCTGCGGTCTCTTGGCCGGGGCCTCGGTTGCCGGTGGTGGGGTTGCTGAGGCCGGATCAATGTCTGCTGCTGTTCTCTTGGCCTTGTTGCGAACAATACCTGATGACACCGACGTTGGTGTTGCTTTGCCGCCTGTCTTGGTTTCGGCAGGCTTCTGTGAGGGTGCGCCGGTTGCCGCCGCTGCTGGCTGGGAGGGAGGAGCCGGGTTGATGTTGATCGTCGGGGGCTTGCTCGGCTCTGTTGGCTTCGGAGCTATGGCGGCGTTGTCGACAGTCGGCGTGGCAGCTCTTGAGGCTGGAGAAGACGACCGGGTCTGCGATGATTCCGTCGTCGCGGATGAGCTGGATGCTGTATTAGCGGCTGCCAGCTTGGCCAGCCGACGAGCTCGCATCTAGACCACCTGCGCGTCAGATTGACTTCAAGATAGAGCGGGTGCGAATTCCTTTGATGAGACTCACCTGCTCCGCCGGTGGCAGAGTTGGCTCGGGCTGGTCATTGGGGTCCATGATAGTGATGCTTCACGTCACGATCTCTGCCCCAAAGGTCGCGCCGTAGTAGGGATGTGAAGAGGAGAGAGTATCGTAGGATGTAATGGAGAGTTGAGGGAGGGTTGAGATGCGTCGTCTAGCTGTGTACTACCTAGGTAGGTAGATACCTAGGAGATAGGTAGATAGTGTGGGGGATGATGGGTCAGGCAGCAGAGGCGGTACCTGCTGCAGTCACTGAAGCGTTGTTGAATCAGGTACCTGTCAAGCGCCCAATAGGCATCATAACCCCACCGATTCCGCGATCTTATCGCTTATCAACAGGGGAGTTGATTCGCTGGGTCTTGAAGAAAGAAGCTCGGAGAAGCGTGGAAAGAAAGGCGCATTATTAATTTGGGACCTAGGTAGACGCGAAACAAAGGGCTGAGGAACACAGCAGCGGGCTGGCATGCATGAAACAAGCTCCTGTTGCCTCGTATGCATCTACTCTGTCAAAAAAATTATAAAATACAAAGTCCGGGGTGAACCATGCACAAGTGCAAGACTCCCCTCCACTCCATCCTTGGCCTGTGAAGCTTTGACTGCTCTTTTTCGCTGTGGCTGCACCATGATATGATGACGATCCTTGATACAAGCACAAGACAGGTGTATGCAAAGTAGTCTCGCTCCATTATATGATATCTACTGCGGCTCCGTGACCCTCACCTCGTCTCTACCCCCGAGAAGAAAGGCTCGGAATGCATGGGGAAAAATAATAAATGTGCAACAGAAAGACCGCCCCTGTGTTTTCAAAAGAATTTGCCTCGAATCGCTCCTAGAACGCCACTTGCTTGCTGCCCTCTCAGTAGGGAGGAGCTCCAGGATCACCGGGCCAGGTGCGCCATCTTGTCCAACCTCTGGCACGACTTCATCTCAAACTCTTCCGCAATCTTCATCTTGGCCGCGTCCTGCACGAACCAGCCCTGCGCGTCTTCCCGCAGCATCTGCTTGTGGTGCATCTCCCGTTCGCACTCGTTCCGCAGCGTCCGTACCAGGAGCACCTCGGCATGGTGGTCGAGCTGCGACATCTTGGATGGGTTCTCCCGGAAATAGTTGTATGCCTTGTCCTTGGGGTTGACAAAGTACTTGACATCATTCTTGGTGGTCCGCCGATGTGTGAAGGGCGGTAACGGTTTGTCAAAGACCATGCTCGGCATGGCCGGGCCCGAGGTGGCGCCCGAGAAAAGGGAGGAAATGATGGGGAATACAAAGAGAAGTAGAATGGGCAGCAGGCCGATGAGGGTGCTGGCAAAACTTGATTCCTGCTGGCCCTGTTCCCCCTCGCGCGGTCGCCTTCTCGGTCGAGCACCGCCGAACTGGTGCACTCGAATGCCAGGGCCCCCTCCAAAGTTGAAGACGAACTGCGGGCCCGTGTCGAAGCCTATACGGGGAGCATTAGCATGTGTAGCGTAGAATCAGCCAAGGCTGGGGATGATCGAGTATGATGACTTACCACCACCGCCGAAGGGTCCAAAGCCGCCACCCCCAAAGAACCTCTGGAACATCTCCTCGGGGCTCATCTCGTCCTCGAAGCCGCCCATGCCCCCGCCCCGCCGCCCGGCGCTTGCATTCCTATTTGCAAACCCGGAGAACGGATTCTGCGCCTGGGCGCTGGAGAACCGCGAGTCCGGGTCCGTCCCGAACCTGTCGAACTTGTCCCTCTTCTCCTTATCGCCCAGCACGCCGAACGCGCGCGACACCATCTTGAAGGCCTCGTCGGCATGCTCGTGGCCGTTCTTGTCCGGGTGCGTCAGCAGGCTCTGCTTGCGGTACGCCTTCTTGACCTCGGTGTCGGTCACTGTCTTTTCGATGTCGAGGATCTCGTAGAATGCCGTGGGCTTGCAGCGCCGGATGCGCAGGACGGCGGCTTTTTGCTCGACTGTGTACTTGCGGTCCTGGTTTCCCTGGTTGTGCTCGCGGCTGCGGGCGCCGCCATTGTTGGAGGCATCAGCCCCAGAGGTGGTCGCGCTGGGCATGGCGCCCGGCAGAGTGGTGGTGGACGGGTTGTATGTAGATGAGGCTATTGCAATTCGGCTGGTGGCTCTTTTTGTGCCCAGGAGAGTCGATGCAGACGTTCCGTCCAACTCGTCTGGTGTTCGGTCACGACTGCCGAATACTCGTTCGTTCCGTATGGCCCTTTCCAGCGGATGCGGTCTGGCCCTTTTCAATCGAGGATGTGTGGACAAGGTTGAGTGAAGCAGGTATCGTAAACAGCACAGTACCCTGGTAGTGATTTGGGTGGGGCTAGCTGGAAGGTGGCTTCTTCGGGATACTGCACTCTCTGGGATCCTCTGGATTGGGCAAATAACTACAAGTAGATCTCTGGCTACATAATCCTAAGCAGCCCCAGGATAACATGGGTACAGAAAATGCACTTGGAGCCTGGTAAGATTCAATATACGTGGGCTTCGGGGTGCATTCGCAAATCCAGGTGATAAGCCAGGCCCTGGTTACGAAAACGAAAACGAAGACGTGCGTGATCAGAAATGATGCTCCAACTTGCGGCATCCATTGCTTGTGTTGGTCTCCTTTTTTTTTCCTTGGTCTCTTTTGATAGTGCTGTAGTGATCACTGGGGCTGCTGTGCTATGCTCCCAGCTCCCTGGGTGCGCCGATAGGTACCCAGCCAGCCGGCCCAGCAAGCACAGCTGAGTCATCAGCTGTGTTCTAGGCCCAGCCGGGCCGGCAAGACTTCACGACGTCACTTGGTAGATTGGCATGTGCGCCAAAAATTGTTGCGACCCATGCATGGCTGAGGTATCCTCATGTCATACCATTTTGAGAAGTCCCTGCCGAGAACCAGGCTCCTAGCATTGTGAAAAGCGACCACACAAAGCTCTTCCCCATATTCAATTGGCAGCCATGTCGTCTTCCGATCTGCCGACGCCCGTCAAAAAGGCACCGACCGGCCTCGAGGCCTGGGGATGTAAGTCTTGCCCTCCCCGAGCCGCATGCAATCCCCCCTCCCACAGCTGTGGACATATGTATTGACGCAGGGACCTGCTCCTCGCTGTACCAGTGTCGTCCATGCCAGCAATGGGCCTGGCGACTCTCATCACCGCGCTGCACTGGCGGCCCTTCCAGCCCTTGCCCATGCTGTTCGTGCCCGTCCTCCTGGGATCCAGCTACCTGAACGTCGCTGGCTTCCAGATCGACAGCGCCGGCATCACAGCCGCCTGGAGTGGCTTGTATGTCCTCCTAGCGATGCGGCGTAGACAGCCCCTCAAGCGGCGCTTCATGGCACGGGGCATCGTCCGGGGGGCGGCCATGGGCTTGGGCACCGTCAATGCTGTCGCGTGTGGTTACACCTATGCCAAGGGCGACAGGAAGCAGGAGGCAGTGGAGCGGAAAGCAAGGAACCGATGGGGAACCGAGAACTGAAATGGCGATTGGCAAAGAAGGAATGATCTTGTAAGAGTAGATAATCCCTTTCATGTTTCACGAGCTGGCCAAAAAGGGCCATGGATGTTGGTGTAACGGATAGGCTCAATTGGTTTTTGTTCCCATTGATCTCGAGATAAAAACCAAGTGCTCCATGTTGGAGCCTCAGGTCTGTGAAGTAGCTCTGTATGAGCTGCGCTCTGGAGCTCTTTTCCTCTCGAAAGGAGCTTCCTCGATGTAAAAGTACAAATACATAATACACACTGAAACAAATACAAAACAAACAAGGCCATTTGCCTGATCAAACTCCTGGAGACGCCTCAGCTCTTGAATGGTCTCCTCTGGCCCCTCTATCCATGCATGGTGAGTGTGCTCTTTTCTTTGACAAATGAAAGAAGCCGCAGACCTGTCCGTATACAACGAGTTCTCCTCCTGCGGAAAAGAAGGAAATAGCCTCCAGGCCTGATGTTACCAACACCAAATTGTAAGCTGCCGCCTATGAAGGCCCGGCGTCAACACAACCGGATCTCCTGCGCCTTTTTTTCAAATGCGTCAACACAACCAATGAAAACATAGTCATCTCCTCATCATATCTCGCGTGCTCGCTTTGATGGAGCGGTCATCCTGTTTCCGGTCATGTACCAGATGATGAGAACACACAGGGTGAAGAAGGTGTAGCGGAAAAAGTTCGGGACTCGGAAGCCCAAAGCCGTAGTGTCCTTGCTGAACAAATGAGATAGGCTCGTCAGCTTGAAGGAGGATATGTACTGCAAGTCGCAGTCCCTGACTTTCGGTTCGGCATAGGCACGATATTCGTCGAGGACAACCGGCAAGTCCCAGCCAGTGACCTTCCGGATAATGGCAACAACGCAGCCCGTGCGGTGCTATCGTCGAGGTCAGCAACGAGTACGACTTCAGAGTGAGAGCCAGGAGTTGGCTGTGCACGCACCTTGCCGTGGTTGCAATGGATGAGTAAAGGGTGATTTCGTCTGTCGAGCACAAGCCGAAGAATAGCCTTCATCGTCTTGATCGGGATCTCTTCTTTCTTGGTGCCCTTCATGCTGAACACATAATGGTGAATACCATTGGCTGTGATGAAGGCCTTGTAGCCTTCAGGGAAGTCTTTGTCGACCAGAGTTCTGCCATGTAGAATTAGACATCTGGTCATCGAGAAACCGTGTGTGGGTGCGCGCAAGACTTACACGATGCTCTTGAGCTTCAGACTCCGAATGAAGTCGTAATCCTGTGCCTGCGGGTAACTGCTCCGATACACGCCCGGCACAACCATGCCAAAATTGATAGGCTGCCCAGCGCGGGTGCTGGGGACCGAAAATCGCTTTGGGAGTGATAATGCTTCGCCGAAGTCAGCTAGGAGCACACCAACTTCACCAGAGGTTGTCGCACCTTCGGGCCCGAGAAGCTCTTCCAGCTCGGCGCCCAGATCGACAGTAGCTTGCTCGGGGTGTGAGGCCGAGGAGATGTCGGAGCCGGTTCGACTGCTCGAGGTTGACGCCCTCCTAGTGGTTGTCGCCGAGCTAGCAGACGAGTCCTCCTCGCATCTCGAGTTGCGTTTTGACGTGGTGTCCACGACTTGACATTGGTCTTCATCTTCAACATACGCCCTCACGCTCCTCTTAGACACCATGTTGCCAGAATCGGTCATTTCCTCCCACCCCTCTGCAACAGTGCTGGCCGAGGTCATGTGCGGTGAACAACTCAATTGTCGCCAGATCCGCCAGGAAATTATGGTTGTGTAGTCGGCCAGACAGTCTCTCGGGAGACCCAAGGTAATGTAGCGCAGTAATAATCAGAACTCCAAGTACGAGGGGATAGAAGAGTACGTGCGACTCGCAGTTCGCACAAAGACCAGCGAGTAGCGGGCGGCTCTGTACCTCCTAAAGAGGACCAGAACAGATGAACTGGCTGTCGAGGCGTAGCCGAGGAATCATGTTGTCGTTGATTGTCGGGGTCAAGTGGAGGTGGTGGTATTCTCGATCGCGTGCCGAGTGCGGAGGGTGGACTTGTACTTTTTTTTGAGAGAGAAAGGTGAGAAGCAGATGGCAGGAGGTTGTCTGCTGGAGGGATATAAGTGGGAAAATGGAGTGAACAGACGTGGTGCAAGTGAAGTAGTAGAAGTCAGGAGAATGATTTGAGAAGGATTGAGGTTGTTCGACCCAGAAACGGGCGCGAGGTGGAACAGACAGCACGGAGCCTAGGCAGAGACTCCAACTTTGCCAGAGAAAGCAAGAGACGCGCCGCCAGCGCCAAAGGTCAGCAACCGATTATAGCGCCTTTTCGTGAGGTGTGTATGGTGTGGTGTGGTGTGGTGTGTGTGTGTGTGTGTGTGTTCTCCTCTCCTTGCACACGACCCAGAGAGAGAGTGTGTGTGTGAATTGAGAAGCGATGCCAGAGCAACTGGCTCCCAGGACAGACAGGCTGGCCCTTTGTCCTGAGGAGGCGGTCCTTTCTTCTGTTGCCCAACAACTGCTGTAATCTTGATTTTCTGGGTAGATTAAAGAAGAAGAAGCGTACTATCAATGAACCTTGGAAGAGGAGGGGTGTGAACTTTTTTTTCCCACCAGGCTTATTATGGTCCGTCACTTTGTCTTTGCTCGATCTACGGAGTACGGATCTAAGTCGGGGGCGCGCCAGAGCCGGACAGACAGCGGCCATTGATGGGTTGGCCAGGTAGGCGTCGCTGGGGACTGGGCCTTTTGGCCTTTTACCGACAGAAGGTGGAATAGCGTACCCACTGGAGCCACCTCAATCGTGTCACCCCATCTTAATTGACCATTTCATATTACTCAAGATCGGCACGGTTGGCTCGGCTGGCAGGTTAACGTTAAGTTTGTGCGTCGCTAGTAGCGTTTCGAACAAGCTTGGAAGCTTGAGACGCAGCAGGGCAATTTCTCTGCGCAACCACCGTCACCATTCTGCAGTCGTGGCGTAGGTCCGGCGTGTCTCGCTCGGGCTTACAGTTCGCCTCGTCCGACATGACCGAAGGTTCAATTCAGTGCCTGGGTAGCGCTGCTTGCCCAGCCTACTGGCCTTGGTGCAGCCCGAGACGCGCACCCATCTCTTCTCTCCCCTCAGCTCGCCAGCCAACCAGAGAGCTTATGAATCAGTCCCTGTCGTGTGTCAGGGACAAACTCTGCTGACATACATTCAACAGACGTCACGCGAGAATCACCTATGCGATCCTTCACGAGGATGCTTGCTTGTATTATTTCCATTGGTGTATTTGCAGTATGCTGCAGAATTCTCCCCCTCTAGACCTGATTGCCACCCTGGTGGATGTATGCTTCTTTCCGGGGGGTTGGAGAAGAGCAAAAAAGAAAAAAGGAAAAAAAGAAAATTAATGATGTTGTACTGTGCTCGTCTTCTCCTTCTCCAGCATGAGCAGCCTTGGCAGCCCACGTGCACTGTCGCAGAGGGATCCGCCAGCCTGGGGCCAAAAATCCATTTAAAGTGGGAGCTGTCGCGACGTGTTTCGCCAGCACCTGCAGCCAGCCCGCCACAAGACCCTGGAATGCTATGCGACGTCATCGACAGGGGCCAGCCTAGGACGGCTTGGGGCTTATCCTTATCAGCCCAGCTGTCACGCACTTGAATACCTATATGTACTCCACCTCCACTCAAATCAACCGCAAAAGTGGTCAAGTAAACACCATCCCATGATTTGTTTCGATGGTGAAAAGCAAGCGGGAAGAGAGGATGGGATTCAGTACTAAATATGCTCATCTTCCTCCAAACAGCCCCGTCTAGTGTAGCGGTAACATTGCGTTTGACACACCAGATAGTAACTCCAAAGCCTAGGTACCGAGCTGCGGGGTGAACCCTGGTGCCCTTCGGGGCGTAGTCCCAGGTTCGACTCCTGGGATGGGGAAATTTCTTTTTGTCATTGTATGCTTCAGATGTCGGTATGTTCAACCTAATTGAAATCATCCCCTTGCTGGATGAAACCGGGCTTTCTGCACATACATATATACCTAGGTACCTTCTAAGTAAAGATGCACCTGTATTACAACAAGTCAAGAGTGCTGCTTTTGAAGAGTGGCAAGTCAACATACTGAGAAATATAGACCGATGACAGATGATCTCCCTCTCATTGAGTGAGTGAGGCGTCGAAAATCAGGTGTGATGATCGCCCTTTTTGTTTTCAAACAAGGATCTTTCAAGGATCTTTCAGGGTGGTTAGGTGATCTTGGTTGACTTTTTTGTATGGAGGAGTACCGCAAAACCACTGCCGATCCGTCAATCTCCCCAAGTAAAAATAACATGAAGAGAAACATGTGTCTGCAATCGCCCTGGTTGGCTGTTGATCAAGGTAGTAAGTAATCACCGACTGAGTCCAGAACAACCTTGGGAGTCCCATGCATTCCAAAGGTTTCTAATTTTGTTGAAACAGCCTGGGTATGCTATTGTGTGTCAACTCGCACTGGCAGCAAATGCGACCGCCGCTGTTGGTGCACACAATTCTCAAGTCACTGTGCCGTGGTGATAGCGGTTGTCTAATCAATATGGCAGGCATCTGAAACTGATCCCTCAAGAATCATCAACCCAATGAGCACAATGACCGGACTCGGGATGGTGTGCACTGCGTTGCATGGCTGGATTGCAAGCAGCTTGACCGTGCTGTGTACCTCTGTCTCCATCTTAAAAGGTATTTTGCTTAGTGATGCAAGAGTGCAGGGTCGGAACCTACCAGGCCGGCGCGACAGTATCTGCTGCGCAATTGCGCATAACGCGACCGCAGCTGGATGCAGGAGGCCCCAATTCATTGGCCAGCCTTGGGAGTCTGTCTAGGGGTTCAACTCCATCTCAGACGACTCTGTATTTCGCGTCTCTGTTCATTTCTCTGTGAGCATCATTCTACACGATCTATTCACATGTGCATTACAAGTTGAGGCACTGGTGGCAAACCAGTTGACCCGAGAAGACTCGAGCCCACTTCCACTCACGAGCTCGTCAGCTTTTGTGAATCATGTAGGTATCCAACCAGTTTCTTGATCAGATCGCTGTTTGAAATTATTCCAGTTGAGAGCTCTACTTTTCTTTTTATTGCCGTCAGTTATTTTATTTCTCAGTCCGAGAAACATCAGCATCCAACAGAGCCCCTGACAACAACCCAACCAAGAACAGTCCTAGAGTTCTGAGAGCAAGTGCCAGGAGCCCTCCTCAGAGAAAACGATGGCTTGTACAATTCGAACTGCACAGATCAACGACTAACTTGGTCAATACTACTTCGACTTTTAGAATTCATCTGGTAGCTAAACCACGAGAACTTCTGATAGATATCATCCAGACCAGGAGACTTGGATCATGTTTGGCGAGAAACAAGACGTATCCTCCATCTCAGCCTCGCCAGTGACGCGGCCTCCCCCAATCCTTGTGCCATGTCCAGGCCATGATTCTCGAGGACAGGCCGCGAAACCGTCCGAGGCGCAGCACTCTGTTGCCTCCCATCGTACGGCCTCAAAGATGACCAATGACTTGTTTCGAGATACAGGCCTTGTGTCAGACGATGAGGCACTCCCGGATCGCAGATTCATTGACCGCTTGCACAAATTAAGCGTGGTATCGTCCGACTCTGAAGACTCTCGCCCTGAGCTGGTTATATCAACTTCTAGAAGGCAGCAGCCAAGGAAACAGTCCCGCCCCCTACAATACCACGCAAGCAAGACCATCCCGAAGAGTGATCGAAGCTATTCCAACGGTCATCGGAACAGGCCAGGCACTTCAGAGAATGAGCTCTCTGGAACGGAGTCGGCCCCGGATGGGAGAACGAAGGGCTTGCGGTACAGAGCCGGACGGTCTGACAGGCTTTCAGGATATGCGGAAGACGGTGTCGAGGATCCGGCACTGCTCCCAGCTGCGAAACGCCATCAACCTGGCTCCGCAAGGAGCTCAATATCGATTGCAAATGCAGCTCATTCCGGAGGGACTGTAGGGTGCAACACGAAACGGAGCCGAGATCTTGCGCTTCCGAGCGGTGATCAAGATGTCGACAGCGACACGGATGGCACGGCCGAGTTGCCCCCGCGGGCCAGCAAACGCTCCAAGGCAGCAGACATCTCGCTCAAGCTCGCATGCCCCTTCTTCAAGCGCAATTCCGAACAGAAGATGCCGAGCCGGGCCTGCTTCGGCCCAGGCTGGGAGACAGTCCACCGTGTCAAGTATGCCTCTCTCATCTTGGGCCCTCCCCCCGCCGCTTTCCCTTTTTTCCCCTCTCGCTTCAAAATGTCGCCCAAAAGACTGAACGTGGACTCCCCAACAGAGAGCATCTCTATCGCTGCCACGCCGCTCCCAAGTTCAAATGCCCGCGGTGCTGCAAGCCCTTCGCCACCCACGCGGCCCTGACCGCCCACCAGCGGTCCGCGGCGCCCTGCGAGCTCGAGGAGCACGACGACCTGAACTGCTTCGACGCCGACAAGGAGGCCGCGCTCCGCTGCAGGAAGCGAGGCGGCGCCAGCAAGCCGGAGGCGGGCAAGTGGATCGCCATGTTTGCGATCCTCTTCCCAGACGATGACGAGTCCAAGTATCCCTCCCCTTGTAAGTGTTCCTGGCCACACTGATTGCATATCGCCAAAGAAGAAAAAAAAAGCATCGCAGTGCAATTGTTGCTCATCGTTTACAAAATAGATTACGAACATGCTCCGCAAAGGCGGCCCGGTCCTCCGCCAGCCAGTTCCGAGAAGGACCTCCTGTCCCGGTTCGACTCCTTCGCGCGCCGCTCGATACCGGAGATTGTAGAGCAAGAGGGCGGCGCTGTCGATCCCAAAGACCCGGCCATCGAGCGCTCAGAGATGACCGATCTCGTGCTGAGAGTCCACAGCAGACTCATGCGGATGTACTCGCAGCAGTGTCAAGCAAGGTCACCCCCGAGGGATTTGGAAGACCCTGCGCCAGCTGCTGCTGCAGATACAAATGGCACCGACCCGGATGGCAGGGGTCACGACCACGTCGACGTCCTATCAGAGCAGACTTGCCGCGACAATACCAACCTAGACGATACTATAGACTGGAGCATTTTTGATTTCAGCACTGTTGAGAATCATGAGTCCAGCCATGAAATAGCAGGTCCACACCACAGCATAGACGATCTACCCTTCGACTATTTCGTGGACCTCGGCGGACCCGCGAGAGGGTTACAGCTCGAGCCAGAACCTACGGCCGTTGACGATTCGGGCTATATTTCCGGAGCGTTCAACATGGAAGATCCCAAGAGTCGGCAAGAGCCTGATAAGAAGAAGCAACCGGGCGTCGAAAATTGGGGGTTGTATATCTAGTTTTTTTCATTGCACTATGAGAAGAAAGAAAAAAACAATCCGGATGAAAAAGTACTGTAAAGGAAGGGGTATCACGGACTTCCCAATCTAACAGAGAAAGACCCAATCTAAACAAGATGAAAGCTTCAGCGCATGGCGCGCTCAAAGCCCGTGTAAAGGGCATGCAGATAATGAGAGACTCTGTGTGATTCCACCGCTGGTCATGCTCAGCCCGCGGCCTCGGCGGCCGCTTCCGACTCCGTGGGCATGGGCATGGGGGACTTGACATCGAGCGACCCGTCGGATCCATCCAGGCTGCCAGACTCTGACGGCGTCGCGATATCCTCGGTGATGACCGCTGGAGCTGTCGACGCCTTCTGGGCCTGCTTGTATGCGGCGTTCCGCTCTTCGCGCTGCCGCACGAGCTCCTTCTCCGCTTCAATTGCTTTTGCTCGTCTGGCCTCCACGTCCTCCCTCCGCACGACTTTCCTGAGGCCCTCGGACGCCTGGATGAGGCCGTCGATGCTGATGGCATGGTTCGTCATCTGGTGGTTGATGTAGGTGTAGATGCTCGCCGGAGTGACGCAGCTGAGGAGCTGCTGCTCGTTGAGCTTGAGGAGCGCCAGTGCAACTTGGAAGAGGAAAGTGCTGCCGTCGTTGAAGCACAGCACGACATCCCACACACGAAAGAGAGCCTCGGCAGACAGGCAATCTGTAAAGACGGACAGGAACCACTGGAAGGTCATGGTTTCGAGATCGATGCTGAGGTCCTCGAAGTGGGCGGACAGCTTGGGCAGGACCTCGCTGACATACTGACGTAGGACTTGCTGGTCGGCGCGGCTCGCGAGAAGAGAATGGTCGTAGTATCCCACAGGCAGGATCGTCTCTATAATCGAGGCTAGCAACCAAAAGGCATCCTCGGCAGAAGGCGTGACGAGGAGCAGATTGGCGGTAATGAGATTCATCCCTTGGCAGTAGCCCACATCCGGATTTCGGCGAGAGTAGGCCAGGAGCACCTCGTTGAGTTTGCTAACCCCGGGCCCTTTGCGGAAGAAGATATTGTCCGTCAGCGTGCGGTTGATGTCTGCCCGTATCTGCGTCACGACATCGGCATTGTCATCAGTTTCCGGCCTGGAAACGAGGTCGTCATAGTATCCGGGGACGCGCAGACTGGTAGCCCCTGAACACTCAGCCCAGACTTTGGCTCGAAGGACGACCGGGATCCCAGCCAAAACGAGTGAGCGGAATTCACTCCATTTTGCGCGCCCGACTTTGCCCTTATTGCCCAGGCCTGCTACGCCGACGATCTCTCCATCGGCCAGTCGGCTCTCTGGCATCACTGCGGTAGCCCTTTGAAAACGGGCCTCAGCTGCCGCGGCGGCGCTTGCGGCAGCCACCTCGCCTTCCCGCTTCCGCTCAGCCCGGACCTTTCGAAGAAAGTCATTCCACCGGCTAGCGCGCTCTTTCTGGAGGTTATCATGCAAGTCGCTCAGCTGCTGAAGCAGAAGTTTGACTGGCTCGGCATCCTCTTTGACAAGAGTGCCCGTTGCGGCAGCTGGCTCGCTCTCTGGTGTAGGGATAGTCTCATTGTCCAGGGCTGCTGTGGTACTGGCAGGAGGCACAAACCCCCGGTCCTCCGCGGTCATCAGACCCGGCGACTTGGGCATATCCCCGCCCTCCGTAACTTCGACCCCGGGGACACTCATTGCCGGAGTGTGAGAAAGCAGTTCCGTAGGGAATGTCGCGATCCGCAAATAATCCTGCCACCTCTTTGGTTTGCCCTCTTCTCGAACACCCTCCATTGACGACGGAGATCCTGGCCTGCCTTCACTGCTTGCCGTATCTTTGAAACTGCTGGTGTCCTCAAATAGGCTTGGCGATAGCTTTGCTCTTCCATTGGTCAGCATCTCTGTCCGGCTGCCTCGCTTGTAATTCTTTGCCATCTGAGTCGCTTCTCTTTGCCTCTTCTTTCTCCGCTGATCGTAGATGAAGCCAAAGCGGTCGGTCAGAAATTCCGCGCCGTTGTAATTGTTGTATATATGTGTCAGTGTCGGGGGTTGAGCCTCTGGGGAAAATATCGTGTCCATTTCTACCGGCCCCGAGCTCTCTGGACGATCGGCCGTCTCGCTCGTGGGACTTGCGAGCATTGTGTCCCAACGATCTGGGGCTTGAGTACGAGCTAGCGTGCCGACGGGCCCATTCTGTCCGACAGTTGTACGTCTCATGGCCATCAATGCCTTTGGGCCCCCTTGTACGGACACGGCCCTAGTAGAAGCGGTTGTTTGTTGGCTTGATGTGGAAGGGCTTCTCAAAGATCCTGGAGCCGTGACGCTATCCGCCCGGCCTCGGGGATCTCCTTCTCGCGCGGCTCCACCACCAGCAACAAGTCTCAGGGCCAGACTGGCCAGCGACGTCGACGGCTTCCTCCCAGATTGGCCTGCTTGAATGCTCGACGCGCGGCTAGAGCTGCGGATGGACCCTGCAGCCTCTGGAGGGCTGAAGAGGTCATCCTGCAGAATCGGTCGACGATCTGGGGGCACGGCGGGTCGAACTACGGTTTGCGACCTGCCCCCGTCTCCGTTCACGCTGCTTGCCCTGCTGGGCCTCTTGCTGGTAGTGGACCCCCAGAAATAGTCCTTCCAGCCCCTTGTGGTACCCTTGCCATCACCTTGATCAGGGACTATCGACTGGCTGCTCGCTCGGATGGTAGCGTCGTTTGCGGCAAACGCACTGTCGTATAATGTATTGTCGGTCATAGCATCGCTCATCAAGTCTGAGACTCGCCTTGCCTTGTCGTTGACTTTGGCCTCCTGCTCGATGGCGCGCAACCGTGTCTCGAGATCCAGTGTTGACAAACCACACTCCAGTATGATCTTTCTCAAAGCCCGCTCTCGGTCCTCGGCCCGTCGCCGCAGGCTGGCGATCTGCGCATCGCGCTGCGCAAGGTCCTCGGCGACCTGGCGAACAAGCGGAACAGCACCATGTTTGGCAATTAGGCGCTCAATATTCTCGTCCGGAGCGACATGAAGCGATCCGGGGATCTTCCTGGTGGACAGGGGCGCATCCTCGAATAGCGCACTCCGCGCCCGCGTCGGGTTTGGCGAGGCGATTGTGAGGCTTTCGACGATCGAGCCGGACTTCTGCGAGCCGGGCGATTTTGTTGTCAGGCTGGTCGCCCCGCCAGAAACTTCCCGCTGCGAAGAGCGATCCTCCCTTGGTGAGTCAGGCGAGAAGGACGGGAAGGACGTCAGGGATTTGTCGGATGCTGCAATAGACGAGGCCGAGCTGGAGGGATACGAGGCAAGCTTGCCTCTCTTAGCGGCGCGAACTGTAGAAGAGCGGTAACTCTTCACCGAAGTAGTTGACTGTTGCGAGACGGAGCGCTCGAGAGGGGCAGATGGCTCGTTGTCCATGGCCTCAGCTCCGTTCGCATGATTGCACCTGCAAAGCTTGTAGGCATGCCCATCCACAGCCTGTCATGAAGCACCACTACACCGAGCGCAGTGCTGAGTGTGCGCGTCTGACGGGAGTAGCAGTAGGGCTGTCAGTATCGGGGGTGGGTGCAGGAAACGAGAACAAGGAAGAGCTTGGTATGAATGGGAAAAAAGAAAGATGACACAAGGGCAGACGAGCTGCTGTTGACTGTGTTTGTGTGTGTGGATGTGGGTGACGCTATGGTTTATGCAAGATCATCGGGTGGGCCTCGGCCTACCTATCAAAGAGCCACAGAACTGGAGGCTTCAACTCTAACTACCTACTGCCTCTGCTCTAGCACTTTCTACGGAGGCGCGTAAAGTGGGCAGCGCGGGAGGACGCGGTTTTAGCCAGCTTTTAGACGGCAAGCTTAGCGGCGTGGTACCAGCTATTGTCCCTCCAAAGCTCCCTGCGGTCGTGAGCTCCCAAAACCAGGGGTCCACTGTTGCGTTCTAACATACAGCGTGTTGAGCGTGCTAAGGGAACGGCCCCGTCAATAAGGCGCGGCCCATCTTTCTGTCATTCCTCACAAGCTTCATCCCTAGACGCCTCCAATGAGGGATGATCCATCAGTACCCTGCTCCATCCCTAGGAATGAGAATTGCTTCTTTTTTGATGCTCTGTTCGCTTCTGCGATAGATGGGCAATGAAGAATTTTTTCTCAGACCATTTCGCGCTTCTCGACGCGACTTGATCTCGGTCCATGTTTACGAATAAACTATTCAGCAGTATTATCACTGTAGCCGAGATCTGGCGGCACTTCACGCGCCGCACTCTCTCGACACGAGCTCAAACATCTGCATAAGGTTACTTTCGAGGCCGTTTGGAACCATGTGGATCACCTCCGGGTACCTGCATTGGTCCTAACTGAAGCTTGTCCCGAATTCTCGGGCGGACCACGATTGGGGAAGTCGCATTATGATCTACTTGGCTCACGCCGTCGCTCCTGTGAGTTGGAGCTGATAGTCCAACCCTCTGCTGACTTCACTCGTCAACGAAAAAGGGTCGTATAGATACAATGTGGCTGGCGTGTTGACCACCACCAAGCTAGCTTCCTCTCCGTTGCTGAGCGTCGCGCTGCCTGACCCTCCGGGAAGGTCGACGTATCTCACCGACCCGCTGGGCGATCGGACTGCCAGCGTTGCTGTGAAGGGCATGCCGCTGGAAGCCGTTACGACGACGCCTATGCTCGTGCCGGAACCTTTCAGAGGGATGATGTTGGCGCCCATATACCGCGGTTGTCTTGACGACTTGACCCGGTAGCGGCCACCTCCCTGGCTGTCGAGATTCGCGTAGTTGATGCTGCTCCTCTGTGCAGCGAATTGACGGGCCGCCTGGGCGTGGCCGATGTCGACGTACGCCATGCGCGCCCAATACCGAGCAACTACCGTCTGGATGCGAACCGCAGGCGACACCAGGCGGTTGAGCACGTGCAGTGGCGTCTCGTTGCTGTTCCGCTGGTAGCGTGTCCAGACGCCCGGGAACGTGGCGAGACCGAGTCCGGCGTAGTTGTCCGGGTTGTTGTGCATATAGGTCAGAAACGGCCAGGACTGGTAGTAATTCCCCGAGTCGCGTGTCCCGTCAACGATGACCTGGTGCGAGTCGCCCAGCACCTTATTGAGGTCGATGAGCGTGCTCCCCTCGGCCTGGCCGAAACGGGACCGCGCGGGGGTGCAGAGCGGCGAAGTCAAATACGTGTCGGCGACGAAGTTGGCCACCGGCTCCCACCAGGCTCCGGTGCGGATCTGGTCGATCCAATAGCGCTCTGCATATGTCAGCGCGTGGCCGAACTCGTGGACCGTGATCGAAGGCTCGGTCAGATACTGGGTGACGACATTGAGGAAGCTGAGCCCGGCCGTCTGGTCCGTGCCTGTATTGGCGGCCGCGCCGGGCAGGGTGCTCACGGTGTACACGTTGACCTTGTACCACGGCCCGTTGTCGTCTTCCTGTCTGAATGATAAGCCGCTAGACCGCCAGCCGAGGTCGTCGACAAAGCACGAATAGGCTGCCTCGAGGCTCTTGATCGCAGAGTCGGCAGCACTATCGCTTGGCGAATTATAGATGCGGAAGTGTGGTGAGTCTTTGAACCTCGTTCCGCCCGGGCCAACTCTCGGGTTCGCCTGGAAGACTGCTGGCGGTGTGGCCGCCAGGGCTGGCCATGAGAGAGCTGCAATGGCGGCCAATGACCGCCACGGCCCTCGTCGGTTTCCGTGAGGCAGCATAGCGTTCATTACGATTGCCAACCCTAGATGACAGTCTGGTCAAGCTGGGGAAGGTCAACATCACCGGCACGCGGAAATATACTTATATTTTCACCAATACCTCGAATAGCAGTCGCGGAGGATGGCATTAGCCTCCTCCGTCTGGCCAAGGGTGAAATCAGGATGCCATTCCCACAGCGTGTATTGTTTTGCCTAATATGCCACTGCTGCGCAACAGCACAACCCTATAACAGGTATGTTATAGATAGCCGGCAAATTCAGATGCAACAGCAACGAGGACACCTTCCCACTTGGGCGTTGACAAGACTGTATGATATGCGCTGTAAGCCAACCATGAGCTGGGGTCGTAGGAGGCCATATCAATCGATCCTCAAATGTTATCTCAAGCCAGAGGGAAAACAATCAAGGAGAAGAAAAGTAAGAGGGAAAAGGATAAGGCAAAAATAAAAAGCAAGCTGGCGAACAATTTATTCGATTGGCACTGTAATGGAATATGAATTGGTTGATCCCTTGATCCAGGCACTCTGGGGATGCTGAGAAAAGTGGTTCGGAATAAAGAAGCAAGTTGACAACATCATCTTGTCTGTAAAGAAGCACTCCTAGTACCGTTTTCACCTTTGGCAACTCAGAAGTAGAAACTCGGTAACGGCATCATTGTGTTTTGGAAAGTGTCTTCGTGAACTCTCTTTTGTTGATTCCTCTCGGGAGTTTGAGGAGGATCATCTGAGAAAAGGGGCTAGAGAACTTCCGTGAGAAGAGTTGCATTCAGCACGCTGACCAGCCTGCTTTCAAGGCAAAGTAACGTTGTGATCACTGCTTTGCCTTGCCTTGTTGAAAGCTGGCAGGTCGACCAAGCAGGTCGTGGTGGAGAGGAACCCCTGTGAGTCCCTGGATGTTCTTCTCTTTGTCGACTGAGCAAAATGTTGACCCGAGATTCCACCTGCATCGGCTCATTCACTGACACGGGGATGTCACGGTCCAGGCTCACGGACTCAATATTGCTCCGGGCGCCCCAAGGGATCTTCGAAGTGGCTTTCGGGCTGTCGAGAATTTCTATTTCTCGCGTGAATATCCATGATCCCGGGTCGAAGAACGCGGGCAGTCTGTTCTCGTGGTGATCATTTCCCCAGAAATCCTCCAAGCACAATCAGGGGGCATGATCCTTCAGGGGTCCGCGGACTAATGCAGATCGATCAAAGGCCTCGCTGATCCGGCTGAGTGCCCGGTGGTTTGCAAAAATTGCTCTATTTGGGGTTGCTGGTCGCTCTCCCGGACTCCGCGATGAGAGGAGCCTCTGTTCCGGCTGGAGGAGTCATCATCGCCGTGTGCAGTCGAGGTCAGGGCGAGCAGCGCTTGGTTGGATTGCCTACAGCCAGGAAATTCCGAAGCTGCCAAGGTATAATAATGTTGAAACCCGGCTTCCACTCGCCTCTCCGCACCCGAACAGTCTTAGGGCTTGTGGCCGGTTTCGTCCGGCGAGGAACGGTCAAGGACGCCACAGACACCATCTTTCCTCAGCTCTTGATCGACGGGAGGTCCCTGTCGCCGTGCTAGTTACAAGTAGTTACCCCGTGAAGCTCGAGTCTGGAGAAGTTGGCTGAGGTACGGGACCCACCAGGCGAAATGCGATACAGGCATCCCTTGTCTCTTCCTTGCGCCACGAAGAGAGGTCTAGGCTGGAGGAGGACACCAGCCTCAATGCAGATTATTCACGGCGCAGTCCTCACAGATGAGCCAGTGCTTGTTTTCAGGGCCCATGAATTGGGACGTGTATGAGACGGAACCCTGGGCGTCTAGGGTCAGCAACGGTATCGCTGTGCGCCTGAACCTGACCGTGAACACTCCTTGACAATCATCTTCAGGGCTGGTTTGAGGTTTCGGGGCGCAGCACACCTTATCACAGCCTGCTATATCCTGCATCGATACTAACGTTACTGCAGAGTGAACACGGGCTGCGGAAATCCGTCCGTTGTTTCGCCCAAAGTGGTCGTTGTACGCTCCTTCATCTGGGAGTCGCAGCGACGGCCTCTGAATGGCTTGTCGCAGGTGTGCTGTGCCGCAGCCAGGAGCGCCAACAAGGATGGCTTGGAGAGAGTAGTACTTTTGCACGCAGCTGGGAAGTTGCATGTCGAGGATGAAACATTTACGACCTATCGCGGGAGCCCACCGACATCCGTATCGGGAAGATTCAAGGCTCGGCCCCGAGCGGAAGAGATGCCGCGTCGGGGGTGATGTTGCTCCAGGCCACCCCAGGCCAATTGCGGCCAAGGGGTTTCGTAATCACCTCAAGCCACTTCTGCAGCAGCACATCGAGATTTTTCTTTAGGTGGCCAGGTTGAGAGAGAACTCGCCAAGGCGCCACTATGGGTTGGCTCCTCATACGGACTTGGAACCTCTACCCAAGTTCAGTAAATAGTGTTCCTTCAAGCGCAAGATAGTGGCGGCCAGTCGTGCTTAATCCCCAGGCCAGTCGGAACCAGCCGGAGGGGTTGTCGATGCTGAAGAATCTCTTGTCAATGGCCATGAGAGTACGATGAGAGAACTGAACCAGGCTTGTTGCAGCACGCAAATTGACGCAAGTGCGGACCAGCGTATACCCGACATCATTCATACTAGGTACCTGCGAGCCACAAGAAGGCTCCAAGCTGTAGAGAGCGAGAGAGATTTCTTCAGTGGCGACAGTCCATGCCCGCCTGATGAGCAACAACAAAAAACCGTTCGACAGTCTGTAAATTTAGCATTACTTAGCATCGAACATCCTTACTGGGGAGTCCCTACAAGCACTCTTCAGGTCTTGGGGCTGTGGTGGTTCAGGAGGTGGATATCATGAACAGAGTAGGGAGACTTCATCTTAGCCGTCCGCGTTTCTTATTGTAGTGGAGTCTAGTACCTGCAGGTTAGTGAGTCTCTGCTACTCTTGGGCATTTGCGGGCCCCCCAGACACCTCACACTCGCAGAGTGCACTAGCAAGGGCAACCTGGACTGGGGCGAGACAAAGTACGAAGTAGTCGCCGAGTTAATGGATGATTGGTCTGGGGGCAGATCCGGGGGAAGATGGGGATGAGGCCCACGAAGTGCCCATTCTTTGGGTGGGTGGTCTCATCTTTCTCCATCCTCAAGGCTCTCTTCCCCAGACTCACGTTCGTTTTTCTCCCCTCTCCCACATTGCTTCTTCTGATGTGGCAGTATTTGACACCCTTCAGATCCTCATTGTCTCCCATTTTTTTTCCCTCCCACGCCCACAAATGGGGAAAGGGAAAAAAAAAAAAAGAAAGAGCAGGGACTCCTTGAGTGGCTGAACAAGGGTTTAGATGACTCGACGCACGTCAATCGGAAATAAAAGAAGCAAAAGCAAAGGGGGTTTTGTTGGTTCCTATTGTACGATTGGTCCCTCCGCAGCCCCTTTAATTGTATCGTACCAACATACCATGTCTCCCTCGTCGCTCGGATTTCGTTTCCCGGCACTCGCAATCATGCCAAGCTGTGGCTGCATGGAAGGATTGTGGGTTTCGAATTGCAAATCCAGGATATTTTTCACTCTTATTCGTTCTAAGCTTCTCACGCGTAACACAACACACATCCAGTCCCCAAGTCGTAGATGTCTGCGCGATTGACCCATGAAGCAGGCCAGGTCTGTGACCCCGATACCAATACTATTTGTAGATCCTTATCACCCTGGTGGTTGAAAATGAACGTTCTAGAACATCGGGCCACTGTGGCTTTCATCAAGAAGACGGTCTTCAACCGGCCGGCGCCATTTGCTCTTGTGACCGTTCCTAGTCCGTGTCTAGTGGTGCGTGCCAACCAGTGCTTTGCGTGCGTAAGTCAGTAGTTTCCGCCAGAATCACAGGCAAGACAGTAATCGCCCAGCAAGGCAGGGCAGGGCTGGGTGGCACTGGTGGCTTGCCTCGACCACCAACATGAGTCAAGCTAGAGAGACAAGCGCAAGACTAGACGGTCAGTCGCAAGGATTTCTACAAGTGTCATGCCTGAAGCTGAAGAGACCCGTCCAAGGTTGCAGCATGGACTGTCTGCTAGTGGGCGTTCTGATTCGACGTTACACCGAGCATCATCTCAAACAGAGCAAGGATCGTCTGTTCTGGGGTCGGCATGTCGACATACCCTCCCCGGTACGCCAGTGTGGGTTCTCAGTTGGGATCACTAGGGGTCCCCCCAGCATGCAACTTGATGTCTCCGGCCTCGTCCTCCCAATGATGCGAGCCGGATCGTCCCAGGGACCCAGACGAATTAAAGCCCGCCTGCAGCCTGCACCGAATCCGGTATCGACCGCCTTCACCAACAGCCATTCTCCTCACAACACTTCGCCCGTTTCAGAAGCCAGGTCATCCATGTTGGAGCGAGCAAGCCCTGAGGGCTGAAGCCGGATGGGAACCGGGTTGGAGAACAGGACTCGTCTGATGGTGCCAAGCCTTCTCTTAGTCTTCTCGACGCGCCACTGTCTCCCCTTCACCTCGTGGTGAAGGGTCTTCATGATCCCAGGCTAGCGCTGTGGTCTATTAATTGCTCATCAACGGCGGTCTTTACGTTGATAGGAAAGTGGCTTCGAGAACCCAATCAACAATATCCCTCTTTGCTGGACAAGGACTGGGCCTGTCTACTCCGCTCGCCGTGTCGATCTTGCCCAGGACTGCCCTCACTTCCCCTGATATCTTTGCTCGAGCCCCCCGGTATGCCCATGGGGTCGCCCGTCGGTTCTCGTCTGTCAGTTGTTTAAGCTCAGATTTCCCCATTAATACCATCCGTTGTCCCCTCCGCCGCGCGAGAGAGGGTTTCTTTCCCGAATAAGCCCATGATCAGCGATTCCTAGGTCAGCATGGAGGTCGTGAATCGCAGCCTCCCGGTGCTAGTCGCCAACGGCGTCTTGATTGCCATGTTGGCCATCTTCCTGGGCATGAGGATTTGGGTGCGCTTCGGCCTCTTGAGGCAATTCGATTGGGACGATGGTGAGTCTTCCTTCCTGATGGCACTCGAATCGTCTCCTCTTCGACTCTAGAGGACAAATTGCTGATAACTGCCATGCAGCCTTCGTTCTCGCAAGCGCAGTAGGTGTCTATTGCTCCCGCGAGCACAAAGTTTGACCTAGTATTCTGACAATCACGACACTAGTTCTTCACCTTTGCCGTGCTTTCGTGCATGATGGCATGTAAGTCTTGACCCGTCCTTGACTTCCACCCCCCAACCCTTGGGTGTTGCCCTGGTTTTGCTCTAACACTTCGTGAAGCCACCAAGTTTGGCCTCGGAAGACACCGCAAAGACATCCCGGACGCCGAATGGGATACCTATGTCAAGCTGAACCTGGTTGTCTCCTGCAGTTATATTTGCGGATTCGTCCTGGCCAAGATGTCGTTCGCGTACTTGTACCTGAAGGTGCTTCCGGAACGCAAGTACCAAAGGCTCAACAAGTTCATGCTCTGCTTCTTGACCGCGCAGTGGATCGAGGAGATCTGCGTCGTGCTCTTTGAGTGCAAGCCAATCAACAAGCTGTGGTCCCCTTTCATAGATGGAAAGTGCTTGGACTTGACTTATTTCTTTTACGCTGTGGTATGTTCCCGAGGCTCTTCACTCTTGCGGTTTGCCCTTTGTGTGTCGCACAAGCTCATTGCCTCCTTTAGTTTGGCGTCAAGCTCGTAACGGACCTCATTCTCTTCATCGAACCTATCCCGACAATGTGGAAACTTCAGCTTCCGTTGGCCAAACGAGTCGGCCTCATTGCTATGCTGTCCATCGGTCTCTTGTGAGTCGTGCAGTAGTCCCTCACAGCGGATCAGCGACTAACAAGTCCAACAGTGTCTGCATCATTTCGATCATACGTGTCACCTACCTCAGCTACAACAAGGGCGATCCGTCATGTGAGTACCACAAACAAGATACGAGAGTTGGCTCCTCTGTGTGATTGTTCCTGACTCGGATTCGTAGTTACCGGCGTGGATGCTCAGATCTGGTCCAGTGTCGAGGTTACAGCATTGCTCATCTGCTCCTGCATCCCCTCGTTCCGTCCCGCCATCAAGAAGTTCCCCGCGCTCAACCGTGCCCTGGGCCTCTCCTCGGATCACAGCTCGAACCCCTACTACGGCGGCAAGACGGGCTCTGGAGGCGTGTCCATCGCCCTTGCAAGCAGGCATAAGGACAAATATCTCCAGTCCCAGAAGACGAGCAACCAGAGCCGCGTGCGCTCCAACCACTTTGGCATCACGAGCACAGCCGCGCCCAAGGTTCTTTCGAGCAGCGCGGCCAGCACCGACGAGATCTTCCCGCACGACGTGGACAAGCACGGGGGCATCCTCGTCACCCGCGACATCCAGATGGGCGTCGAGGACAGGCGAGACAACGAAGCGGTCGAAGACTCTGCTTCTCAGCTCAGCGATGACTCGGTCACGAGGCCCGGGAAGGCCAAAGTGGGTGGCAAGGCTGGTGGGAATATGAGCTGGCTCGCTTCCCAGTAGAGGAGATTCTGATACTCCTCCTACGCACACTGAGGACTGCTATTAATGTATATGAAATGTCACGACCGGCTGTGTATACCAAGAGAGGCGGGCGGTGGGAAGAGCTTGGCGTGACGATAACAAAAGCACAGAGCATCGTGGAAGGGGGGAAAAGTGGTAGCGTTCGTTGCTGTCTGCCTTTTGCGGTTCGCGCGTGGACTGTGCCCGGATCCTGGGACAATATCTACCTTCCTAAGGTATTGTCTTGCGTTTAATTCAACGCGAGTTGCTCGCCATCCCACGTATTGGGCACTGCTATGTACTGTCAACTTGGAGAGGATGGGATGCATAAGGTGCATGACCGAAGTTGTGTTTGAGTTTCCGACTCTGTCTTGACTGGTCAGGGGGCCCATGTTCATTGTACTTGCAAAGGCTCCAGGGCTGCTCCTCCTCTGTGATCAGAATTGCGCACAGACCAGCCCACTTTTTGGTCCTTCCATCCAGTGTGGTGTATCCGCACCCCCTGTCCGTTCCTTCTAACTCCGTATCTTAATCTACATGTATTATCCACATGCGGCACCAGCCACAGTTGCGAATGAAGCTTACCCAAACCGCATGTCCCGGCTTCGCGCATGAGCCTCTCTCGAATCAACCCGGCGTGTTGCAAGTGTTGTTGACATGCAGTCAGTCCTGCTTCTCTGAGCACGGGCAAGTGAGTCGCAGCGCGGCGACAAGTTACAGTTGAAGTCGAGAGTCTCCGACGCACGCTTTCTACCTACAACCTACAGAGGAGAGACAGCAGCAGCAGCAGCAGTGACCACCCCGCCGCTGCTGCCGCCGCCGCCATCATGGACGCGCCACCCGTCAAGCTCGCCGAGCTGCTGCGGCACCCGGACGACCTCGACAAGATCCCCGCACTGAAGCTCGAGTTTGCACGCAAGAAGGGCGCCATCGACTCGCAGCTCCGCGGCGGCCTGCGCGACCAGCTCGAGACGACGCAGGGCGGCATGACGGGCCTCGCCGACGGGCAAAAGGCCGTCCAGCAGATCAAGGACGAGATGATCAAGATCGACAAGCTGTGCTCCGAGAGCCAGAACATGATACGCGACTTTGCCACCATCAACCTCGTCTCCCAGGCCCACCGCAACTTTGGCGCCGTCGAGGCCATGCGCCGCAACCTCGAGACCTTCAACGACCGCCTCGCCGCCGTCGAGGCCATGCTGCAGCAGGACGAGGACGACCGCGAGAACATGCCCAACCTCCTGCCCATACACTACGAGCTCACCCAGCTCAGGAATATTCGAGACGATGCTATCGAGCAGATCGGACGCGCCGACGACCCCAGCCTACAGTCGACGTTGGAGGATTATTTCGAGAGGCTGGACGGTGCTATCGACTGGTTCGATGAACACGTCGGCCTGATCGCGACCAGTCTCATCAACCTCGTCACGTCCGAGAACAATGGACTGGTGGTCAGGTTCGCGCTGATCATCGAGGCAGAGGAGAAGAGCGACCAGAGGGTCATGGCCCTGCAAGAGGCGATGAGGGATCACAAGGAGATCGCATCCAGGTTCCAGGGCATCACAGACGGTGCCAAAACAGTCAGAGGATATAAAGACAAGTTCTTGCTGGCAATAAAGGCTTTCGGAGAAGCCCAGTTCGGGGCCACCAGGGAAGAGTTCCTGCAGGATCCCACGAAGCTGGAGAAGCTGCTCAAGTGGTTCTTCAATGACCTCAATGCAGTCAAGCTGGGGATGGTACCGCTCATGCCCAAGAAGTGGAAGATTTTCAAGACCTACGGAGAGATATATCACGGGCTCATGCACGACTTCCTAGTCGGCATGATCGAAGACCCCGAGGCCAGCTCGGCCAACACGCTAGAGATCATCAACTGGCCCGAGAAGTACTACAAGAAGATGACCAAGCTCGGCTTCAAGCAGGACGAGCTGAAGCCTCATGTCATTGACAACCGGGAGACGGAGCTCGTGCGAGACTTCAGGCAGCTCATCATCAAGTTCCTGGACGAGTGGCTGGACCGGATATTCAAGCAGGAGAAGAAGGACTTTGCGGAGCGCAACGTCGAGGGCTCGAACCTGGACCAGGACGAGTACGGCTACTTCCGGACGCGGAACCTGGTGGACATGTGGAGGATGCTTAGGGAGCAGCTCGACGTGGCCGCCAACTCGCAGCGCACAGACGTGGTGGAGGGCGTCATCGACGCCATGTTCCTGCGGCTGCGCGGCAGGCAGCAGAGCTTCCAGCGGATGCTCGAGGAGGAGGCGCAGCGGTACGAGAGCGGCAAGGAGCCCGAGCTGGAGGGCTTCCAGGCCCTGCAGGACTGGCTCGTGGCCACGGCCAACGACCAGATCGCCTGCATCGACGACAACGAGGACGAGGGCCGGCTGGCGTACCTGTCGAGCTTCCGCGAGAAGTTTGAGCCCCTCGTGTCGCAGCAGTACATGGAGCGCGCCGAGGCCGAGGTGGCGGCCCTGCGCGACGGCTACGTCGACTTCAGCACGTGGTGCATCACCAAGTTTGCCCACCTCATCTTCGCCGTCGACTTCCGCGCCGTCATGCCCGACTTCTTCACGCCGCGCTGGTACACGAGCACGGCCATGAAGCAGATGGTGGTCACGTTTGAGGAGTACGTCGGCGACTACCGTCAGGTGCTGCACCACTCGCTCGTCGACATCTTCATCGAGATCTTCTCGGACGAGGTGCTTGCGCGCTACCTGTCGGCCGTGCGCAACAAGGGCGCCCGCTTCCGCCGCGCCGACCAGTTCCAGGACAAGATCTTCAACGACATCTCGACCATCTTCGAGTTCTTCGACGCGCTGCCGAGCCCCGAGGTCGCCGCCCAGCTCAAGCAGCAGTGGCGCGTCACGGAGCACTTCCTCGCCCTGCTCGCCGTCGACAAGGAGGGCCTGCCCGACGCGTTCGAGCAGTTCAAGGCCGCCTACTGGGACCTGCAGATCAGCTGGGTCGAGGCCGTGCTGCGGTCGCGCGACGACTTTGAGAGGAGCATGCTCAACGCCGTCAAGGCGCGGGCGGCGCAGATGTACGTCGACCGGGGGCCCGAGACCATCATGAGCAAAGTCAAATGAGAGAAGAATAACGAGCACGACATTTTTATATTCTGTATTATCAATAAGCACAATTGAATCTACCGAGGAGCGAAGGGCCTCCTATCTTGATCTCAGTAATTTCCAAGCAAGCACACACTCGTGATAGACTTTTTGAGTGTGCAGCAGCAGCAGCGCTGACTGCCGATTCCGTTCAATTCCAAATTACCACGCTGTATCATGATAGCCACCACCACATCTAGATGATATATATATATATATCCCAGCCGGCCCATTTTCTACTCTATACATGTAAAGCCCCCCTCGCAACGCGAGATAAAAACCATGGCAACACCCGCTCATCCATCTATTTCAGCGTGACCAGCTCCTCGGCGCTGGTGGGGTGGATGGCCACCACGTTGTCGAAGTCCTTCTTGGTGGCCCCCATCTTGACGGCGACGCCAAACCCTTGCAGCATCTCGCCGCTGCCGAGGCCGAGGATGTGCAGGCCGACGACCTTCTCCTCGGGGCCGACGCAGACCAGCTTGTACTTGGTGGGGCCCTTGTGGTCCGCCTCCATCATGGCGTAGTACATGGCCGTGAAGCTCGTGCTGTACACCTTCACCTGGTCCCTGCCGTATTTCTCGACGGCCTGGGGCTCGGTCAGGCCGATGGAGCCGACCTCCGGGTGGGCGAAGACGACCGAGGGGATGTTGGCGTAGTCGAGGTGCAGCGCCGAGAACTCGGGCCCGCCGAACAGGCGGTGCGCCAGCCGGCGGCCGGCGGCGATGGCGACGGGCGTCAGCTCGACCTGGCCCGTGACGTCGCCCAGCGCGAAGATGTTGTCGACGGCCGTGTTCTGGTACTTGTCGACCTTGATGTAGCCCTTGTCGTCGAGCTCGACGCCTGCGGCCTCGAGGCCGATGTCCTTGGTCGCGGGCGTGCGGCCGATGGCCCAGATCAGGTGGTCGATGTCGGAGAGGACGGCCTCGCCGTCCTTGTCCTTGTAGTGCATCCGGAGCCTGCCGCTACCGTCGTCCTTCTCGACCCTGGATGGCGAGGACTGCTTGTGCAGGTGCACGCCCAGGCGCTCGTACTCGGCCGTCACCGTCTCCTGGACCATGGGGTCGAAGTGCCGCAGGAAGGTGTCGTGGCGGATGAACAGGTGCGTCTCGACGCCCAGCGCGTTGAACATGCCCGCGAACTCGACGGCGATGTAGCCGGCGCCGACGAGAGCGACCTTCTTGGGCAGCGTGGCGATGTCGAAGAAGCCGTCGCTGTTGGTGCCCAGCTCGGCGCCGGGGATCTGGGGCGGGACGGTGGGGTTGCCGCCGACGGCGACGAGGATCTTCTTGGCCCGGACGACCTGCTTGGAGCCGTCGTCGAGGGTGACCTCGACCTCGTGCCTGCTCAGCAGCCTCGCCCAGCCGTGGACGTACTCGACCTGGTCCTTCTCCAGGTTGCGCTCGTAGATGCCGTTCAGGCGCTTGACGTAGGCGTCGCGCTTCTGCTTGAAGGTCGCCCAGTCGAAGGGGGCGGTCTCCTGGACCGAGAAGCCGTAGGGCTTGGCGTCGTGCAGGGTCTCGGCTATCGCGGCGGCGTTGAATGTGATCTTCTTGGGGACGCAGCTGTTTTCCCCGACTATCAGTGTCTTGGTCCACAAGAAGGGGGAATAGTGACGAGAGCTCACCCAACGTTGACACAGGTACCGCCGAGGCGCGCGCCTTCGACGATCATGGCCTTGGTGCCGAACTTGGAGCTGGCCATGCGCGCAGAGGCGAGGCCACCGCTACCGCCTCCGATGACCAGGTAGTCGGTCTCCTTTGATATTGACACGGGGGCCATGATTGCGGGCGCGGAAGAGAACTGTCTGGACAGACCGGCGAGTCTGGATGTTGCCAACTTGGAGGAATGTGTTGTGACTCTGGAGAAGAGCGAGAAGGCTTGCATTGGGCCTTGGGGGGGAGGGAATGACGGCTTGACTCGAGAAGGAGTATGCGGGCGGGGGAGCTCAAGGTGGGGTTGGATCGAGCTTATGTACTCCAGACAAGCAGTAGTAGCTGCTCTTATGCAGTTGAGGATTTTTTTGTAAGCGGCCGAGTCAATGCAGAAGGGCGCTCCCGGCGGTGCAACGATCTGCTTCGGAGAACAAGTAAGCTAGGAGGGGTGTGGCGCCCGGGATGACGTGCGTTTGGTGCAGGATGATTGATTCAGTCGCATACATCGAGCTTCGAATGCAAGGCGGGATGAATCATCAACCAGTGCCAGTGCTCTCTCTCTAATTTTTTTTTTTTTTGTTTTTGGCCTGGCGCGGAGATGCCCGGTTCGCCGAGGCACACCAAAATGGCCCGGGAGATCGCCGGGGGGATCATGTAATCAGACGGCCTGGAGGAAGGGGCCCTGCACGATTGGTAATGCTCCAGCTAGTTACTTGTACTCACAGCCCGTCCCATGCAGTGGGTAACAATGAATTTAGCCCCTGAAAAGGATGCGCTACTGTATCTCTTCTAATTACTACTGGTTGAGATGTGCAGATACATGTACATGTATGTACGGGCAATTGCAAATCATCAAGAAAGGACGGTCCGAATGAACTATTAAAAACACACACCCACACCGTGGGAATTCCAAATCAGAAAGAGTATCACAAAGGACCGGCATTCGGCATCTCCTGCCTGGCTAGCACTGACGGTAGCATGCCTCCTGGCAGGCTGCCTATCGTCAGCCCTTCCTCGAGACTTGCCGACTTACAGAAACTTGCTTTCCACTGCGGGCTCAACTCGTCTGGGACGAGAGCAGCTATTGCCAACCACGTCAACTCCCAGCTCAGCAGCTGGAAGCCCGCGCCGCCAGACTCTCGCATCCTCAGCATCGATCTCGGCGTCCGCAACCTCGCCTACAGTCTCCTGACGGCCGGCGGCGGGAGACGCCATCATGAAGCCGTCGCGAACGCGGTAGGCGCAGAGGCATCCAAGCCTGCTCAGCTTCACACATGGCAGCGGCTAGCGCTGGTCCCACGCCGCGCCGGCGGCCCCGACGGCGCATGCGAGGCCGCGCAGGACTTCAGCCCCGCCGCCATGAGCGACGTTGCCGTCCGGCTCGTGCAGGAGCGCCTGCTCCCCCTGCGGCCCTCGCACGTGCTCATCGAGCGGCAGCGCTTCCGCTCCGGCGGCGGCGCGGCCGTCCTCGAGTGGACCGTGCGCGTCAACTCCCTCGAGGCGATGCTCTACGCCGTCTTTGCCCATCTGCGCGCGACCGGCGCGTGGGCCGGGGCTGTGATACCCATCGAGCCTCGCAAGGTGGCTCCTTTTGTGCTCGGGGAGAGGTCTGGGCCCGGGGAGAAGACGGCGGGGCGCGGTTTGCCGAGGAAGAAAGCTAGCGATGTCAAGAGACTCAAAATCGAGCTGCTGGCTCATATGCTGACGGCCGGCGAGATCGACATTGTCAGTGATGAAGCAAGAGACATGGCTGCGGCCTTCTTGCAACGCCAGGGCGCCAGGTCTTCACGCAAGAAGAGCTCGCCGCCCTCCTCGCCGCTTTTAGGGTCAGAGAAGCTAGACGACCTCGCTGATAGCCTTCTGCAGGGGCTGGCCTGGCTGAGATGGGAGCAGAACCGGAGCACGGCGAAATCCCAGGGTGATAAGGCGGCGCTGATGCCCTTTAGGAACTGAATGAGATACCCTTCCACAAGCACATGTTGATTTGTCTATCGCTATGGGTCACGGCAAATCATGCGGCTCTCCCGCTTTGCGTGAATGCACCAGCTCCAGCTTTCTGATCACTCATCTAGTCGTACCAGTTGACACCATCGAAAGCTCCCTCCTGCTGCTGGGTGCTCACCCACTCCTCGCTGGCCAGGCCCGTCTTCATCCTTCGCTTCAGATCCGACGAGTCCTTGTGCCAATCGCAGGCATAATCACAAACCGGGACTGCGGTCTCTCCAAAGTAGCGGCAGATGGCGGCGTGGCGACACCCTGTGGTGTCCTCGCAGTAGGCGATGAGCTGCTGCAAGCTCTTGATCCGCGCGTCCCTGTTCGATCCCTCCTTGGAGTCCCTCATGGTCAGGTTGAAGACACGGTTGCTGTCCTCGCGGCTGTAGTATAGAAAGCAGTAGCTCGCCTTGCCGTCACGCCCCGCCCTTCCCGCTTCCTGGTAATAGCCCTCGAAGGACTTTGGCAGGCGCCAGTGGCAGACAAATCGCACGTTGTCCTTGTCGATGCCCATCCCGAACGCGGTGGTAGCGACAATGATGTCGTATCCAGGGTCGTTGTTGATCCACTTGTTGAGCGTCTCCTCTTTGGTGTCCTTTGACAGCTTGGCGTGGAAAGGACGGGCGCCTATGCCCTCTTGCCGTAGTGCGACCGCTATGGCCTCGCACTCGTCCCGAGACGTGGTGTAGATGATGCCGCTGACATTTTCCACACGCTGCCCCAGAGCGTCGATCTCCAATCTTCTCTCCTCTGAACCTCGCCTCTCGTAGACGCCCTTCATCCAGGCGCAAAAGTTGTCGAAGCGATCATTGGCCTCGTCGCTAGTAAATCGAATCTCGAGGTGCAGGTTGGGTCGGTACGCGGTCATGGTGAAGCTCTTAACCCTTTCCGGTGTCTTGTCCAGGCCTAATGTCGAAAGTACATCCCTACGGACTTGGTCATTGGCCGTGGCTGTTAGGCACATGATCGGTACGTCAGGAAAAGTCTCGCGGAACCAAGACAGGCGCTTGAAGTCCTTGCGGAAATCATGTCCCCATTCCGAGATGCAGTGCGCCTCGTCAATGGCAATCCGGGCAAGCTCCTTGTGTTGGTATACGATCTTGAGGCGCTTGCGGAAGAAGTCACCGGAGCAGAGCTCTGGTGTCACATAGAGCAACCGCGTGCGTGGGTGGCCGGATGCTAGGTCCTGGTATATACGGTCTCTCTCTTCTTGGGATGTATTGCTGTTGAGTGTCCGCGCATCGACATTGGCGGACCGGAGAGCCTCGACTTGGTTCATCTGCCAGCATTTGTAAGGCGTCGACCTTTCCTCCTCGAGAATGAGTTTGTGTATGACTTACCATCAAGCTCAGGAGGGGTGAGATGACAATGGTGACTTGGGGGCATGTCAGCGGCCGTGATGGATCTTAATTCTGCAAAAAGACTTACTGCCATTGTTAATGACGGCCGGAAGCTGAAAACAGAGGCTCTTGCCAAACGAGGTTGCAGCTTGCACAAATACATCATGATGGTCGAGAGCTGCCTGGATGATCTCACGCTGGTAGGGCCTGGCCGATGCTGTCAGAGCCGGGCTTCTGGATCTAAAGTAAACGGAAGCTGCAACACAGACCTGAATGAGGCTTTGCCAAACTGCTTTCTCAAGGTGAAATCCGGATCGGCGTATGAGTTGGTTCGCACGAGTGTCGGCATCGTGCAGCTCCGGACCTCAGCTCACACCGAGCCGGACGAATGACGTGTTGAGAGTGTGTCCGGGTATGAAACACCAGTCTGGGACGGAACCCTGCAGACTTGATTTGGGGAGGGAACTACTTGTACCTCCAGTCCCCGTGTTTGCAACGGCGCTTCGCCACGAGGGGACCCGTGACTGTTCGTCTCCGTGAAGAGACCATGCCAAGTTGACCCGTTGTCATTCGATCTCGAGACAATGTTCAAGCATACGGCAGGATAAGTAGTACCTTTTGAATAGATTTACGTCATTTTGTCTTAGAGCACGAAGCTCGGGAAAGTACGTAAAGTCGGTACGTTTTGGACGCGTTGTCGCGTAATAATATTGGATCGAAGCCAAGGCGAGATTGTTGCCAGTTTACAGTTGATCTGCGGGCTAGGCCGATGATGTTCTAGAATCCATCTCCAGCTGTGGTCGCTACCGGGGTAAAGTGCCCAGGTGTCTTAGGCACACCCCACCCCAACTCTGCCAGGTGGCTACAGGCATTATTAGCTCGGCCGCTAGGCAGCCTCCCGACACAACAAGCGCTGACGAGGAGCAAACCCATTGTTTCGGTAGACCCTTGAAATCGGCCATATCGCTGTCTGATCTTGGTCGCGTCGGCCAACTCCTGGAATGGTCGGTCGGCCGGGTTTTGGGCTTGGTACTGTAACTTCGTACGTACAATATTGGGTGGGCAGTTTAGCTTCCAGTCCAGAATCAGGGCTGTATGTCAGGCTCTCTCTACCTGTATGTTACCTATCTTAGGTATTGTCCAAGCCTGGGCAACAGAAGAGCAAAGTTACCATCCAATACTTCATACATTAGCTAAGGTAAGCTTTTGATTCCTAGGTTTGCCAGGTCCGATGTTTCAGTTCCCAAAGCATCATTCCACTGGCAGGAGGTCTTGTCGCAGGTATTCTTGGTTGTCGCTCTTCGCTGTTTGCGTTGCCTGCTTTTGAAACATCTGATCTTTGCTGGCGATGGCCCCTTTGAGTTTCGTTTCGTTTGGCAATGCGGCTGGCCAATGGACGGCGAGACGGATGCCTTCTGCGATCGGAATGGAGCGTTGACTGGCGGCGGAGCGTGCGTGTGCCTTGCATTTGTGCGGCGCGCTAAGAGCCAGCGTCCTCGGGATCCGTCATGGATGTCCCGGGCACCTTAGCAGACTCCTGCAGGAATTGCCACCCGGAGGGAGGTGTTAGCACTGGCCCCCAAAGGGCCAAAGGGGTGAGAAGACAGCCAGGGGGCCCGTTGATGACACGCCCCTTGCGAGCCCAATCCCCACGCAGGAAACAGGGTGCCTGGCATCAAGCTTGCAGCGCTCTATTCCCAATCAGGCCCGGATCCACCGCGGCACCCCTCTGGAAAGCGTGTGCTCAGAGGCGTGCCAGCGTGCCAGCGTGCCAGCGTGCCACCAGAGTGGAGGTGTGCCAGTGCCAGCAGCGCACTTGCAAGGTTGGCGTGAAAGTTTGCCCGCCCGCCCTGGAAGTTCAGAATCCCACCCTCCAGGAGCTCCCTAGAAACTCACTACTCCGTAACTCGGTACGGCGTGTGTGCGGTGCCCCAAAGGCTACAAGGCTTGGCTGAAGTCGCAGCCCGCCCCCCTTTCCCACACCACACACGAACCGCCAACCGATACTGGTACCGTACCGTACACCCCAGTCATCTTCCTCCCATCCAAGCTCCCTGACAAGGGCACCACGAAAATTCTATTCCTCTCCTCAATCTCGTAGCGACGAGGGCCCCCCGACGAGGTTCTACGCTGCCTGGCTTCCGTCCTTTCTCGCCACCATCGTCCGGAAGCAGCACGCATGCTTCGCTTCTGGTCTGTTGGCGTCGTCTCTTCCCAGTGAGACCGACCCTCTTCTCTTGCATCCCATCACGCCCTACAGCCGCCCAGCCGACCTCGTTCGCTTCTCCCCTCCGGTCTGCGTGCTTGAGCTGGGAGGTCGCCCTTTTTCCCGCGGGTTTCCTACGCCATTGATGAAAATTGCTCCTTCCTCCATCGAATCGAAACACAATCATCGCGAGTTTCGTGACGGACCCGATCCTCCCTCCCTCCCTCCTCCCTCCTCCCGTACATATAACCATTCTGCGATCTACCTAAATACTTCTGCCATGACGGCCTCGAATACTTTGTTCACACCACGGACGTCCCACAACCAGAGACTGGCTTAAACAGTCTGGGTCTTGTCTGTTCGCGTTCGGCTGTGGCCTGGCCGGCACAGAGGCGCCGTCGCTGAAACGCCACACCTTCAATTCACTGACGCAATTGCTTTTCGGCATTCTTGCTCTAGCGTTTTGAGTATTTGGACGCCGGTGCACCATGGATCGGCTTGATCGACCTTCAGCTCTCCCGCTGGGCGGAAGAGGCCTTCCAGAGAACCCAGCTCAGGGTCGACGAGTTGCTGCCGCTGCTGCTGCCAATATCCCACCTCCCCCGGTGCCGCCCATGCCCAATCTTCGCGATGTCCCGTCCGTATCAGTCTTGTCGGCATCCGCTCCTCTGTCAGCAAGCCAGGTACTTGCTCTTGCCAAGGAAGCTATGGCCGATGCCCGTCGAGAAAACCGGTCACAAGCCGCTGAGGCGAGCGGCGTTAGCAACGAGCTCAAGCCCGGCCTTACGATTGACCTGAGCCGCAAGAACATCCAGAAACTACCCGATGAAGTGGTCGATGTTATCAAAGGGGAATTGGAGCGGTAAGCTGTTGAGTATGCATACCTTCGTGTCTCGAGAACCGGTCCGCTAATGCATAGCCGTTGACAGTTTGGCTTTGTCCCATAACAAACTGACCTCCTTTCCGACCAAGTTCTCCGAATGCCTGTCCCTGCGCTATCTCAACGTCAGGAATAATGATATCAAAGAATTCCCACTACCTGTATTTGGACCCCCCTCCCTCACAATTGCCCCGTGTCCGCTCATGTCTAATTATCTTGCCGTAGCTCTGTGACCTGAAATCTCTGGAGATCCTGGATCTGGGCCGCAACAAATTAAAGGTGCTACCGCCGCAAATCGTAAAGCTGACATCCTTGAAAGTGTTTGCTGTGCAAAAGAACCGCATCGAGGAATTGCCGCTCTGCCTTGCCGAAATGGGCTCCCTTCAGGTGCTCAAGCTGGACGGAAATCCGATCAAGTTTCCGCCGCCAGAGGTCTTCCAGGTCCAGGCCACCAGTCCGCCCAACGAAGGCTACCTGGAAAAGAACGAAGTGGCAGAAGTCGCCGTGACGTCACATATCAAAAAGTTCCTCCGACAGAGAACCCAGAACGAACGGACGGAATCTGACGCCGGAGGTGATGAATCAAGTGAAGGGACGGAGACGCCAAGGCAACCGATGAAGCGCGTCGTAAGTGGACGCTTCCCCATCAAAGTGAACGGCACAGACCTGCCCGACCTTCGATCTCCCTCACTGTCCAGGCCACCACCCATACCCACACGCTCCCACTACCGCGGTCTATCCCAACAAAATACGGCTGTGCGCAGGCCTGGAGTCATGCCCTTGACCATCAGCAACGCCAATGAAAGGCTGCGCAGCAATTCGGAGACCTTGTTGCAGCCCTCACGCGCTGAGCGTGCAGGCGATCGCTCAAGGCGGATGGGCATCGTTTCCAAGAAGGCTCAAGAGCTCGGGACACTCGACGAAGTGGAGGCTAGCAACCGATTCAGTCACTATCGCGGATTAAGTCACGGTTCAGCGATGCAAGGGAGCGTGGTCCCGGTGGGCGCAAAGAGCCCCAACAGCCCTGGCGATTCCTTGGTCACACGCCCCGTCTACGTGCGCCGCCTTTCGGTGCTCCCGGAGCGCAAGCGTGAATCGAAGTTCTTCGACCCCGTCCTAGAAGCTGCCAAGGGCATTCTATACTCGATTTTCCAGATCCATCCCTCAATTCAGATGCTGATGGGTCTGACAAACGATGGATCGACGCGGCGCTCAAGCCTCGAAATCGTGTTCTATAACACTACTTCACATGTCGAGGAGCTTGAGCGCGAAATTCAGCGGCACGATCCTTCAGTCGTTGACCCCGAGAATCATGGCAGCAGAGACAACGAGAACGTCCATCGAGCCTGCGTCACTCTAGTCAATGCTTATGCCCACGTATGCTCGTTACTCGCGAGCAACGTTGACCATTTCATTGATAATGGTGACCCGCGCTACATCCGGACACTTCTTTTGCAGTTGTACAACAGTATCATGGAACTGCGCGTCACGGTATCCCAGCTCACACCCGACGAGAGCACTCAGAGAAGGGTCAACAAATCAGCAATCGGGAGGACGTTGAAGCCTCACTCGCGCGAGAGCTCTGTAACGCCGACAGCTGATCGGCCCTTGCTCAACCAACGCGTGGCTAGGTCCAACTTTATACACAACCCTAGTAATCTGCGCGTCGCTACAGACGTCCCAGCTCCTTACGTGAATGGCATGAACGGCGGAAGCAGGACGGCCACCATCGTCTCGGCCACGCCTCGATCTGGCGAGTCGTTCGTCTCGTCGGGGAGCCGCGGCCCTACAGGCGACTTTACAGAAGAGGACCGTATGTTTGACAGGATATTCTTGTCGCTACAGAAAACCTCGGATCTCGTCATGCGGATCCTTCCGAATTTCAACCACCAGTTTACCTTGGCGTTGAGAAGCGCTACAGCGCAGAGAGCGCCAGACCGAGTCATTTACTCATGGCGAGTCCTCATTTCCAAATGCTCCACAGCCATACAGCAGTGCGAGGAGCTGAAGAACCGCCTGTCCATGATCAAGCTCAAAGAGCCCGGCCTCCGCACGCAGGGCGCGTTCTGGACCCTGTGCAACAACTTCATCCACTCATGGGCAGAGCTGGCATGCAATGTTAGGGAATATATGAACAAAATCCAGCTGCCAATCGATACGAGAACGCGCCTTCGACCGGTCCAACAATGCATGAGGGAGCTGGTGGATCTGATCCTGCAATCGCCGTGGTCCTACTTCATCAAGCAGGGTGCTCTGTATGCTGGGGTCACCAGCCCATTATCTCAGCAGGTTCAATTACCCATGACCCCCCAGAGCGCGGCCCTCGGCCCTGCCGTACAGGCCACGGTGCCGTCTACGCCCCAGAGCGCCTCCTTCTCTCAAGCTTTCTCCGGGAACGTTTTCGAGCGAGCCGATGCTCTCATCTCCATGGGTGGCATTTCCATGTCTCGCGGAGGCACGTTGTCGTCGACGTCGGCTTCTTCGAGCTTCAATTCGATCAGTACTCTGCCTAGCAATTCGGACGGCGTGATGACGCCGTCCTCGACGATTAGTCCAGGTCCGCCTGGAGGCATGTCGTTTTCTGGATACCGGCAGGGCAATGGCAGCAAAGATGCCTTCTAATGGTATTTTTTTATCCACCGCTTTGTTGGATACCCAACATCACCCCTCAGCCCAGCACGGAGACTTGGGCTCCTGCACATACGTCGGGCAGAGGCATGTTCAGTACATACCTGTCTCATCACAGCATAGTACAGGGCGTTTTCTTGCTTCTTTTGTTTTGGTGCCCAAGAGCCGGTTTTGTATAACCGTGTGCCATTAACTTGTAATGTGTTCTTTTCTGGCCTTTCTTGTTCTGCGGTCACGTTTTGGGACAGTTCTCCTCCGTGGACTTGGGATCATCTACTACTACCCTTTACACTCATTTTATCATCTCGTCACTCATTTCGTCACTCATTTACAAAGATACACCAATCAGCATCGCGTCGGCGTTAGGAAGGAGGAGGATGGACTTAACCTAGAATGCGCATGGCTACAATCCTTTTTTTGGGCGGGCACTGCAGTGCTGCACTGTGCCTTATCATGAAGTAAAGGGAGGATATCGGTCTTGCGTTTGTTCATTTTCAAAAGCTACAGTTAGGTTCACCAGGCACATCCAGAATCCAGAATGGAGAGGGGCGTGGACATAGTATCAAACTATTGAAAACCCTCTTCACTTGTTGCTTGCACCTCCTTCGTCATCTTGCGGTGCGTATGGCTTGTTGTCATTATTACTTGAAACGTGCTGCAACTTGTACGTGCAATGGGCCACCTGCACCAATACGACGGACAGGGCAACAACAGCACCTATGGACTGTCTGCCACCCGTTTCAGATGTCGGTGGTTCCCTGCGCTCCTCCAAACGGCAATGTTCCAAGTTGACGAGGGCTGCCTTGGGAGCATTGGGCAGACCGCCGTGGGACATGACGAGGCTGGATCGGCATCGCGTCTCAGGTTGTCGATCTTCTTTGCCCATCCGTTCATCAGCCGCGTTGATGAGCCAGCACGGAGATCACTCTAAACCATCGGCCCCCCACGTCCAAGCTGCATATTGCAAAAAGGTCATCAGTGACATGCTCGGTTAGCGGATCCGAGGCGGCCCTTGTTCATGCGGCTGTTTGCCACATCAGGTCATGGTCCTGGGGGGGGAGGCGGTGGCCTCGACGTTCTGGAGCACCTGGCGCAGAGACGCCTCGGGAGGGTCCCAGACAATGTCCTTTATGTCGCGCCTCTGCCTCGCAGGGACGGATACCGCGGGTTTTCCGGGCCCCGCGCCGCCGCCGCCGATCTCGATCTCTCGCTGGTTCTTGAACATGAGCATGGGCCGCCACGCCTCGCCCTCCCGGAGCTCCTGCTCGTCCTCCTCCTCCTTCCCCAGCTGCTGCTGCTGCTGCTGCTGCTGCTCCTGCTCGCGGCGGCGGGAGACGCAGCCGATCGCCCGCCTGGCGCGCCAGCTGACGCACCCGTAGAGCAGCTCCGCGTCGGCGGGCGTGCCCGCGTGGTAGAGGCCGACGCCCCAGCTCGCGAGCTGCAGGGGGTCGCCCGTGCCGAAGGGCGTGAAGGCGTTGCCGACGTTGTTGACGCCCAGGCACGCGTCCAGCCCGTAGTCCTTGATCAGGTCGGGGACCTGGAGCGTGCCCCGCGGGCGCGAGTGCGGCGCCTGCTCGTCGTCGTCGCCGCCGCCGCCGCCGCCCGGTTCGCGACGATCTCGGGACCCCGAACGGCGGTGGCGGCGGCGGCGCAATGCGGCCAGCATTCGCTCGTAGTGGGTGTTGAAATCACCGAGCTTGTCTCGCGGTGTGCTCTCCGCCAGGGCTTCGATGTCTAGCATCTCTCCTCCGTCTCGGGCGCTTCCTCCGGCGGGACGCCCCATCATGTAGATGTCGCTCGTGGGGAGGCCGACGAAGTGGACCGGGAGCTTCCAGGCCCGGATCAGGGCGGCGAGATCTCGGAGGTCGTCGTGCGCCAGGCGCGTCAGCTGGGTGCAATGGCCCAGCACCACCGTCTTGGCAGGGTCCGCTCTGCCGACCCAGTCGTGGGCGTGGAGGTAGCACAGGACCGCGTACACGAGGGGCAGCTCGTCCGGCCGGGAGTAGCCCCGGTGGTCGTGGTCGCCGAGGTTGTAGTCGAGGTGGAAGTCGAGGTGCAGGCCGCGCTCCAGCGCCGTCCGGACGGCCCAGTCGATGTTGGCCAGGCTCGTGCCGCGGCTCGCCTCGACGTACGGCGTGGCTCCCAGCACGTCGACGTCGGCCGCGTGCTCGCGCAGCGCGCGCTCCATCTCCCGGCGGTTCTCGCCGCCGTCGTCGTCGTCGTGGTCCGCGGAGGAGGAGGAGGAGGAGGAGGAGAAGACCGGGTCCTGCGCGAAGGCGCAGACCTGCACGTCGACGAGCCCCGCGAACTGCCGCCTGAGCTCGGCGGCCGCGGCCACGCCCCGCGTGCCCGTGACGCGGTCGACCTCGACGAAGGCGCGGGCGCACGTCACGCCCTGCGCGTAGCCCGCGGCGAGGAGCTGGGCGCCGCGCAGGCGCAGGTCCGCCGGCGTGTAGCGCTCCTTGGCGCGCGCCGTGTTGCGCAGGGCCTCCTGGAAGGAGCCGTCCTGCGGCGCGAGGTCCGCGTAGTCTGGGTGGTCGTGGTCGTGGCGGTCTGGCGACGACGAGCGAGGATGGTTGCACGTCAGGATGTAGGCCTTGTCCAGGTGCACGTGCGGGTGGCACAGAGTTGGTAGCACGACCGATGGCGGCGGCGGCGGCGGTGGCTGCTCGCCTTCCGTGGCGGTTCCGTCGTTGTTGGCTGTGGCCGCGGCGGCCGGCCGGATAGACGTGATGATATTGTCATTGGCTATGTCTATGTCCCATGTCGTCGAGCGTCCCCTCGAGGGCAGAATGATGTTTCTGAGCTCCATGGCCCGCTACTTCAGACACTGTCGGAGAGAAGGGTGTCCATTTACATCATCATCATCATCATCACCACTTTGTTGGGTGGAGGATTAGTCGAGTAATTTGGTCCCCGCACCATCCGTCCCCACGGGGCACTAACACATCCCAAAGCGGTAATAATCAGGTATCGAAGACATCCTTGCAGCACCTAGTTTTGGAAAGGTTCAAGATGCCTCTGCAAGTGATGGTCAGATTAGTTGACGGACTGCTAACAGAAGTACTTGACTATCCATCGAGCCCATCGGATTTAGGTAGTGAGATAGCCCTTCCGAGTTCTCGGGCAAGGATGTGACAAGGATATTGATTGTTAAGATCGAGGTAGCTCCTGATGAACTTCCGTCAACTATTCAGACACCCACTTGCTCTGAAACCCCCGTGATATCTAATAGATAACATTTATACATTGTCTTTTACTTGAATGGAGATTGTCACTATTGCCCTATCCTCAAGATGGATGCTATGTACCCCGTCATTCCTTTACGCCCAGCAGCCCTAGAACTTCCCACTGCCCATGAACGATAGCAACTCGTCAAAAGCGTCCATGTTGCCAATGCACCCAACATAAGCGTCCGGTCGGACTAAGACATACCCTGGGCTGGCCATACCATACCGAGCGTGTAGCTGCCCATCGAGGTCTGAGTAGGCCCCTTCTCCGTCCGTCGCCGCATTGAAGATTCGGATCACCTTGACGTGGTTGTCGGTTTTAGATAACTTCGCTTCGAATCCGGCAAATTCTTCGCTCCTGAGGGGACCTTGGCCGACTCCCGCGAAGAGAAGCAGGTGAGAGGAGGGCCCATCACACAGGCTCTGCAGCATCACGACATCCCCGCTTGCGGATCTCAGCTTCCCATCCCGGAGACGATCGCCACCCTCGACGGGACCCGAGAACCCGCCGGCCGTGTACACAACAGAGCTGCCCCGGTAGTTGATCGTAAGTTCGGATATGTATCGCAGGCCCGCGGCACGGCGCTTTGCACTGTTCGTGAGCCACGGCAGGACCCAGGGCAGGAGGAGGTTTCTGCACATCCTCCAGACGGGGTTCTGCCACGTGGCGTACGAGAACATGCGGTCTGTCGTGTCGACGACGTTCTGGCCGACGGGGCGCCTCTCGGCGTCGTATGTGTCGAGCAAAGCATCCCGGGCTTCGCCTCGCAGGACGCGCCCGAGCTTCCACCCCAGGTTGAAGGCGTCTTGCATCCCGGTGTTCATCCCCTGGCCACCGGCCGGGCTGTGGATGTTGGACGCATCCCCGGCAACGAAGAGCCGCCCGTCGCGGTACTGGTCTGCCACGCGGTGGTGCAGGTGGTACTTGGCAAGCCAGGTCGGGTCGTGAAGCGTCCCTGCGCCCGGAGGCGCCATCTCGGCGAATAGTGCCCTGAACTCGTCCACTGTCGGCTGCTCGTCCATGAGCACCGTCCCGTGCGCCTGGAGCTCTTTCGACCCGTCGTGGATGGTAACGAGACGCCATTTGCCCTCCTTGAGCGGGAACATGGCCAGGGTGGCCGACCCGAAGCAGAGGAGCAGCCTATCCCGCGGCAGACTGCTATCAGAGACGTGGAAGTCGCCGAGGATGAACGTCTGGGGGTATGGTGCGCCTTCGAACCGAAACCGGCCAGCATGGCGCACGCTACTGTGTGCTCCGTCGCATCCCACGACGTACCTGACGCGGAGAGTCTCGCTGAGCCCGGTGCGCTCGTTCTCGAGTTTGACCGTGACGCCAGCCCCGTCTTGGGTGATAGCTTTGGCGATGACCGGCCGCTCAATCGACTTGTCGTACTTGGCAAGACATTCGTCGAGGAAGTGCTCCGTCTCCTGTTGTGGCACACAGAGAGGGAATGGGAACTCGGTGTCTGCCATGTCGAGACCGTCAAGTGACACAGTCCCTGCCTCCCGCTTATTAGTGTATAAGTTGGCGCCGTGCAGCTCGAATCCACGAGATAGGAGCTTCTTCGCCGTGCCGTGCCGGTTCAACAACTCGAGAGTACGAGCTTGGACGACAAGGGCCCGACTCTTGTCAGACCGAACGGGTGCTTTGTCTATGATTCGGTAGGACACATCTTGCATGGAGAGCTCGAGGGCTAGAGCCATGCCAGTCGGCCCTCCGCCGACGATTAGAACATCCACATTTGCCATACTGTACTTGTAAATGAAGTAGAAATAATCTCAGTGCCGAGAGGCTTCAATGAATAAGAGAATAGCATGGTCCAACGATGAACTGATCTGTGCGAGCTAGGTGTATTGTTATATAATGGCGAACGAGACATGGATCGCCTCCATCATTTGAGCCAAAATGCACCTCTATTTCTCCAACTGTCTGGTCAGGTCATTAGCTCCAACACCATCGCGGCGAGTTGTGAAAGCGCGAGCCGACAGAGCGGCCGCCAAGCGCCGCCAATACCCTCCCGCGAAACCACACTGTCTTACCCGAGCCCTGAGTTGGCTTCGGCGACGGCGTAGCGGGCAAGGCGCGAGGATCACGAGTTTACACCCTCCTTTTGCATGTGGCAACCTTGTGCGACCAGACTGGACCGTCCCCCGAGCGCACGGCATCATCTAAATAAAGTACGAAATCGGATCAGAAGACTTTCATGGCTGGGGTTCTGAAGCTGCCGGAACCTCCAAGTCGGCGTCATCGACGACGGGAACTCAAAGGAAATCTCGCTCGGGCTGATTGACCTGATCCACCCCGCCGCATGCACCGGCCCTTGTGACCTGGATGCATCCATACATTACTTTGCGTTGTCACAAGCCAAACGGTTCAGCTTGCGTCCGCTCCTTATTAATAACTTTCTGGCAAACTAAATCCCCAGGAACTTGAATCCCGCAATCTAGTGCGGTTTGACTAGATAAAACGTCCCGCTAGTTCCCGCCTCAGTTGTGGGGGTTCTCCAAACCAAACAATGTCATCATCAATAGCCTCGTCATCGCTCAGCGCCCCCGAGCCGTCCTCTGCGTCGGCTTCCACGGCCACCGGCCATGCCAGCACGGCATCGCCGCCTGCACCCTCCACCGCCACGTCCGTTTCCTCGCCCCAAGACCACCCACCTCCTCCTCCCCTTCCGCAAGCACAGCATGGCGCCCCCCAGCCACAAGACCAGCAGCAGGCCCTGCCCCATCCACCGGCCGGCGGCCTCGGCCTCGGCCTAGTCCCACACCCGGACGCGGCACCCGGCACCGAAGGCGCGGCGGGTCCATCCGCTCTCCCACCAGCAGCAGCAGCGCCAAGCAGCCAGGCACACCAACCACCGCCGCCGCCGCCGCTGCAGCGCGCCCTGCCCCGCCCCTCGACGCAGCGCGAGATCGACGAGGCCCGCGCCGCCGTCGTCGCCTCCCTCGGCAACATGCTCGACCGGGAGCTCTCGTCGCGCGCCGCGGCGCTGCACGCCAACGACGCGGCCATCGCCCGGCAGCGGCGCGACGTCGAGCGCTCGACGGCCGCCCTGCGCCGGGAGAACGACCGCCTGGCCAAGGAGGCCGACGGCGCGGCCCGGCGGCTCAAGGAGGTCGGCAACGTGCAGAACTGGGCCGAGCTGCTCGAGAAGGACTTCCTCGTGCTCGAGGAGACGCTGCGGCTGGCGCGCGAGGGCGGCGCGAGCAGCAGCGGCGGGAGCGGCAGCTGGACGGGGAGCAGCAGCTGGAGCGGGAGCAGGACGCCGAGCCGCGAGGGGAGTAGGAGCGGGAGCAGAGATGCCGGTGGCGCGAGGGAGGCCTGCCCAGATGGGCCTGGCACTGGCCCGGCCGCTGCTGCCGCCGCCGCGGCTCCCGACTTGAGCAGTGTACCTGGTCAGCAAAAAGATGCGGACGGGGACATCACAATGGGTGATGAAGGCACAGACTCATCTCGAGTCGACAAGGGCAAAGGAAAGGAGATAGCAGCTCCCGACGACGGCAGGTCCAACACACATGCGCCAGAGAATGTTGGGACGTGATGCGCTTGGTGATCGAGTTGTGCAAAGTCGATGAACGCAGCTAGAGGCAACTGTTTAAGCGTGACTCGCCGCCTGTTGGAATTGATGATAATGATGCTATGACGGAACGATATGAAGTATTTATTGCTTTTATGGAGTCCTTCTCACAATTCCCGGTTCAATTACTTTTTATATTGAGATACTATATGCCTTTTCATTAGTGTAAAATGCTTCATAGTCGTGTTGATACACGACATCCATTCGTTTGCTGCCCGACTCCTCATTCCTCAAAACATCTAAAGTTGTCTTATAGTACAAATGCTTGGGAAGACATTGGTCTCCATAGCATTGTTTTGCCTTGTCCGTTCAGATAAGACCCGGAAGCATAGTGTACTTCTTCTTCTTGTACTCATCGGGGAACAGACGGCGAAGGGCCTTCTCCTTGTCGCGAGACCACGACGCCATGTACATAATCCCGGTGAGGATGAAGATGACGACGGTAACATCACGGCTGATGAGGATGACCATGAGCCAGCCTAGGACCTCGAACATGTAGTTGGGGCAGGTGACCAAGCTACTACCAATGCAGGATGGGATGCCCTTGGCGGTGCTGTTCTTGGGGCGCAAGCTGACGAGGTGCACATGCACAATGGCATTGCAAGCTTGGAAGACGGCCCAAAGCGCGACGAGCACGTAGTCGAGTGTGGTGATGCCAGACCTGGGCTCCGCGGGGAACCTCGCAGGAGACCAGGTAGCGTAGATGGAGAGAGCGCACAAGAGACCAGCCTCGCCCCAGTAGAAGGCCGAGTTCCGGAAGATGTTCCAGGCGGGCATGGTGTTGGCCGCGAAGCGATGTACAAAAGCCGTCTCAAACTCGCGCTTGAGGAAGTGGAGCTGGAACAGCCAGAACAGTAGCCACTGGACATCAGTCAAGGGAGTCTTGTCGGTGTTTTCGTAGAACCAGGGAATGTTGAGATACGGCCGGATCCAGACGAAGAGTGCGTGGAAGAGGATAGGGCCAAAGTATTCGACCAGATAGACCGTCCTCCACGCGAATTGAGGACCTGTAGCTGCACGTCAGTAGGAGATCCTTCCTTCAGGTAAAGCAAAGGTTTCACGTACCTAGATCTTGCACCAGCAATGCTTTGGACGAGACGACGTTGCTCTGGGCATTGACCAGGGCTTTGCGGTCGCTGAAGATCTTGCTCGTCTCAGGATCGAAAATGCCGATGCGGTTGTAGTCGCCGACGCCTGCCTTCTTGGCAATGGCCATCTTGACGTCCTCAATGGTGGCCTCATTGGGGATGTCGACTGAGGGCGGAAGACGCTTCACCGGTGGCTTCCGCTGCCGATTCGCGAGCTTGAGGGTGATGGAAGGCGCCATTTCTGCAGCGAGATCTCCGACTCGCGACGAATGAGGGATCGTAGGGGCGCGGACACAGAGAATGCAGGCCAGGAGTTGGGCAGCGGACGGATCGGAGAGAGGGCGTCAATGTGTAGAATTCGTCGAGCCGCCCGAATTTTGGGTTGAGCGTTGAGCTTCGACCTGGTACGCCCGGTGGGGCCGAGGCAAGTGCCAACCAACTGAGCTTGCTGTGTGGAACAGGGCCCTTTTCCACAGTTTCTCACCCAACTGTAACGTCTCCCTTTTCCACTTCTTTTTCACATGCCAAATATGGCATCTTCCTTCAATCACCACTTGCGCCTGGTGATAAGGCTGCCATATGAACCACTTGAACATAATTATATCGACTTCTCATTTACGTAGACAGTGCCAGAACTTCCCGGAAGTTCCTCCAGCGAGCGAGAGCGCGCTCGCCAAGACATCATTCACCCTGGAGATAAAACTCTCGACGCGATTCGGCATGGTTGATAGGACTAACGAGTATATTTATTCTCACTATGCCCTATGCACTACTAACTGTTGCATTTTCTTCACCTTTGGAGCGACAGAAAGCCAAGATGAATGTATTGCAGTCGAAAGAAGGAGCAACTCAAGTCTCGGACATGCCTCGTTCCAACCGCACTTGCACCTGGTGGTGAAGATGGACATCCTAGCAACGATGCGGCCCCTCCTTGGTTGTTCTGTACATATCTTCGGGACACCTTCCGAGATGCTCTGTTCCGCGTCAGCTCGTGTCCAACATGGGCCGGCCGCCGGGCCGCCAATGCCGATGCCGATGCTATAGAGGATTTGACTTACTCATTGCTGGCCGATCGATGGGCCTCGTCTCTGTTCATGGCAAACAACAGGACCCGTGAGATCCGCAGTCAGTGCGGTGGCAGATCTCATAGTTTGACCTAATCACCATCTTCCCAGTCCTGACCCCGTGGAGGGTGGAAAACTGGTGTATCACCCTAGGCCGAAGTGGCAAAGCGAGGCTCAAATGCTGCTGGGAAGAAGATCCAGTCGTCTTCGTCGGAAAATGGCTCTGGTTGGGTGACTTCGATGTTGACCTTTCGCTCCGAGATTGAAGTGTCAGTCGAGGGAACAGACTCTGCGTCATCCCCAGACCACGATTTGCAAGCCGATTCGTCAGTCGATGCAACCGGAAGGATCTGAACGTCGTGTGGCGGGATCGATCCAGCGCATTTGTTGGCGTCTACCAGTGCTTCAGCTTCTTCATCAAGGAGTCAGTATTCCAGTCTGATCTGCAATGGAGACAGGCGCTTACCGGCAGTTGTCGGCAAGGGATCAGGAGCCTCCTAGGCCACCGATGCCTTGACAATGTCGACCAGCTGTGACAGGTAGTCTCCCAACTTCGGGCTGCTGGGGACGTTCTTGGCCAGTGTATGGCCCGTGGTGTTCATGGTGGGCAAGTTGCTCGGGACCTCCATGGCAATAAGGTAGTGATTTCGCGCTGCCATGCGAGTCAGTATTTTATTCCTGACCACGGTGGAATCGAGATCTTACAAAGAGCAGAGGTGAAGGTGACGAGTATAGCCGCGGCGACTGGTACAGACCGAGATTCCAGACCTTGACTGGCTTGGTTGAGGAATAGCAACCTAATCCATGGGCATGACAGGAAAAAGTCGCCAGCTGAGAGACCTGGTCGAGGTAGAGAATTGCAACAAATTTGGTTGGAGAAAGAAGGCAGAGCCTGAGACACAGGTGACGGGGAATGGATGGCGATGTTGGAGCCGAAGCGACAGGTTCTATAGTCCTCGCTAACAGGGATCAATAAGTGCGAAGTCGCTGGCGAGATGTATACTCGTACCCGAAGTGACTACCTAGGTAGCAAGCATCAAGTGATGGCTTACCGAAGTAAGGCAAAGGAAGTGCTGGGTTAAGCTTGGCGGACCCCAGGCCTGGGAAAGATATAGGTACTCTGCCTAGCCACACAAAACAAGACACCAAATTCGAACCATGTCTTCGCAATATATTGGGCTCCGTGGCCATATGTACGTGCCTCACAGGACTTCTGAGCTAAGGTATGTACCTGGTCATATTTCCACGGCCTGTCATTGGACTGCGAAGCAGTGCGTCACAACTATGAATGTAACGACGCGCAAACGCTTCTGACGATGCTAGGACTTGTTGTCAAGAAGTGGTGCAAGCGTCCCAAACTGCGTCGATACTTGCTTGCTGTACTCCGTAAGTACCGACCCAAGTAGGTCTGGTACGTGCTGGGCGTGCAGGGGTCGACTTGACAGGTACAGCGGTACCTGATTGCATGATTAAGAGCACGTGACTGCCTACATTCTGCCCCATAAAAAACAAACCTAGGCTTTCTTCATTCGCGCGTGTGTTTTGAGGGTCCAGTCAATTAGGGCTCGAGAAAGTGGACCCGGAAAAACTGAAAGGGCGACAAATTTACACGCACTAGACGCACAATCGATCATCCATCAAAGTGGTCCTGAATTTTCTCGTCTGCGTTTTCCACACCTCGAATTCCCCACGACCAAATTTCCACAGATTGCGCTGGTGAACTTGCGAATCATCAGGTCAGTACTCGAGATGCGACGGAACCCTTTCATTTTTGGAGATGCGATGTCCTGGAACTGCGAGGTCACCAGGCAAATGCCGGGATGCAATCGCGAATCCCGGCATTGGGGCGCCTTTCATGTTCCATTCCCCTCATGACAACTTCAGCTTGCTAATAGTTGCCTTGCTCTGCAGAAACCGCAATCATGGGTATTTCCAGAGACTCCCGTCACAAGCGTTCCGCTTCGGGCGCCAAGCGTGCCTACTACCGTGCGTCGTCCCCATGAATACTGAACAATCGAAAGCCCGTATCGTTCAGGATGGGTCACATCCTGGAACATACGTTCTGACCTCCGTCAACAGGGAAGAAGCGCGCTTTCGAGCTTGGCCGCCAGCCTGCCAACACCCGTATTGGTGCCAAGCGTGTCCACGTCGTCCGCACCCGCGGCGGCAACCACAAGTACCGTGCCCTCCGCCTCGACTCCGGTAACTTCGCCTGGGCCTCGGAGGGATGCACCCGCAAGACCCGTGTCATCGGTGTCGCCTACCACCCTTCCAACAACGAGCTGGTCCGCACCAACACCCTGACCAAGTCCGCCGTCGTCCAGATCGATGCCGCTCCTTTCCGTCAGTGGTACGAGGCCCACTACGGCCAGAGCATCGGCCGGAGACGCCAGCAGAAGCAGGGCAAGGAGGCCGCTGAGGAGGTCAAGAAGAGCAAGTCGGTCGAGAAGAAGCAGGCCGCCCGCTACGCCGCCGAGGGCAAGGTCGAGGGTGCCATCGAGAAGCAGTTCGAGGCCGGTCGTCTGTATGCCGTTGTCTCCAGCAGGCCCGGCCAGTCCGGCCGCTGCGACGGTTACATCCTGGAGGGCGAGGAGCTTGCCTTCTACCAGCGCAAGCTGCACAAGTAGATGGGCTGACGGGCTCAGGAGGTGGAAAAAGACGGGGTTGGGTTTCTGGTCTGGGTGTTCAGGTCTGCGACCGCTTAGCGGTTTTGCCATATCAGCACAAAGCACCTGCTACTTGTGATTTCTTCGTTCATCAATGCATGGAAACGGAAGGGGATCATACGGTCAATCAAAACGAAATAACTTCACAGCCCGATTCTACATGTTGCAGTGAGATTATTGTGTGTGTGAAGACTTGGACTATCATGATACCATGTTTTCTGGCTCGAAAATAACATCCATCCATTCCGGTATCGTTATTCGCACCTCAATTGAGCCGCACTGTGAGGTATGTGCGGGTGCAACGGCTCTAGATCTGATCTACCAAGAGACATTGATTGGCAGCGCCCTAACCCAGACCCATTTCCTGATCTCATTCCTGATAAAACGACAGGTTGCAGTTGCAATTGACATCCCAGTACTTGGATGATATGATGGTCTGTGGCCATGCAGGCTATGCCACTACCTCAGAGATATTGCTGCCTTGGCTGCTGCCCGACTGTCGCTCCTTGGCTCAGGATCTGGCTATATACTCGGTATTTTAGGTACCAAGGTAGTAGTGATGTGAAGAAGGGTGAAAGGTGTCTGTCTCATTAAGAGGTCACAATGAATAGCCAGCTCCAAATAATGAATGGACCACTCTGGCTGGCCAGGTAGAAGGCAAGGCTGAGGATGGGGGCATGTGAAGGTGGCATCCAGGACTATTAACATTCAAGCACCTATTTACTCAAGAGACAAATGCATTCTTACGGTTCTTCAAGAGAGGAATTCCTCAGCTGTGCTCTAACTGATGTAGACGATCTTTTCTGTAAGAGGCCCCCTTCGCGTGTCTGCCCTCCCTGGATAGCACAGCCCTGAGAACGCGAATCAGGTGTATGCCGGAGCAGGAGCCACTGTATTGCTCTGGAGGGTGAAAGCATATTTCTCGGGGAGCTTTTGCACTAGGACTTATGCAATACTCAAGTATCAAATACCACCGCGATTTCCACCCTACATTTCCACCTCCCGCGTCTCGGTAGACGGTCGAGAACTGAAGGCGGCACGGCAATGCCCGAGTTACGTACTGTAGGTATTGGGGTGGCACTGCGAAGGCCTGGTTGAGCAATACCGTACACCCAGCCTCTTCACAAAGCGCACCGGTTTTCTCTCTCTCTCTCTCTCTCTTTCTATCTGGTATCCAACGGCGGCAAAGTTAAGGTGATGGCGCGTATGGCGTACTGCTGGATGTCTCAAGCTTTCACACTAGGTGGCCCATCCCTCTCTTCGTTCCCGACTACTGCAAGAGAAATTCTACTAAGTACTTGAAGCTTAATTATCGTGGGGCGCCACCACCGGATGGAGGATCGGCAGTGTCCTAGACCCGCTCTGGATGTCCCCCTTGTTGGAGCCGGATGGGCGAGAGTGCGCCACCAGGCGCGGCCGGGACCTGGGAAAAGCATGGGCTGCATCGCTAGAGCTCAGGGGGAAAGGTTCTAGACTGCGTGCGTTGTCGGTAAAGAGCTTTCTCTTCGTCCGACTGGAGAGGGAGGATCATGCAAGTTTCCGGCTTTAGGGAAAGCAAGTCAGAAGCAAGGCCAAGACGAAAATGAGAGAGGCAGAACCTTCAAGTCGTGATATGATGCAGAACAACAACGCATAACTGACTACGTACACTGCGTACGAACACGAGCGGCCCGCTGTTGCTGGGTCGGATGGTCAGCTACCACAGCATTTATTGATCATTCGATTGGGCCAGAGCTTGTGCCCCAAGTGCTCTGCCCCTGGCACGAACGATCAGGCGAATCAGGAGCACAGGTGGCGGGATGGTGGCGTCGTGTCGTGGTGGGTAGGCCTGCTTGGCTGTGGTGAGAAGGTCAAAAGTCTCGCGGGACGACGACGAGTCCGACAGGGGTTCACAGGGCGGGCGGTCCTCTTCTTTTCTGCTGGATGGGTCGCGTAGCTTATTCCTCGACGAAGCTCCCCGGGACGCACACCAGCCAGCGCTGGCTGCACTGACCAGGCTCCCACGGTCGACTCTCTGGGGAAAGCTCTGGGACGCGGGAATGGGGACCCGGTGGAGCTGGAGGGCCTGGGATTCGCCGCCCGAGCTAAAGAGGATCCAGGATGGGTCCAGCTTCGTTGAAGGAGGACCCGAACCGCATGGATCATGGCGTGAACGTGCTCCCCTCCCAGCTTGGTAACGGATAAAGCGCTGGGCTTCCCATCTTACGTTGCTCTCGCTCCTCTTCTCCTCCTCTTCCTCCTCGCTTCTCACCAACCATCGCGTTCTCATGCCGTTGACATCAATTGCTTCAACTTCCATCTTCCCAATCCAGCTCTGTGTCGTGTCTTTGCTGACACGCTCTACCAACCACACTCGCTCGCCCAGTCACCTAACACTCACGCCACACCCCGGCAACCACACCACCTTCCACGTCGTCACCATGAAGAGCGCTCTCGTCCTCGCCGTCGCCGGCATCGCCGCCGCCCAGAACCTCTCTGGCCAGCCTGCCTGCGCTGTAAGTTCCCCAATCCTCTTTGCTGGACCAATTGGCCGGCCGCAGCGGAGATACAAACCTCGCCCGCGTGCTCTCCCATGGCCTCTTTCATTCTGGACTTCACACAGCTAACCCCGTGCCTCTTCTGCCCGAAACCAGACCTCCTGCCTGTCCTCGGCCATCACGGCCGCCGGCTGCCAGGCCACGGACCAGGCCTGCGCCTGCGGCTCCAAGCAGGGCCAGATCGGCGTCCTCGTGGCCCCCTGCATCCTGAGCGCCTGCTCGCCGGCCGACGTCGCCGCCGCCGCCTCGGTCGGCAGCCAGCTCTGCGTCGCCTTCAGCGCCACCGCGACCGCCTCCTCCACGGCCTCCGGCTCCGGCTCGGGCTCCGCGTCCGCTACGGGATCCATGACCACGGCCGGTTCCTCCTCCTCTTCCAAGGCGTCCACCGGTGGCGGCGGCGTCGGCACCGTCTCGACCGTCACGAGCACGGCCGGCGGCGGCAACGGCACCATCACCACGGGCAAGCCCAACCCCACCAACGGCGGCGGCAGCGGCGGCGGCAGCGGCGGCAGTGGCACGACCTCCAAGCCGTCTACGCCTACCAATGCTGCTGCCCAGCCCGTTGTCTGGGGCGCCGGTGCCTTTGTCGCCCTGATCGGTGCCGTTGCTGCCCTGTAAGGCGGGGACGCTTGCAACTGATCGCTGCGACGTTGCCCGAATCTTTGTTTGGGCTTTTCGGGGGGCGGACCAAACCCCTGAAACGAACGCCAAAAGAATTGTGTGTCTGGCCAGTTCAATGGGGGAAAAAAGACTGAGAGAGCGTTTTATCTTCACGAGAGCAAAGGGAAATGTAATGGATGTGTACGACGTAATGGGATGAGAGATGCAGCAAAAGGAAACGCTCTTCAATGTGCCTTTGATGTAATGCCAGCAGAGAGAGGAAAAAGAGAAAACCGCTCCTGGGCAGATACTGGCTAGGAGGGGGTATCTAACTAGAATAGTCTAATCTTGATCATCATCATCATCATCGTCATCAAAACAACGCTGTCTGCTATCATACATGGGCGAAGTCCAGCTTCGTAGTGATGTCACCCCAGCCGTTGATCCCTCTCCTTGCTCGCCCTCCCCCCCCCCCCCCCCATCGAAGAGATGGGTACGATACACATACACCTGATGACAGAAAGCACGACGTCTTTCTTCACCTCTCCTCCGGATCCTTGGTGACCGACTTCATATCCAGCGCGGCCTCGATGGCAGCAGGCGTGGCCTCGGCCCGCCTCCTGTCCTCCTCGGTCGCCTCGTCCAGCTCGAGGTCCACGAGCCAGGGCAGGTGCACGGGCTGGTAGGCGAGGTTCATGATGGCGGCGTTGACGAACAGCGTCTCGGCGCCGTACTCGAGCGGGCGGGCGTCGCCCTGGCACAGGCTGGCCGAGATGCACCGGCGCTCGGCCAGCGCGTTGTGCCGCGCCGCCTTGGCCCGCTTCTCCTCCGGCGGGTCCCGGGTCGGGTGCGGGTCCAGGTCCTCGAGCCGGGCGAGGTCGACGGACTTGTTGTTGTTGTTGTTGTTGTTGTTGTTGTCGTCGTTGTCCGGGTCGTCGTCGTCGTCCTCCTCCCAGCGCACGAGGCGGGCGCCCCACGACTCGTGGATGTGGCCGAAGCAGTGCAGCCGGGGCCGGCTGGCGGCGGTGCGCGCCAGCAGGGCCGGGCAGCCGACGTCCTCGCCGCTGCTCGTGCGGTCGAGGACCAGCCGCGGCGGGCCGTGGGACATGACGACGTCGACGTCGCCGCGGGCGGGGATGGCAAAGTCGTGGCCGGGGCCGCCCTCCGCGGCGGGCGTGTACTGGAAGCCCCAGAAGCCGTAGGCCGGGGTGTGCGGGGTGGCGTAGACGGTGAGGCGGGCGCCGCTGGCGAGGACGAAGCGGTAGGTGCCCTCGTCGAGGACGAGGATGCCGTCGTCGCGGCGGGCGCGGTCGAGCATGTCGAGCACGCGGGCCGGGTAGCGGGTCTTGTCGGCGCCGTGGCGGTCGTGGCGCGGCATCGTGGTCAGCAGCTCGGCCCAGACGGGGCGGTCCATGGCCGTGTCGTGGTTGCCCGGGATGGCGAGCTTGAGCGGGGCGTCGACCTCGCGCAGCAGCGCGACCGTGGCGGCGTACTCGTCGGGCCCGGACGAGCGGGTCAGGTCGCCGCAGTGGATGAGCACGTCGGCGGCGGGCAGGGGCCGGCGGAAGCCGTGCAGCATCTGGATGCCGTGCTGGGCTAGGTTCTGGCCCACGCGGTCCCGGCGGAACGGCTGGTCCTCCGGGTACGGGCGGGCGCCGTGGGTGTCCGAGATGATGAGGAAGCGGGTCTTGATCTTGCGAGGCGCCGCCATTTGTCTTTTGCCTGCCGGGAGGAAGTAGGAAGGGAGTCTTTGCGGCGCAGGTGGGCGGATCTGGGAGGAGGGAAGTGTTTTTGTTTACTGGTGGTGGCCACCAAGATGTTACTGTGTGGTGTTGAGGACCAGCACTGGCGAGCTGGACGAAATTCAAAGCAGGTGGGCCCGTTTTGATCTCTGCCAGATCAAAAAGATTTTTGTCCTTGTCTTTTTTTATCACCTCAACCACAACCTAGAAGTTGTTGCAAAAGTGAGCTTTACAAGGCAGATGTGGTAAACTCCTGAGGTTCCATGTTCAACCCCGCTGCCTGCCAGACGTGGCAACCACCAATCCACTTATATGGATTTCGATCCTGGGTTTCGCGCCCCTATCCACCCACTTTGCTTCTTCTGTCTTTGTTTGTACAATACTGTCTTGTCACCTACAGCCACCCAGTGACTTGCCCGTGCCTGGTTGGCGACCTTTCAGATTACCTTAGGTACTTTATTCAAAGCTGGCTGGTGTGATGTCCGTACTACCTATGAAACATCGCTGTGGATTGGACAGGAGAGAGCTATGATTAGCTAGGCAACGTACGAATGGCAATGAGGGTTCTATTATAGAGACTCCATTGTATGAATACATTATCAGACTTTGACCTTTGACCTGTAACTTTAGGTACCCAGCAGGGAGTATGCGTTGCCGCTGCAAGCGGTATTGAATGCATTTCACCTGAGCGGTGGGATTGTAGGTACCTATAGGCTAGGGAATTAAAGTACGCCCAGCCAACCTGCAGCTGCCAGAACACCGACACGACACCCCGCAATAAAACCCCTGCTAGGTCCGTAGTCTTCCCATCAAATCAATCGCTTCTTTCACAGCTCGAGCTCTGGACTGTGCGAGTTCCTCCATCCAAACCCACCACCACCATCCTTCCATCAATCTTCCCTCCTGATCCAACACCACACCTTGGGCATCATCGGGATCTCAAAAAGCAGGAGGCAAAAAAATGGCCACCGCTTCAGAACCTCCGACACTGCAGGCGGCCCCCGTCGAGCCGAAATACGGCGGTGCTACGCGCTTCGAGCTCGAGCTCGAGTTCGTCCAGGCCCTGGGCAACCCGCTCTACGTTAACTACTTGGCCACCCAGAAGTTCTTCACGCAGCCCGCCTTCGTCGCATACCTCGAATACCTCCAGTACTGGAAGCACCCGCCGTACTCCAAGTACCTGACGTACCCCGGCCCGGCCCTCAAGATGCTCGAGCTGCTCCAGCAGGAACGGTTCCGCCAGGACGCTATCAGCCCCGACGTCATGAACAGGCTGATGCAGGATTGGCTGCGGGATGCGGTGCTGTGGCACAGAGAGTCTCAGTGATGCGATACCGGAGTCGATTACGAGCATGTTTATTTGGTTCTTTTTGTATTAAGTCTCCCACACGGAGCGAGCGTATACCCCCGAGCGACAGAGACGGACAATATCTCGAGATGACGAAAGAACAAAAACAACCCCAACTCCAGATCTTCTATGAATGCGCCGAGCAATGCAGTCATCAAACCATAAACCTGCTAGCACCCCCGATAATGCCAGCCCCAGAAAGAAACCCGCCTTAGTTTTCTCTCCACCTGTGCCCGCAAGTCATGCACTGGGAGCTCGGGTCAGAATCACACACAAGAACACCACCCACCACACTTGGCCGTGTGCGCAAACGTACCTTGAAGAAACTGGTCATGGGCTCATCGGCGCTGCGGATCTGCACCTGGAAGAAGGCGGCCTCGCCGCCGTCGCAGCCGCCCTGGGGGCACTGCGCGCTCGTCTTCTGGGCGTTGTCCCAGGCGCCCGGGCCGCCAAAGACATCCTCCTTCTCCTTGCGGGTGAACTCGCGGCGGCTGTAGAGCGGGTCGTTGATGGCGTACTCGTACGGGCAGGTCCGGCATTCGAGCCGGTTCTTGCCCGTCTCGGGCATCACCGAGACGGTGAGGACGTTGGCGCACCCGGGACAGACTTGGGGGGGTTGGAGAGGGTCAGCTTCTTTGCTCGGGACGAGAAAAAGAGATTGGAGGCATACAGAGTAGCATATTGATTGGCAGGAGGCGAGGACAGGACCGCTAACGCAGTGATACAGTAATGCGAGAGAGAAGTTTGCTGAAATTCTATAAATGTTCTCCGCAAGGAACGGGGGTTCAGTGCTCCTGTTGTGCTTGATCGAGTGTTGAATTCGTGGATGAGTCTCGAGGTTGTAGTCACAAATTTCGAGTTGATGCATGCTCAGCATCGACAAACTCTTTGCGACGGCATTACTATTGGCCCAAAGCCTCCAGTGCTGTGACCAGCCCGAGGCGCTGGGGACCCAGCAACCTTGAACCTAACATCCATTGGAAGCGCCCGCCGGAAACCGCAAGAAAAACGCCGCCGAAACCCCGCTGGGCGCCCAATGTGGCCCCCCTAAGGCGCTTGAAACACCCCACCACACACCCTCAGACATCAGCCCGAACTTCCCACTGCCCATCACTGCCACCTCCTGCATGCTCCAGTGGCTTACTCCCAGACAACAAATGGAAAGTCCCAACCAAGATCCAGGCTCCCACCTCGCCCACACACAAGACTGGGCAGCAAACGACGACAACGCATATACAAGCTCTAATCCGGCTCCATAGCCTTTTTCTCCGGCCGGATATTCCTCTGACCTCCTCAGCTACTGGGCCGACGTTCCCTATCACATAAGTACGCAAGCAGAGCGTCACATCACCCGGATCCCGCGACACATCTATCATGGCGGGGGACAACGAGGTGCACGAGGTGAGCTTCTTTCCCACTGCTGCCCGCACACTTCCAAGGGTTACAGCACCCACGGGCAAATGCTGATTACTCTTCTCTCTACAAAATAGGGCGCCTCGGTCAAGGAGATCCTCATCGAGGCCTGCCGGCGCAACAACACGGAGCTGCTGACCGAGACGCTCGAGGGCAAGTCCGAGGAGGAGATCGCCAAGCTGCTCAACGAGACGACGACGGTCATGGGCAACCACCTGTACCATGAAGCCGCGTCACGGGGAAACTGTATGTTGCAACGGAAACTCTCCCCCATTACCCTCGCTCTCCTGCCTCCCTCTCTCCGTCATATCCCCCCTTTTCCAAAAATAGGGCCAAAACTGACCCTTTTTTTTTCCCACACAAGACGAGATCATCGACCTCCTCCTCGACCAGCCCAACTTCGAGTGCGACCCCGTCAACCGCCAGGAAGGGGACACGCCGCTGCACACGGCCATCCGGTGGATCAACTCGGAGCCGCCCGCCCAGCGCGAGTTCGGCAGCGCCCTCGTCGACATGATGCTCGAGGCCGGCTCGTCGACGCGCATCCGGAACCGCGCGCGCCTGACGCCCTCGCAGCTCGTCGACCCGTCCAACGCGGCCCTGCGGGAGCTCATCCAGCGGCACGAGTACGCCAACCTCAACGCCGGCGACTTTGTCGAGGTCAGCGAGCCGCGGGCGGCGGCGCACGGCGCGGTGCCGGCCGGCAAGTCGGCGGCGGTGGTGCGGCAGGAACAACAGGCGGAGGAGAGCGATGACGATGCCGAGTTTAGCGGGAGTGACGACGAGGAGAGGGCCGAGTGGGAGAGGAGACGGAAGGAGAGGAGGGCGAGGAAGGGTTGAGAATGTGGGGAGGGGGGGGGGGAATGGTTGGAAGAGAAATAGAAATAGGGGTTGCTTTCTTGTGTACCAAGGCATTTTGATAGCGATGCACCCTGCGAGATCAGACTACAAATTAGAGATGCGCTGATTCCTCGCTGGACGATTTGGATTCTGGACAGACATCGATCCCCAGGTTGGTCTGGGCCTCACATGGTTTTTCAAGTGTAAGAAATGCATTGCTAAGGGTATCTATGTCCTACCTACTTATACCAAGAAAAAAAAAGGGGTATCACTTGAGTGCCCAGCACTCTCATCATAATCTCGTCTCTCGTAGTGTATGTAGTCCAACAAACCCGTTTTCCAGAACGCAAACCCCGATCCAACTCCATAAAATAAGTCTCACCACGTCAACAACAACAGCCCCAACACCACCGCCAGCCCAACCACCCTCGCGACAGACACCGGCGCCGCCGTCGCCGTCCCGCCGCTCGTCGAGTGCTCCTCGATGTACGTCAGGTTGCCCAGCTCCCGGGCCAGCGCGTCGCGCGAGACGGCGCCGCTCGCCGCCAGCGCGCGCAGCTGGTCGCCAAACGTGCGCAGGATGTTGGTCGACCTGCCCCGGGGGCAGAAGACGACCTCCCAGCCGCCGCCGCTGGGGATGATGAAGGTGCTGGTCTGGTCGTCGAACGCGAAGCTGTAGGCGTCCGGGCAGACGCGCTTGGCGGCGCGGCTGTACAGCGACGGCGTGCACCTGTCGGCGTCGGCGTAGGCGCCCGTGCAGCAGTCCTCGGGGCGGCCGTGGGCGGCGCAGGCGCTCCGGCAGGGGTCGAAGACGGGCCGCTCGATGTCGTCGTCCGGGTAGGGGAAGACGCCGTCGCCGGGCTTGGTGGGCGGGCGGGACTGCAGGTCCCAGGGGCACCAGCGGGCGACGTCGGCGTCGCGGACGCGGCTCTCCCAGGGGACGGGGAAGGACGAGTTGCCGTAGACGGTGCCGCTGCGCCGCGGGGGCTCGGCGAGGTAGCCGCCCCTCGTGGCGATGCAGGCGGCGTTGACGAGGTTGGGCGGGATGAACGAGGTGTTGGGCGCGGGCAGGTAGACGACGCCCAGGGGCAGGTTGTAGCCGTCGACGAGGCTGATGTCGTAGAAGGTCTGCCGGCCCTCGACGCCGCCCCAGAGGTTGAACTCGGCGAGGGTGCATGGCGTTGCGCCCTTTTGTCGGTGTTGTATCGATGTCAGCGCGGCTTTTGTTCTTCGTTCTTCGTCTTCTTCTTCTTCTTTGTCTCGTTGGTAGGTAGGTAGGTAGGTAGGTAAAAGGGTTGTCGCAGCACGACAAAACTCACCGTGAACTCGCAGTCCAGCTTGCCAAAGCAGTCCCCCGTGGTGCAGGCGGCGCCGTTGCCGTCGACGCCGTTGAGGTTGGCCGGCCCGCTGCCGTCGTCGTTGAAGCTGCAGTTCGTCCTCCCCCACAGGCGGCCCTGCCAGTCCCACGACACGTTGAAGCCGACGGTGCGGCCGGGGTCGAGGACGAACCCGCCGGTGCCCGGCCCCACGCCGTGCTGCGTCGCGATGCCCGGCCACAGGGTCTCGCCGCAGTTGTTGGTGACCTTCAAGGGGACGACGTACGTCTCGGACATTCTCGCCTGGTTGTGAGGAGGGTGGAGGAGGAGGAGGGAGGGGAGGTCCGATCGGCCCTGTCGAAAGGAAAAGACCGATCGATGATCAAAACAGGGAGGCGGGCAAAGAGCAGCGCAAGGGCTTCTCGAGGGGGAGACGGTTTCAGATTCTTAGGTCAAAGTAGAGATGCGTGTATAGTAATGCTCACACTCACTCTGATGCGGGCGGGTAAAGGCAAAGGAGAATATAGATAAAGATTTCGAAACAGGAGAAAGCAAGAGGAACCAAGCAAACCTGCCTGTGCCCTTACCAGCATGCATTGCATTATCTACTTGTATATCTTGGACTCGAACCAGGGCGAGCGACTCGCTGCCCAGTTCTTTCCCGGATTTGCAGGCCCTGGAATCCGGGGACGATCACCACTCTTACCCAGCTAGGTAATGGAGGTAGGTACCTAGGTGTGAGTGGTGAGCGGTTGCGGTGGCCTTGGACCGCGTACGTAGACCATGGATGGCTGCCAACCCGGGATTGCAGGATGACGCAGGAACGAATGGTTTCCCGGAAATCCTTGGAACAGTCGACATGCCTCTCTCTCTCGGGACTGCGCGCTTCCTGGCCTCCTCCTCCATGGCTGGACTTGTAGTGTGTGATGCGTGTAGAGTTGCAGGGATGGGCACCACACACACACTAGCACTAGTGCAGGGGGTCTGTAGTCTAAATCTGTTAAGCATCATCGTCTCAAGAAGGCCGGGTTTGTATGCGAGACGAGGCCCATGCACTAACAACGTCGGTCCCTCCCGTTCAACTCGTTGTACTTGTACATAGGCAGGGCGCAACGTCCACCAACCAGTCCTGGTGCTCCCCTCCGACCTGTGACATCACCGCCCTGTATCAAGCGGATTGATTAACTAGGTAGGCAGGCCCCGCCGACGAGCATTGTCGGGAATGGTGGGCTCCCAAGGCTCCCTCCAACAAGGTGGAAGGAAACCTGGGAATGCTAGATGAACTCATCAAATGTTATATTAGGTATCTCCCATGAGAAAACTGCTAGCCTCGGAAATCGTTCTCGGTCTAAAAAAGTACTTCGTAGTGCAAGTCTTCGTATCAGTCAGTAATAGCCAGTAGGCAACTACACGGCCTCGTATCAGGTATTTCTTGCATCTCACGAGGTTTTATTATATGACTTGGCAACTGTCAGCCAAACACCCACCCATGAACATGAATTTGACCACACAGCTCAGCTCAGCGAAGACGAGGGCTTGTCTTTGACGGATCATCATTGGCCGACTGACTATGTACAAGCATAAAATAGAAAGTGCTTCGCGAGAGAAAAGCGGTTTGGTTCGACGCGCCGAAAAAACACCCAGGGCGTTACAATTCATTTCACACAAAAAGCGGCGGTTTATCCCCGACGCAATGTTGGCGATCCGGGTAATTACCCACCCCCAATGCTTGCAAAGTGTATCCTCCGCCAAATGCCCCCCCTCTCCAACCAATGTCCCGACCAACAACCCCTTGAGATGCGAGGATATCCTGGGAGAAAAACAAGTCGTCATATTCCTAGACTCCATCGTCTGTCACCCCCACCCCCCTCCCCCCCTGCACTTCCGTGTATTTTTGTCTTTCTGGCATATGTCTTCCTGAATTATCGCAGATCAAATCCTAGCCTGGCAATAGCACCAGAACTCGGGAAGAACATACGCCCGCCAAAATCCAATCAGCTTGGCCACGATGGGCCGAGGTATCAAGATGGAACAATTGGCGCCATATCATCGTAAAAGTAAAATGAATCGAAATGTGGCTGTACCACCTCCGCACGGCTCTCTCTCTCCGAGCGGCCGTTCATTACCTGAATCGGGCTCGGCACCGGCCCATGACCTCTCCTTGGCAGACCAGCTCGGCGTTGAATTCTGAGCCGTCCAGGGTCAGGTAGATGTCGAAGTAGACACGGTAGAAGGTGCCCTGCGGAGTGTCCATGCGCTCAAAGTCCTTCTCGAGGTTCTTCCGCGACAGATCGGAAGTGAGGGTGACGACCTCCTTGATGCCTAGGGGGAGGAGGAGGGTGAGCAACACGAAGTGAAATGAGTAGCAATAGGTGGACTTACGAGGATCCTTAGTATACTCGGGGCAGACATCGTCGTCACATGCGTAGAGGATATCCTCGTACATGAGGGTGGCGCCAGGGGCAACCTGGCGGAAGAAGGAAACCTTGACGGGCTCGCCGTTCTTGACCTTCTGGCCCTTCTGCACAAAGATCTGCCGCGTGAACTTGCAGCGGTCCTTGCCGTCCAGGGAGGGCACACGGTAGGCCTCGGGGTGGTAGCCCTCCTTGAAGGGCTGGAGAGTGGCCATGAGGTAGTGGCGGCGCGCGATGCGGTGGGTGATGACACGCTCGGTAATACCGGCAGTGACAGCGCCCTTGACGATCGCGGCGACCGAGTCCATGGGCCGCACGACCTTGGACTGGAACTGGGGAGGCACGTGCAGCTTGATCTGCTGGAAGAGGTACTCGGAGGCACCGAAACCACCGACGACCAGGATGTTCTGCAGCGTCCTATTCTGCGCCTGGATCGCGATGATCTGGTTCCGCACGAGCTCGAGAATCCGGTTCACAACGGGCTCGAAGCACTGGAGAATCTCCTCGTTGGTAAAGGTCATGTAGCCCTCCTCGATGCCGGCCTCGGGGAACTCGGCCTCGATGCCGACATCGACGGCCCACTTCTGGCCGTTGTTGCGGAAGTCGGCCTTGATCCGGTTCTCAAAGTCCATGATGCACTTGGCGTAGACGCGGCCGGCCGTCTTGGACCCGTCGGGCAGCTTCATCTTCCGGATCTTGGTGCGCAGAATGTTGCTGAAGTTACGGTTCAGCGCGGTGCTACCGCACGAATCACCAGACCCAGCCGTGCATTCGGCAACAGTAAAGGGGTTCTCGTCCTCGACCTCGTAGGCGATCAGATCGACGGTACCACCGCCGCAATCTACTATGAGCACAGCGTCGTGGACCTTGAGGTTGAGCAGGCCCGTCTTGGAGCAGAACAGGGCGGCGGCTTCGGGCTCGCTGACCAGGGTCAGGCGGTTGTCGTTCTCGTCCCTCAGGAAGCCGGCCTGGATGGCGGCGGCGCGGGTGGCCGCCTTCCCGGCGTCGTTCCAAATGGCGGGCACCGTCAGGTAGTACCGGATGTTGCGCTCCTCCCGGTTGAAGACCTCGCCGAGGGTCTTCTGCAGGGCGGCCCGCATGGCTTGGCGCAGCTTGAACAGGTAGTCGGCCGCGACATCAATCTCGGACTTTCCTGGGGGCAGTGGCGGCAGGTTGATGGGGTCGATGTAGGTGTTGCCCGACAGCATCAGCTGCAGCTTGAACCATTCCACCTTCTGCACCCCAGGCTTCGGGTATCCGGTGGGCGCTAGAGCATCTGCGATGTCGGGACCCCAACCGACGACTTTCTGGTACTGATCGTAGTAGAGCACCGTGGGAATCTTGGATGGCACAACAGGTGTTAGTCGACGGACCTCGTCAGATGCGCTTGCGATGGAGACCCCAGGTACGAACCTTCTGCTTTGTGTAAGAACCAGCACCCGGCCACTCAGTAATGATGTCTTCTTTCGCTTCATTGTTAGTAGCAAAGGCGAAGGCGACACCCGAGAAGGTGGTTCCCTACAGACGGGTAGCTGTCAGCGACAAGACACCTCAGAGCAGAGACTCGGCCGCGCCTCGGAGAGGGCCGACTTACAAAGTCGATTCCGACAATCAGCTGGGCCTTGCTTCGGCTGTTACCCTCCACCTCGGCCGCTGGATTGCCACGGAAGGGCGCCGTGGGCATGGGCTGGCCCTGCTGTGGGGGGGCCGGAGGAGGATAGCCGGCGCCTCCTCCGTAGCCTGGAGGACCGCCAGGGACGGGCGGGGGGCCTCCTGGTATCTGCATCGGGGGCGGGTATCCTGCGACAGGAGCGCCGGTGTTGATGGGCGGGGGGCCACCGATCATCTGTGAAGGGGGAGTGCGCGTTGGGCCTTGGCCGGTCAGAGGGCTGGTGCGACCGAGAGGTGCTTGGGGACCGCCCTGGGGAGGGAAGTTGGCCGTGTAGCTCGGCGGGCGAGGACCAGGGCCCGGGTGGTTCATCGGGAGACTCTGCTGTGAAGAGTTGGAGGCGATGGAGGGAGCAGCAGGGCCAGGACCAGTCGGGAACTGCTGCGGTATTTGGGGAGGAGGGGTACTGGTCTGGGGCGGGTCGGGGCCTCCGTGGATGCTGGCGGTGGACTTGCGTTTACCAAAACCGAAGGCTTTTAGGCGCGAGTTCATAGAACTCATATGGAAAGGGAGCGACGAGGGACAGGTCGCTCGGGAAAAGCAATAAAGAGGGGGGGGAGTAGGTGTGTTTTTGAGAGAGGACTGTGGACGGGGACTGGGACTGGGGAGATGTGCGAGCTGAGACACGACAGGGACACACAGGAATACCTGGAGGAAGGACAGCAAAGACAGCCAGGCAGGCAGGTCGGGTCGGGTCAGAAATTAGGACTTTGCATTCCCAGGGCCAACCCGAATCAAAGAGAGGATGTGGGCGCACGCCAGGCCAGGGCCGACTTGTCAATTCGGCCTCTGCTCCCACTCTCTCCTCTCCTCCGCTCGTTGGGCTAGGTAGGTGGGCTCGTGGGCCGGTGGGCTGGGGGCGCTGAAGGCCAAGGAGTGTGGGTGGATTGGTGGTCCTGGAGCTGGACTGTACCGGACAGGCAGGCCGCTAGCGGGGGTTGATCTTGGACCTGCGCAGCGGCGGTTGCGTCCTGCGGATCTAATGCGCGTGCGAGGGTGGTTCGTGAGCCTTTTCAGACTGTTGGATTAGTTGCATGCGGGTGCAGGCTCGGTCGACGAGGACGGTTAAACCAAGGTAGATAGGTAGTGAGTGAATGGGGGGTGTTTCATGGTTTTTGAAGAGAAGAGCCGGGCAGATATGGAGGCGGAGAGCTTCTTGCTCAGGTTGGTTCTCGGGAGCCTCGAGGGCTCGATGAATGTTCCCAGGAACAGAGCACAGACGCTATGACAGTACTCCGTATAGGGATTCAATCTGCAGCACTGCTCTCTGCTAGCATTTCACAGACGGGATTGGGCGCCCAAGTCCCCGCAGCAATGGTGGCTGGCTCGATAAATAGAGGCACCTTACCTACTACGGCGCTGGGGCGCTTGCGCCAGTCTTACGGCTGAGCTCGCGCTACTCGTTTTAGCAAGCCAGGTAGCGTAAGGCTGAGGCGTGCGGATGTGCTGGCAGTGCTGCTGCTGGCGTGGAACGTGGTGGTGGTGGGATGAGATGATCAAGGATCCATGATGGGATGGGAAGCACTTCTGGTTCTTCTACTTGTAGGGCATCCATGGATTCCCCTCTCGGCAATGAAAAAGTTCTACCGTTTGTCTCTCTTCTAGATACCACTCCCCTAAGCTCAAGATGTCTGCTTGGGCCAGCGTAGTTGGTGAATTTGGGTACAAGACACAGAGATCATAACGTAAAAGTAAACTGGGACATGCTCAGGTGGAGTAACTACCTACAGCGACATTGAGGACCGTGTCCATGCATGCATGCACGTACTTGTACACTCGAGTGGGAACTCAGAGTCGCGCTACCCTGCTCTTGGGCTCGTATCAAGAAGGGGGGTCTGCGTAGCCTCTCGAAGGGTTCCAGAGCAGTTAGAAGGTGGTCTTGACTGTCGCAGGGAGAAGAAAGAAAAAAGAGTAAATCGTTTGGTCGGTTAGTAGGCCTGTGCCCTTCTCATTTTCATCGTACCTGCACGGCCCTGACACAGGTGCTTGACGAGGGCATGGGCATCCTGCCCTGCGGTGTGTGACTGTGGCAAAGGTCTTGATGTGCCTTGGGGGCCGAGAATAGCAGAAGAGGATGCCAAGTCAGATTACAAAGATAAAATGGCTGGCACCCGCCCAGGAATAGCAGGACACAGATTTGAATAGATTGGCCACCCTCTGTCGTTACTCGGTCGTTCCTCTCGGCTCAGAGCGGGCGTCTGCATTGGGATGTTGTCATCAAAACACTCCCACACTCGGGGTCAGTAAGCAACTGATGCTCCCTTCAGATCTTGCGATGGCCACCGAGAGCTCCATGGGGTCTCCAAGGACGGTTCTACAGACATCACTGTCAGCTAGCTCGACTTGTGCTTGACTACTTCCGATTATTCCAAGTCGGCGAGCATATGTAGTCAAGTTGTCCGTACCTCACTGTATGGATGAAACAGACTACTGCTACTCCACAGTAGGTACTCTACTTGTACTCCAACTAGAGGAATTGGCCTCAAGGTTCCAGGACTCAGCAGGGCCCTGGATCCAGGACAGACCCAGGACCCTTGGAAGGAATCTAGGACTTTGAGAGCTGTCGCGGAGGCCCTCTGTGGCTGTACCACCGATGAGCCCCTCTTTTCAACGGGTTAGCAGACGTTTGCTCCACACTTGTACCTAAATCTGTCATTGGCGCCAAAAGTGCGCTCAGCCGCAATCGCCTGGAGCATTCCGTGGTAGTGGCCTCCTCTCCCCAACTCCCCCATCCCCCAGATAAACGATAATGTCCATCTTCCCCAAGGTTGGAACCCATTGCGAGGCTGGCATCGGTATGCCAGCGGCAGATGAGCTGGGCTTGCTTTTTCTGAAATGGGTATTCGTTCGAGAACTCTCTGGCTGTCTTTTTGATTACCCGGTGTCAGCTGACTGCCTCCCACTTCATCTGTCTGAATGTTTCATGCTTCAACACAGCACTCGAGTGAGCAGGACACCCCAACTAACCCTGTCCAATATGCACCTGGCCTGCAGTAACGTAACAGCCCTCTTCATGTGGATATAATTGGGCTGAAACAGACTGATTGTCTTTTCGCTGTATCGACTTGAATCCCACATCGGTAAGCCGACTGACTGGTCGTGGTCGGCGATGAAGGCAATGTTCGGTCAGCGGCACAGATGCGCCTAAACCCAAATCTGGGAATGGCTTCAACTGCCCATATCCACTCTTCACTTCTTATCCCACACTTGCCTGAACACAGGGTTGATAGTGTGTGTCAGTCGAGAGTATTGTACGGAGCACATGGCCAAGGCGTGGCTAGACCATCCCCTTTTAGTGCAGGCTCGCTCGCACAGCAAGCCAGGGTTGACGACACCTGGAGTTTCAATCTGCCCAAATAGCTACGCATTGCTCGAGAACCTTCTCCCACCACGATTCTGGCGGTAAAGCCATTCTGTGTTCCCTAGTTTCGTCAAGCCGTTTGCTGTCCAACGTGACACTCTTGTTTCCGGCCGAGGACGACAAATAAACCCTCAATTCCAACCCCTCCTGCAATTGCCCGAGTCGTCTCTTCATTACGAGCGTCCCATTGTGTGCTACGCATACTCTACCTTACCTGCGATTTGTGCTACGCTTGAGTCCTGTCCTTGTCCTCGATTTCTTTTTCGGCGCCGCATCCCAGTTCCTTCCCAGGCACTCCTCGAGCCAGGAGCAGCCACGAGCGTTCTTTCTCTTTGTCCCAGTATTCACAGGGTTCCAACAGCGCCGCGTTCGTCCGGGAGCGTCATTGAGTCTGAGGCAATTTCTGGAGACAAAGGATCTCCGTTCAACAAACCTTGCGTCAATTCCTCGATTGATCTCGCCGAGTCCCACGCCGCCATATCCGACGACCTTTCTGCTTCCTGCCGGCCCCGTGTCCATTCCTCCATTCAGGAGAAGCTTCTTTGACGGCGACTAGCTCCACCACACCCGTTGTTATTGCGAGGAGCTAGCATTTCATTTTTTTTTATATTTTTTTTTTTGCAGTGCCCTCCAATCTGCGCAGCTTTGCCTTCCAAGGTCCCCATCCTAGCCCGGACCCATGACATCGTTCTTGTCGGGTGGGTAGATCTAGCGCCATTCCCACCACCAAATTTGCTGGTGGAAAGACGTACAGAATATTAACTGCATCGATAGGAGCCGGAGTTTGACCGAAATTCGTTCCTGGCGAAGCTGCCAGCCCGCTCGGCACCACTTCTTTTTTAGGTCGACGTCGTATGACTTCACTACGGGGTTCTTGAGCCTGGTAGTCTGCTCTTTGTGTGTGGGCAAGCAGCTCGTCTGTCGACCTAGTACTTCTGCATCAGGAGTTCCAGGCCCTCAGCCCGCCCAATCAGGGTGTACGCTCCGCGCTGTGGTGAGACCCAGCGCTTTGCACGCAGAGAGAGGCCCCGACATCCGTCATTCACAGCTCCATCTGCTCACCCCGCCAAGCTGAAGAGACGGCACCGGACACCACCAGACCAGCAAGCCACTCGTCTCACCCCGCCGTGCCCGCCCAATCCCAGCCAGCCTTTCCCAAGCTTATTGTCTCTTGCTCCAGTACGGAGAATCTGGGCCCCCACCAACGCATTCGCGTGCGTGGTTAACCTTTCGGGCGAGCGAAATCTCCAGAGCTGTTTGGGTCAAAAGGCAGTCGACGCCTCGTGGCGCTCAATTGGTCTTGACCCCGGGACTGCTACATACATGAACAATTCCCGCATCCCTCTCAAAAGCCAGTCGGCCCGCAAGTCCCAAGGTTGCCTCAGCTTCGTGCATCTCTTCTCGGTAGCTTTCCTAGTTTTGGTTCTGGTAAGTTTGTGCCTGCATGCCTGCCTCTTGCGGTCTTAGTGTTGCATCATGACCAACCAGCCTTGGCTCTCCTGGCCTTCGTCTTGGATCATGATTCCCCCCGCACCTGCCGAGCCGTAGCTCCAGACTCTTCCTCCCCTTGGCGACGCACGAGAGAACATGAGATGTTGGACTGACCCCAGACACGTGTGTATATAGGCCGCGCAGCTCCTGTTCCGTGACGCCAAGCTCCATTACTCTCACATCTTCACCGGACAGCCTTTTTTGAGAGCTATTCCTTCCCCTCCAGCTCGGATTGACCCCGAACCAGTCTGCGAGAACCAACCCTTTCCCACCAGTCTCCCAGTTTCTTGGCCTCTCAACATGGCTCTGGCAGAAGAGACCAAGGCTGTTGTCGCCAAGTTCGACTACACCGACGAGAACCTCAATGCGGGTGTCAAGGAGTTCATCCGCCAGATGGGTACGTCTCCGGAACCCCGTTGTGAGTGAACCATGTTGACAGTCTACCAGGCGAGGGATTGGAGCAGGATGGCACGAGTTTGAGCCAAATTCCCACATACGTCACTGCGGTGCCCAACGGAACGGAAAAGGTATGAACTCTCTGCCGATTACGCGTTGTAGCTCTGCCATTGACCTTGCGACCACGATAGGGTATGTACATGGCAGTGGATCTTGGCGGTACCAACTTTCGAGTCTGCTCCATCCTGCTGAACGGCGACACGACCTTCAACCTCACCTACTCCAAGGTCGCCATCCCCAAGGAATTGATGGTTGCCAAGACGGCGGGGGAACTGTTCGCTTTCCTGGCCAAGCAGATCGAGGAGTTCCTCAAGACGCACCACCAAGAACACTTTTACAAAGCTGTCAGGCGGCGCCAGACGTTCAGTGCCCCCGAGGGATACAGAGATGAGAATGCCTTGCAATTGGGTTTCACCTTCAGCTTCCCGGTGAACCAGATCGGCATCAACAAGGGCAACCTCATCAGGTGGACCAAGGGCTTTGACATCCCGGACGCGGTCGGCAAGGATGTTTGCGCGCTGCTCCAGGTTGAGATTGACAAGCTGCACCTCCCGGTTAAGGTCTCGGCTCTTGTCAATGACACTGTCGGTACCCTGATGGCACGCTCATACACCTCGCCCGGCAAGACGGGGGCCATCCTGGGGGCCATATTCGGCACGGGTACCAACGGCGCATACATTGAGAAGCTGGCCAACGTCAAGAAACCCATGACAGGCGAGTTCGACAAGACCACAGGGTTGATGGTGATCAACACCGAATGGGGCTCCTTCGACAATCAGCTCAACGTACTGCCCAATACCACCTGGGACATCCAGCTCGACAAGAACACCCCCAACCCCGGTATCCAGATGTTCGAGAAGCGGGTTTCCGGCATGTTCCTCGGCGAGATCGTTCGCTTGACCATCGTCGATATGCTCAAGAACGACGACATCCATCTATTCAAGGACATCAACTCCAGCCACAACGACTGGAAGTCAACGACCAACATCGCGCCCCAGTCAGGCATCTTCCAACCCTGGGGTCTTGACAGCGCCATCATGTCGGTGGCAGCTGCAGACAACACCCCTGAGCTTGGTACTCTGCGCCAGTCGCTCGAGTCTGATCTGCACGTCTACTCTCCTTCTCTCGAAGACGCTCAGGCCTTCAAGGCCATTGCCGGCGCCATCGGTCGCCGGGCCGCTCGTCTTTCGGCCGTGGCGGTCGGTGCGATCGTCCTCCAGACCGGTAAGCTGACGGATCCCGAGTGGGCGGGAGAGGCCATCGACATCGGCGTCGACGGCAGTCTCGTCGAGCACTACCCCTACTTCCGAGACATGATGTACGAGGGCCTGAGGGCAATCGAGGGCATCGGCGAGGAGGGCGCCAAGCGCATCCGGATCGGCATCGCCAAGGACGGCTCCGGCGTCGGCGCCGCTCTGATCGCGCTGGTCGCCGCGGGCATGGAAAAGAACCAGTCCGTCGCGGACCACCTGCACGACGTACGGACCGAGGCCAAGGCCAATATCCCTTCTGCGATACCCGAGGCCGGGGAGACGAGCACGGTCATCTAAGGGGCAGGACAGTTGTAAGGTGCAAGATGTCGTTTTGTATGTGGAGGAGGGTTTCCAAAGAGAAATGATCATGAAAGTTGGGCGAAAGTATGGGCAACAAACTAAAAACCAAAGTCGATGAGGGCACGCATATGAGCCGACGTACTGGCGTTTTCAGGTCAAGCTGGGTGGGCTTTACGGAGCATATTCATAGCAGTATTTGATATTGGCGCTTTTTGGCGACCGCACTCTGTTTGTCACTGATCTCCATCCATCCTGACCCGGTGCACTCACTAGCTGGATTTCTCATTCGTACGCTTTGGTGGTTTACCAAGTACTCTGTGTGAATCAGGTGTTTGAACGAGATTATCAGAGTGTTCTATATTGTTCTGCCTAGCCACACCATCTAGCCACACGAAGCAATGTTTGCCATCTATTACTATATCTAAATGTCCCCATACGGTCTCAACGCCCATCCAACCTCCAGGTATCAAAATTGAAGCCTTTGAAATAACTTCGCCAAAGGTAACAAACGAGCTCCGTGTCTCGCTGTCTGACACCACAATATCGCCTCGTACTCCTTTTTTTAAAAAGTCCTCCAAACAATTGTCACATAACATCATGAGCTGCTCGAACGAATCCCTTTCCGAGTTTCTTTCTTCTTCACTGGCCAAACGCCGCGGCGGGGTAGGCACGGTCCTTCTTCTTGCGCACGGCAGAGCTGCTCCGCGAGCTCGCTCCCGAGGCGCTGCCGCTCCGCGGAGGCTGCAGCCCTCCTCCTCCTCCTCCGCCGCCGCCGCCGTTGCTCTTCCCCGGCTGCGCCACCATGTGCTCCGGCAGGTCGTTCCACTCGGTCTCGGGCCGCATGTTTTGGAAGGACAGCGAGGGCGCCGGCGAGGGCGAGGCCGAGTGCGAGGGCGGCGGGCCGGACGCGCTGGCCTTCCTGGGCGGGCCGGACGCGGCGCCGTCGCTCGCGGCGATGGGCGGCAGGTTGACGGCCGCGGCGGTCGTGCTGGGCCCGGTGC